TCCCTCTTGGTTTTTTATGTAAATATAACACCACCCCCCAGCACGTGCACTGCAATGTGGCCGGGATAAATTGGTGTTTACTTTCACCTCCTCACTCTCCCCTCTGTCCACTCCTGTACAAAGAATCACTTTCTGGAAGGAATGCGATTTGTCTGGAGAAAAAATGAGCCAGAAAGTTCTACATGGAGAACGTTGATTTATCAGAAACTGGCCAACCTTTTGCAGTACCCTTAAAAAGCCAACCCCCTGTCAGGTTATGTACATGTACTGCGGGTCCACAGCCCATAACCGATAGAAATACTGGAAACTGTGGGTGCTGATCCTGTTGTATTTAGGCTCATTTATTCTGATTTATTTCCTATTTGGGTGCCGACTGCTGATTAAAGAGAATTAAATAAATCTGTGCTCTTTTACCTGAGCATCATGTGTGAAATCCTGCAGCTTGAAGCAAGTTGTGTACTTCTACTTGTTCTTTTTACTCAAACTAATTCCATCCAAAGTCCAAGTTACCGTATCATGTCCTCGAATGGTGGGTGCATTAATTTGTGAACAAGATTAGCAACCCAACTCGCTTTACTAACCCTTGAATTTCATATCAAAACCATGTTTTGTATAGTCATGTACTATCTGTCTGGTTGCTTTTATGGACCATGGCTTTTGTTGCTAAACTTTGAATTTAATTTCCCAAGTCAAATGCACTCATTACACCATATAAATCAAGGTCAAGGCAAGCCTTATTATACCAGAAATCTAGAGCTCAGGAATGTCCCAATCCATCATTCATGTTCAGTACTGTAAACTCTGTTGAAAGCTTTAACGTACTCAGCATGTAGTGAATCCAAAGTTGAGAGTACCAATCACTTGGAAACTAGACCCTATCGACAACGGTGGTGTATATGATATTCAGATTTATCTCACACAACAACATACATACTGTACATGTACAGTGCATAATGTGGGTTACTCCCAAATTACATGTTGCAACAATTATTCAACGCAGAGAGCTGCGCACAGACTTTTTAAACCTTGTCTTATTTTTTAATTTCTGTCCAGGTAACACTTAAAAATGTGATGGATTCACTGCATGAAAAAGTTCCAGATCTACTTATACCCCAAGGTTTGTTCTAGCCCTCATGGCATTGGTGAATGCGTGATAAACTGTAAAATGCTGTCATACAAATCTAGTGGTCACATTTCTGTGTAGCACAGTGGCCCGTAACGCAACTTCCTATTCCTTAGTTTCAGCATAAAATGACTTTATCTTTCAGAGTACTATCCTCATTCTGTTCACATTTCAAAACAACAAAATGAATGGTTGGAATTATAAGCAATTCACGCTGACAGCTTCTCAAAAGCTTCAAGAAACTTCTCTACTGGCTTTGGTTGAGGTAAAGAGAGAGAGAAGGGAACATGAAACTGAACGATTCTTGAGTTGAGAACACTGAGTGGCAGACGCACCCCAACCTTAAGCCTGGTATGAAATGAAAAGGTGTAATCAAGTTGGGATCAAGGCATTATCAAGCCTAGACATATCTCAGTGTTGACTAAGTACTGCGAGTAGGAGTATAGCATGTTTGGACAAAATCGAGTGTGCATGCAATTATTACCCAAGGGACAAAGACTTTGGCAAATTAATTTTATTTGTCCAAGTACATGTACTCGTATTCCAATCCAAAGATGTGTGGGCGTTCAGAATGCACTGCCCAGCTACAAGGCTTGGTTACTACTAGCCAGCCTCATAAAAGTGCATCCTTAATGACGGGGAGAAATGAGAAATGCTCCCCAGTAGTTGAAATGAGTAATCCCTGTATCCAGAAGAAACATACTTGCAAATACTTCCAACTTGATTTGGGATTTTAACATGGTTTCTGTTTTATGATAGGAGAATTACTTTTGACAAATATTTTAATCAGACTACATCAGCATTGAATTCATCTGATGTACCACACTTGATTGCTTACATGTACCTATCAGGAAGCAAATGTGCCAATGACAAACTAAGTCATACAAACCATATAAAAAGCAGTGAAGCCGCATGAGCTATTCTGCCCTTTTTATAACCTTGATCAAAGTACTAGGAATGCTTTACATCTTTTTCCAAGTGACAGCATTAATAATCTTGTTTAGAATTATAAGCTTTCACTGGATACAGTGCCATATAAAGGAAGTCTGTTTGTCTTGGTACAATAGGCATTCCTGAAGCCACAACCTGCGCACATGATGTGACCAAAAAATTGGAATACATAAATGTACCGGGTGTGTAAACACCCTCTCATTGGCTTCACCAGCCTGCATTAGTAACGGAGTGTCTCGTCTGGCTACCTGTCAACTTATCCAGTGGTTAGATTTTAAAAAGTTTGGACAGGCAGTTTTTGCTTTACAAGACTTACAAACCCTCACGTTTTTCATCTATTTTTATCACTGGTTAATTAATCTTTACATTTCCTTCAAAGCTACCGGATGTTAAACTATTATGACTTCAAACAGCACCAAAGGGAGTCGAATTCAGAAATATTGCTGGGATTAGATGGGCAGTTTTTAACATTGGCTTGGAAGGGACAGGTTGATATTTAAAAATTAGATGAAATCTTGATGAGCAGTGGCAAGTAAAAGAATACTTTTCTCCAATGTTCTCCCACACTACACAGATCTGATTGGGTTTCTACTGCAGAGCACTGATCTCTGCTCCCCAAAGGAGTTCCTGAATCGATATGACAAGCCACTGGATATAGTTCTGGACAGTGGTAAGTGACTGATTGCATCCCAGTGCCACTCCCCACTTGTTTCTCTCCCACCCAAACTCTAATCCTGAAGCTACAGCACCAGTAACACAAGAGAAAGTACATGTACCTGTTCTGTGTTCCATTATTCCGAACATGAACCTAATAGACTCTTCGATCATGCTCAGTGTTGTCGATTTAAGCCAAGGGGGTATTTCATGCAATGTTGATGTACCAAACTGGTACATCAGGCAGAGTTTTTCCAACAACTTCAAAACAAAAAATAACTTCTACGTATACTTTTACTTTTCCCGCTTGACCCTTCTCTGATGATGGGCATGCAGTCAGCTGCATGCTTTTTAAGAAATTTCCAGGATCTAAAGTGCTCGTTTCTCAAATGAGATCAGATGCCACGTCTTGTCGCCCCATTCTGAACTCCTAAATTAGTAGTAGCTCAGTAGTTTCCAGTAAGCTAGATGCACATTCTGATATGCTGCACCATTATGCCAATTTACTGATCTGAAATTTAGTTTTTTTTCCTTTAATGCAGAATTGGTTTGGCCCCTACCCACACGGAATTTCCCTCTGATTTGATAGAGAGCATCAATCATATTCAGCATCTGAGGGATTTGTGTACCATTTATTTATATCTCTTTTGTGTATTATTGACAACGCTCTATCACATTTTAAATACAATGTTGGGTCTGTTTTACAATAGTAAGAAAGAGGTCATAGAAACTTAAATATAGAGATGTGAGGCCCCCCGCAAAAAAGTCTATCGTCTTTGGTCAAGCATGCACGTCGATCTTTGTTACTCTGTGAGACCTGTAACAGCACCTTCTATTGCCACACTGCCTCAAGATTTTTGCAGGCAGCTCCACTTTTACTAAGGGAAATCGATGTTGAACTATGATAGCAAACTATGGATACGAAGTTGTTTGTTGTCAGCTTATAATCATAACAAAGCTGGTCCAGTCCCATGACTCAACAGCGTGTGTCTGCAACTGTCTGTACAGTCCAACCCTGAAGGGGAAAAACAAAGAAAAAGTCTCGTAGCCGCATCAATTCCAGAACATCAGTCTGATCAGAGACTAACTTTTTTTTGTACAATTTGGAAAAGCTGACAATCAGTTAAATTTAATGAGCCAATCTTGCACATCATTGTAGGGCTTTTATGTTCACAAAACATGTATCGTCAGCTGATGTAAAAATGGAATAAGCACTGTCTGGCCTTCCACATGAACCACACCCATTGACCAACTCCCACAGACCGGATGACATGGTAAGATTCATTCCAACCACAAATGGTCTTCATCTTCTTGTATTTTGCAAATGTGGAAGCACAAAAATCATTTTGGAACTTGAAGCAAATGCAACAAAAATAAATGTCAACTACCACCATCTTAGGTAACATTTGACTTGCTGAAAAATTTAGCAGTGTTTTTCCTACCAGATTTATTTTATAGCAAATAAATCTTGGACAAATCGGCTGTTTTATGTAAACATCTGTTTAAAATGCAGGCTGGCTTACTGCTTGATTTGGGTTTGAGGGGGCATGCAGGTTATTTACATTGAACTGCAGTTGATATTTGGCCACGCGACAAGGCACGTGCATCTTGACATTAAACTTGCAAATCAGCTACTTATTGGCATTTTGTGGCATTATTTTTAAATTATACAAGGTACATGTGTAATGTTTCGAATGCATAGAATCATAGAATAATTTATATTGTTGTTATAATTATATAATAATTAACAAACTGCCATGGCCAAGTGACTATTTCCAGGGGTGGGGGGGGGTAAGCCGGAATTATAGAACATGGTCTGGAACCATCTTATCACTGAATCAGTTTCCTTTGCCGAAACTGATACCAAAAGTACTCCATGTGTATGCCCATTGCATGGGAGGGGCTTGGAGATGCATTACAGGGGATAGTAGTATGGTATGTTTTTGTTCGTCGCAGGCCTTTTAACAAAGGGAAAATACCACATGTGACGTCGTTCAAGCAAATAGACGTCCCTGTATAATTCAGCCCCCTGCCATTTTGGGGGGGCACGCGATTTTACACGCGCAGAGAGGAATTCATTTAAATTGGAAATGACCGATTCTGAACCTCCGGAAAATGAAAAATCCCCTGGTGACACTCAATTGATGAAAACATTATCCTGGTCTTAAATGAAGACAGAGTGGGTGTTTTTGTACTTGAAAGGGACCAGGAAATATTGTGCTATTTTGAAACTCACCAAATCACAGACGCTAAATCACAGGCTTATCTTGAAAAAAAATAGTGTGAAATTTCAGCACTCACAACAGACTCTGTCAGTTTTTCCCACGCTAAACAGAAAGAAAACGACCACTCGTTCCTTATTTATTTGGGTTGATGAATTAGATCCGCGATGTTAAAATCCAAATTGTGTTAACAATTATTAGCTATATAGCCGTTTCTAGTTTTTAAAATATAGCTATATAGTATTTAAAATATAGCTTTTTTGAAACTCACCAATTCGCAGACACTAAATCAAAGGGCTCCTGAGAAATTATATCCTTGATGGTAAAATCACATTGTTTTTAAACATTAATTCTGAATTTCAAGTTCTGTTGAAAGTGTTTGTTGTGATTTCACTTATGTTTTTGTTGCCAGTGAGCACGCTGCCAGCAACGTGCAGCTGCTGTACGTGTAGTGTACCTACACGTGCTGGCGGCGATTGGCTCTCTCCGCATACAAAATCACACTACGCCGGGCATCAGATAAAATATATGACGATTATATGAAGATATCAACAAATGGTAAAAATGCAGGAGTTGGTGCAATTTTGCTCGGAGCATGAACACGGGCTGAAAATTGTTCTCGTGATAACAATTAATTCTATTCATATCATCGGTCTAGCTCTGTGGTCGGAGAGCGGAAGCACATCAAAATATTTTTATCAAAGTGGTATGATTGGTAAGCTTTTGTAGTATTTACTGTGGGCGGGGCAACATGGGCTGATGTAAAGGAACTGTTCAAAAATAATTAAAGAAAATAATGAAGGCGGGGGTACAAATTTTCACGAAACTAAGAATAACCTGTTTCATACCGACTTACTCTTATGGTCCGACGGAGGACCGAGCAGCTGCAGACTGATGCCTACCAACGCCACAAACAGCCTCCGGAGGGAGGGGGTTATGTATAAGTCGGGACTTCGACTCGCTCAGAGCACGTGGCAGTCCTCGTGGTGAGGTTGGATTCTCTCGAGAAAACTCTGATATTGTGCCGCCATATGCCAGGACACGTGAGGATCGATGGACTCTTGAAACACAGTCAAGTAGAATTTCGATGAGTTGATATGAATCAAATCAAGATGCGATAGTGACCTTTACTGCGCGTGCGGTAAACCCCTTCGGAAAATAATGGAAGGACCTCTGCTATACCACTCTTCTCATATCATCCCTTTCGCCCACTTTTTACGCAGCAGCTGACAGGCCCTACATTGTTTTTCGTAAGATGGTTTCGCCAAAAACAATGAGCTGTCCGTGCCGTTGGCCGGAGTTTCTGCCGCAAAAGTTATAACTGAGACGACCATTAAAACAGGTTGCCCTTGCAATTATTACTTGAAGTTTCCCGGAAGAATGTGGCTTGAAGGTGGGGACGTCCGATATTCTGCAGACAAAAGTGCAATTTGCTAAATCAATCTGGGCCTACGGGCGTCAAACTCGGCTCAGTGAATTTATCCAGACCAAATTGTTGCCATCTTCAACTCTTCCCAAGGTTCAATAGAAAAGTTGGCACTCAAGTGGCGCATGAAAAACCATTAACTTAGTCCCGGTGAAGTTGTGAAGGGTAAAGATGCTAACAGATTCAGGAGTTGACTAGTCCTCGGCATTACACTGACTTTATCTGCCCCGAAGGGGGACTAAGAGAGGACGCAATTTCCCTAGCAATGGAGGCTCATTTTCGCGGAATTACACTTCGCTCCATTGGCAAACGACTGTGAAACGAACGCATTATACGGTCGCGTCGTCACCAACAAAATGAACACTCCCCCATCAACATGGCTCTTCTCATCCGATGTGTGGGTGCACGATGTATGTTTTCCAGACTCGGCCCATACTTAGGCATTCATTTCCCGGACAATCTCACGTTGACAGCTCAGAAAAATAATGGCACTGCACTGGTGATTGTAGATTTTTGAAATGGGCCAAAATTACATTTTTTTTTTCAGTCACATTGGTATTGGGACGCTGTAATAAAGTATGTGACACACTGTGAGGCATGGTGTAGGACAGCGCTCAAACAAACTGAGCGATCGATAGCGTTCTGAATTTTGAAACGGGGGACAAAAACATAAAGCAAAAAACATTGCTAGGTTCAGTTTTGCGCGTCTGTACAAACAGTACGTCTGTTTTACGGAATTTGGGTAATGACCCCCAAGCACCTGATGCGGCAATCTTCCACTTAACAAACTTTCCAAATTTCACCCTCAGTCTGCGACCAACAGCCGGAACTTCGTGAAAATAATAATTACTTTTGGTAACAAAAAAGTTTCCGGATCACGGCCTTCACGTGCGCCCCGGCGTGACTTCGCCGGTGTGTGCTACAGATTGCTGTTTTGGAAACTTCCATTCTACCGTCAGGGAAGTGTATTTGCGTGCTGCTCAGTTGAAGACTCCTCAATTCCCGTAATGGACTCCGTTGCGCATCCCACGTCGTTAGTCGTAATCAGCAGGCTCGCATATGCACACAACATCGGAGAGCGCGCATGGATTATTGGTTTTGCTATAAATACGGAAAGCAAAACAATCTGAGCATTTCTCTGTCCACTGCTGACGCAAAACTCTATAGTCTTTCCTCGCCCGCAAACGGTAAAACTCTGATAGCTTCGGAGCCCGATGAATCCTCTGCTTGGTTGTAGGAATCAGGGTACTCCTTTCCTAATTCAGAGGTCGTCGTCGTAAACCGCAGTTTGAGGTAAGTTAGTTTTATGCCCGAAGGAATTTTGTGCGTGCTGTCACAGGAGAATCACAAGTGAAAATAGTTTTCAATTCTCACAGCACTTTCACTGTGTGAAACTGGGTGTTTTACCGTCTCTGCACACCTGTGGTAGTTAAGTCCTATGCAAGTCGTACTTAATTAGTAGTTACGTTATTTCCAACATTTTATGTCCAGTGGTATTTTATTTTTGTAGATATCCGATTTGTGGAAACCGGATTACGCTACCAAAGTTGTATACACGGTACTGTCCTTTTTCTTCAGACAACTCACCAAGTCTTCCTTATTCCTCCATGGTCTGCCGTACCAGCCAGCATTATTGACAGGATTTCGCTTCAGTTTTCTTGATCAGTTGATACGGGCCGCCTTGGAGCGGTTTGCTAAAGAAACAGTAATGGGAAGTGGCTCGAGCTGTTATCCGACGAGAGACCACCGGTCGTCTATCGAGCAAGAACCGTACGATGCTAAGCGCTTGTTGTCCGAACTCATCACCGTCCAGACGGCCATCGTCTTGTCGGACGACATCACGGAGCACAAGGGCGACTTGAGAGCGGCTGATCGCCGCAAAAGCCTTGAATACACCATCACGACTTCGCTGACAGTGCCCACGGTGGCCGTATCGAATCAGGTGGGACAGGACGATTTCACCACCTCAGGCCGAGAGTTTCAGGGCGGCGCCCTGATAGACATCTTAACTGCTCATTTTAAGCACAGGGTGGACGTGGTGAAAAAAGAGGACGGGTTCATGCCAAGTATACGGGAGACGTCAGAGGTGAGCACCTGTTGACTTGTTGCAGGAAAGGGTAGAGAGATGCAACACTTCAAGACGGCTCCAGTTGTTTCGAAGCCCACGTGCGGCTTCTTGAAGTGCACAATGCCAGTTATCACTTTGAGATCACGTCGTCGATGATGAGACCTCATTCCGTTGGCTGTTTTAGAGACATCAGACGCGCACGTTAATTCACTGATATCCTAACGTTAACTTGAGGTGCAAGGAAATCTAAATGGTTACGAACACACGATGGTGACTGTAGATGGCAAATCCTTGTAAAATCCAAATCACCAATGCGCAAAATACCCCAGTTTTTGCCCATGTACCAATGTATTGATGTCCCGTGCACTCACGTGTATTATATTTGTATAAACGTCCGTTTGTCAGCGTGTTACACGCAGTAAGCAAGTTCTTAAATTTGATATTTTTAAATACACATTGCTTCTAAAAATCAAACTTACTGTCAAACTTGTCAGTAATCAGGTCTAACATTAAATTGCCTGTTATTCAAAAGGAAAATAAACGTGTTTACACGGTGATGTAATATTAAGTAGTCACTATCATTACAAACCGCTCTCACTTCCATACTTCTTACCTTTGTGTGATACAATCAATTATATACAATAATTTCTGTGACATGCATTTGTACCTTTATGCTTGTGTGATATTGTTTCATGAACAAACCCACAGAAAACACGCCTTGTTACTGTTTTTGTTCCCTGAACAGCCGTTTCTATTGTGCCAGTTCGGTATTCCAACAGTGCATGCCCAAACTGAGGCGAGTCCAAGGTCATTCGGACGCGCGCGTGCTTTGCTCCCGAATGACCTTGCTGTAACTGGCTCATTGTCCCAGCCAATGGCCAAATCTCTTCCAAACGTAAGACATCTGCCTTGAGTAAAGGAAACAAATATGACAGGGTAATAGTTGCATCAAGTATCAACCGTTATGATAATACTATTGATGTCGAGTTATGAATGGGAGCGTTCGGTTGTGTTTAACGAAATTTTTCATTTTTGCAAGAAAGTCTTGGGATGTAAATAGAAGATACCCTAACTGAAACAATTTACCGGAAAACACGACATTGGTTGGCCATTCACGGTTGTTTATGGTTCGAGTTACGGAACAGGGACAGAGGAAATTCATAAATTTGAACAGTGCGCTAGTTAGTGACTGTATAATTATATTTGCATCAGGAATTAACTGAATAGCAGTTCATTCTTCCCTTTGGATCATGTAGGCCTGTATCTCAAAATTTTACTGTTTAAATGCCACCAATCCTGTTTATGCATGACTACACTTTTTGTGGTGATGTCATACTGTGCACGTTTGCACGAATGAAGCAAAAACTGGCCAAGAAAGGTACACGGTTACAAAAAAGCTGTATATCTAATGAGGAAAATAAATCCAGTCATTTTGAAATAGTCATGTTTTGATGGAATGGTATATATCGATGAGTTGAGAGGTAGTGGGTTCTTGCTAGATACCTGACTGCCTATGGTTACCATAATGTGCATCATTCAGCCATTCGGGGACATAATGTCATACTTACGACGACAGACTGCCAGTGAAAATTATAAAGAGAAATGAAAACACCCCTGACCAACGCAGGTTTTCCCGCTCCTGCTACTTTAATTCATGGGAATTCAGCCATCTGCTGCCGTCTGGACTGTTATTTTCCCGATGTCAGCCGTGCAGTCACTTGAACTATACGATTGCTCCCGTAATGACCAGAAGTATAATATTTCACTGATTTTGTCCCCGCCACTGATCACGGGTGACTACCGCGCGCTCAGACACTAAATACCCCATTATTTGAAATCACTTCATCAGCTGGCGCTTTTCAAAACAGTCCAAATTTCTCTTGGTGGAGGGGTGGCAATTCTTTTTTTACGGGTGGGGGTTAACAAGCCCCAAAAAGCACACCTATTTGGCATGATCTGTCGGACATCTTCGACCAAGTTCAAGAAAATTAAAATACAGTCTGGAAAAGCCAAATATAAGACACTGCAGTTCTTGCTGGAATGATTATCGCACATTAGTCTACGTCCACTTGAAAATTTATGAAGAAATCCAATCGTCAACACAATACAGAATCACTCTTAGCTTTTAGTAGGCTTCTCAAAGACATCTTTTACAGGAGGCTGTGGCAAAGAATTTTGGTATTTTCAATAATTTAGAAGCTCAAAATCAAGACTCGAATGACGCATAACTCTTTCAGGGTAAGTATTCAGTGAAAGTAATCATTCCGAAACGTAAACCTGTCTGCGTAAATCCGAGAAATGGAAAGGGCCCGGGAACAAACTCTTTCGTTCAAATTCAATATGCCACCGTCATATGCATACGGGCCGTGTTTCCCGATTCCGACTTGGCGAGAATTGGCGACACGCCGTATGGGGTTACCATGGTGATTAACAATTTGATAACATGACGTGCTTAAAGACAGCTTACCGCGCATATGACCAAAAATAATCTGAACGATTTGTAAAGGATACATTAAAGCACGCATCGATCCAATAACCCAAGTCCAACAAATTTAACTACATGTATGTTGACAATTTTTATGTACGTTAAATCGCTTTATAAGCCAATAACATCATCTGGTCTCCTAAAATTCCAAAAGGACTTAGCAAAGATAAAACCTGAAGTCTGAAGTTGCCTGGAATATACCTTAGCCTGAGGCACACAGAACATCCATAGATTGACCAACATGACCAATTGTGAGACATCAAGATAGTACATGTATTCAGCGGACCAAAGTGATAATGGCAGACATTCATGCATGACTAAAAGTGGATCTTGATTGACAGTGCCCGTGGGTTGGAAGGTAAATGGAAATAACTTCGAGCAAAGAAAATGATTTTTGGTAAAGCGGTGTTTCGAATTTTCAGGTACAGGAAATCGAGTAGGTCAAAGAGGAAACAAGCTGTGCCAAAAAATCGGGATTTTACATATCTGCAATTTTACAGAACAAGCTATAAAATGTAGTGGAAAATGTCACTTCAAACCAAGTTTTATCAGGAAATGAAGTTATCCCTGATAATCCTTGATGACACAAGCCAGGTTCATTGACATGACATCTAACATCGAACACTCGGCCGTATAGGCCTATAGACCCTACTGAAGAATCAGCCATTCTAAGAACATTCAGAAACAGGTTGTGTGGCGATTGACGCGTGACGGAACAACACACCTCAAAAAGTTGGAAAATAAAATTCAGGTACATGTATTGGTTGGTCAAGTACTTTAGGGGTAGCGGATACAAATTAAAATCCCTGCACCACAACAGTGTGGTGCGGAGGAATAAATAGGGAATCCAACCAATTCACGTTTGAACACTTCTGCACAATAGTACGTGGATTGCTTGCACTGCAGCATTAGGAGAAATATAGAAAAAACGCCCTAAAGCATCAGAAATATTACAAAGACAAAGCTTTCTGATTTCAGAAATAATGGTTAATAGAATTTCGCCGTGTTTAATCACACAGAAAGGACTTTCTAATGGTTTAATACACAGACGAGAGAGTGAAATTGTTTTTCACAAAGGCCAACTAGTGGCAGAAAAGAGAAGTGTGATATTACATGCATGCGGTATATAATTGAGAACAACTCCTTGTAGGAACGCCATTTCAAATGTGCGATGATTCGGAAAGTATCCACTTTCTTTGCGAATCCATCAAATGTCAAAGATAACATCATGTTGTAAGATGCATTTCAATTGCGTATAATTGAGATGCATTAACAAAACTATGACAAAATTTTGCTTGTTAAAATAAAAGGCTTGTCTAAGGCACATGCATTTCTTGAAGTATAGCAAACTGGTACAGGTAACGGTTTCGTTGGGCATTTCTGTTTCAACTATCAGCCCCTTGCTACATTTTCTAGATACACCTGTATCAACATTAAGCAGGGAATAGATCTTTTGTTCATGTCACAGAAAATTCTTATCGCAGCAATTTTTGGAGCTGTCTTTTAGGGACTCATCTTTAACACTATTTAAACTACTTCCACAAATAACTGTCGGGCAATTTCTCCCGCTTCAAAGGCTGGGTGACAGCTGTCGCTTCAAACTCCAATCATTTCCTCTTCTGGCATCATCCACTCAGGGGCAGATTAATTGCCTCTACGGATAGCCCTCGCCTTCCTAGGCCAGTTATAGTGCAGTGACTGATGAACCGCCGAATAAGTAAAGATGTCTTGCTGTCACAACCAGCTGTGTCCTGCAGCAGGGTGGGCACGTTGCCATAGCACCGGTTTAATTGCTTTGCCCATGGATCATTGAAAATATAGCTTCACTTTAATAAGGGTTTTACTTTGGAGGAGTGTAGACTAAGTATTATTTTTATTTGGTCTCTTACTTTATAATGGAGATAAGCACGACAGCTTCCAAATATGTAGCTGTTTTACTGAGGTGAAATGTTCCAGCTCCATAATTGGTTGTCTTAGTTTCAGCCCCCAAAAATTCAAGACACAATGGGGCAAATGTGATAAACTTTCAAGTGAAATTTCTTTGTCTAAAAGCTAACAACAGTGGAAAAGAAAACATTGTTTGAAGAATCATAATGAAATTGGTAGCTTGGGGGGGGGGTTTAACAGGTTCAGTGGACCTTGTCTAAGATGCGTGAAAAGAAAAGAACAAAAGACATTAATGTATCACCAAGTCATATTCTGGTTGTGTCTCACAACGTCATATTCTGGTAAAGATAGAGGTAGGTGAGAGCAGCCAATAAATGCAGGTGGTACATCAAATTGATTTTCCACATACTGGGTTTTGGGGCTTCCAGCATAGCCATACACTTTGAAACCTTGCAGTTTGGGTCCTCCTGGGACTACCGCGTGGGAATAATGTAACTGGACAGTCTGTGAGAGAAGTGTGTCTCGTTAACCCTAACAGCCCTCAATGCACCTGTTAGAGGAAGCAGCACTGTTCAGGGTAACTAAAAAAAGATCTGACAGAGCAAGCATCAATTGAAAAATAGACGCAGGCTGAGCATAGAGAATGTGAAGAATAATTATGTTGGATCACTGCACCTCAGGAAAAAAATACTGTTCACTGAAATTCTTGTGTGACAGCGTGAAGATACTGAATGAAACTTTTTCAGTTCACGGTTGTCTGTACACGTACATGCAGCTCTAGTTTGTCTGCGATGGCACCTCTCTTAACCCCACCCAGAACTGCCTGCCATTTCAACAAAAAACACACTGACTACAGGTACAATGAGAATTGGAAAATACAACACATCACCTGCTTACCTGGTTTTCATTCCTACGACTCAAGGGAGGCAGGACTCGCCCTGGGTCTGTAAAACTTTTTCCATGGGTGTGATTTCTCTTCAACTCCCATCCTATCCAGCCACCGGGTGTAGAAACCCCGGAAAAGATTCAGTTTGGCTTGCTTGCTGGCTTGACGTTTACTCAGTCCACTCTGCATGAGAACAACATTATACATATTCTTTACATTAACATTACAAAAAGACAAGGAATTGTTGCCTGTTCAGAACTCAGATGAATTACCAATACAGGATTTTACTTTTAAGTAGAATAACACAACACATACATATATATGAATCAACACAGATTCCAGCATCAAACCTCAACAGTGTTCAACTGGCTCTCTACCGACTGAGCTATTTAGTGCTTTGGGTATATTTTTGCTAACAATTTGTGTGTTCTTGGGATGCTATTTTGGAGACTATAGGATCCAGTTTCCATGTTGTTTGACTTGGGTTTAAAACAAAATAAGTTTCTAACATACATGTCCAAAAACACTGGTCATGCTGCTGATCAGCATGTTTAAAAAGCAACTAGGCTTTACGTGTTTGTTTTTTTACATACAGAGAGAAGGTGAAGTATAAGTGTATTTAATTAAGCAAAGAAACTTACTGGAAATGAGGTTCAAACCAGAACTTGACAAAAAAGTTCCTGTGGTGAGTGCTCTATCAACTGCTCTGTGTATCCATGAGGGTCATTCCACGAGGTTGGGGCACAATTTGTGACGGTGTCCTTGTTACATGGGTAACTTTTACCACCTGTCATGACCTGTAGAGTAGGTCATTCACTCTATAAAAATAACACACACCTCTGTGTTCATCCGTGCAAGATGTATAATTTGGAATCCACATGCAGGGAAATAGCTGCTCATTTTTACGGAACCCATGTAACAATGAACACCGTCACAAATTGTGCCCCAACCTCATGGAATGACCCATGAATGTAACTATGATGTCTTTAAAAAATGGCAACACCAGACTGATTTCAAAGTCGATATCCGTCAAATTTATTGTTGAGTAATAAGCACTTGTACTACATGTAGTATTTAAGTGAGCAACCCACACATGTAAGTTTGCATATTTTTTCAAAATGCGTTCAGCATTCATTGCTTATAACAATGCACCAGGGAAGTGAAATATCCTACCTTTAAAATCAACCCAGGGCAGAATTGCATAAGAAGTCAATTACATGCATTTCAATAGCTTGGAGGGTGAACCTATTTATACCGACCATGATACTAGACTTTGGATGTTATCTTCAGGAGTGGGCTTCTCAGATCTTATCTTCCGCTCCTCACTTTCCATTTGATATGGTACCTCAACGCTACTGGTTCCAGTTGGATGCACTGTGACTGTGACACCCACTGGCACATAGTCAGAAAAATATGCTCGCAAGGTTGATGAACCAAAAAGCCGTTTCAACAAAGAATTGCCAATGTGAATACCTAATGTCATGCTAACAGACAACCAGGAACAATCTTGCTATTTACATGTACGTCATAAATCTCCATCCTGTAAGAGACATTCTGACCACACCGAGTGAATGAAGAGGCATCGTTAAGTTAGGTTCGAATAGTGCTTTCCAGGGCATTGCCTCCAAAAGAAATACATGTACATGTACGTACATGTATTTCAAAGGTGTACTCCGAGCACGTACTATACAATATCATAATGCGTGTTTCCCTAGGACAGAATGATGGATATTTAATAGTGAGTATATCCCAGCAACAAGGTTGATTTCACAGAAAATCTGCTCATATTTTCTACCGAAAATACATGTATTTGAGATACATGTACCTCTGGGAAGTAATTTCACAGAGCGTAATATTTGAGACGGTACCGTACATGTAAGCAAAACAAAACCTATATTGCCTCCCCTAAATCTCCCCTGGATAGCGACAAGTAAAAGATGAATTATTATAATTAATGTATACAAAAGTGGCTGAGGATCCATGTTTATATATGTATGCAAAGATATGTGAAGAGCAGGTAAAATATGTAGTTTAATGACTATAGCTCAGTCTTGCTGCATTACATTTACAATGTGCACATGTAAGCGAAAATAACTTTTTATTCACTGACTGTCAGAGAAATTTACCATTTTCCTTTCACTTCCCAAAGGATGATTACATGTTCAGATAAAACTCTAGATCAAATTTCTCACTCAAGCCCACAGCTTCAATTCCTTCTGGTGATCATTATATTGCAATTTATATGAAAATCCTTAATTAATAAGACTTCATAATAAGACAAAAATCTGTTGAAACAACTTTTAAAAATCCCATTTTAAGGATAAACAATATCTATAAGGAGTCATGAAACCATCCCCCATCATAAGAGCTTATTTTTCACCACAGTTGAGAAATATTTTCATGCAAGGACTGGCTGATCCAGGCAACCCTGGGGTGTGCACTGACTGCATTTATAACATTAATTACCTTTGAAGGGTTCTGACCAAAGGCTGCCATGGTTTCCAATTTCTCAAGAATTTGCTCATTGGGTGACACCTTGTCCTTTTCCATGCATTTTAGAAGTTCGGTCTGGTACCAATAATCTTGTCTCCTTGCTGCTGCTGTGATTAATGCTCCATAAACATGCACTGTTGGTTTGAGACCTGCCTCCTGAAATGGGCAACAGACTACAGCAATAATTTTTATGTAGTTAAAAAAATTTAACAAACTGTTTTACTTTGTTCTACTGTGCAAGGGTTACTGATTAATTACTGTACCACCATCCGGTAAGTTTCACAACCAGCTTAAAAGAGAAAAGACCCTCTCTCTATCATGCACACACAGTCAAACTGGTAACTGCAAATTAAATTTGTTTGCCATTATTTCTTTTAATCTATGGTTAGTTTCATCATTGTTCATGGAATAAACTGAGGCCTGCTAAAAAAACAGACACTTTTTATTATCAGACCATAAAAACCAATGCCCCCTGTTAATAAGCAACACTTTGAACACAGTACATTGATGCTGTATTATGCAATTCAAGGCAAGTATTAATGATGTCACTTTTCAGCAATTTCCTGCAGTGGAGTAGTCTGGTGTCAATGAGAATGCTTTAAAGACACAAGACTGTTCCGAAGCTGGAAAAGATGGACATCACAATGGAAGGGTTTGCCTTGCATGACTGATAGCGGTGTCCAATAAATTTAAAGCTAAAAATGTCTGAAACGTGGAGACTACATGTCTGTATGTACCAGATACATGTACATTTAATGTATGGTTTATTGTGTATGTCGCTATTCTCAGAAAAATGTGATGATGACTCTCTTTAACTGTATTTGTGAGAGATTTGCGTTGGTGCCAGTAACCTTGCTGTTTTAATGAAGCTCATCAGTGGGACCCAAGTGGAAATACATGTAAGCCTGTGTAATTGGCTTTTTGGGGCTATCCTAGAATTAATCAACCGTATCCTGTTTGTATGTGGATTTGTCAGTCATTGAGTTGATTGATTTCTGAATAAATACCGGTAGGAATAATAATAACATATATTTACATTTCCACTTGCTACTGGGTTATAGGGACCACACACATGTAATAAAATAGATAAGGGCTAAATAATAATAAGGGCTAAAAAGGTCACTGAGACAAATGTCTGTACCCATTACGCAGATCCAACTTTCCTTTAATACAAAAGAAATTATGCCCTTAACACAATGAGGGGTTACCAACTCATACAGGTATACGGTACTACATGTACATGTACGTACACACAGATTCTTACACGCAACACACATTTAAAGTACATGTACATGTACATATAGTAAGCTCCTTTGCCCAGGTCTTTGGCATTCAAATTCAGATTTCCTGATATGCAGTAAATCCCATTACATTGGAAATATTGCCCTGCCCCTTAAAGAGCAAAATTCTGGACCAGAGACATATTGTGCAAACAACCTACCAGTACAGATCCTGGCTGTGGGGCCATGCGCGCATATGCTGGATATTTTGGTGACAAAAGACTTTGTGGCAGCATGGGCCAAAAATGTCACCAACAAATTTTACTTTCTACATGTGGTCCATCCCTACATGCCCCCAGCATGTAGACACAAAGATGAACGCAGCCATAAACTAGAAAGCTGCAGGATCCCAAAACATGTTTGTGGATGATACTGATTTTAAACATTCACTGTACATTATTACATTTCTATAACTTATACCAAATACACCTTTCAGAACAAATGCATCCATGTTGCTTGTATCAAACCATCTACGTATAAATCTATGCAAACATCAACAGGTGATACTTTCACAAATGGCACATTACTCCCAGCCTGTGTGCCGTCTGGGCAAAGGTCTCCTTTTATGTTTACGAAAATGAGATAAAACTGTGAAAATATTTGAAGCCATATGGAATACACTATCTGGAAAGTGACTGAATATTCAAATACAGACTAAACTAAAATGTACATGCATATGCTGTGATGCAACTTGCAATGCAGTTCATTATATACATGTATATTTGTTTTTCTGTTATGTACAGTTCCTACATAGCAAATAAGAAAATGATAAATGCATCTCAATTTAATGACACGCATGACATGATGCATGTCTTTACCTTAACGCACTTGGTTATTCTGAGCCTGCTAATAAAAATGTCAATAGAAAGTGCCTTTATTTATATTTTTCCTATCTCCTTGTCTCTTTTTTTTTTCTGTTGTGTTTGTTTGTTTGTTTGTTTGTTTGTTTGTTTGTTTGTTGTTGTTTTTTAAGGATTCAAGTTGGCTTTTATGCAAGCTTTGGGACAGCCATTGGTTTTTTCAAGATAATTAATTTCTTTACTTATTCTTCTAATTTGTCTTCCCCCAAATCCCATAGACTTTGTGCCTGATTTCTGTCAGCCGCACTTCAGCTTTACAGCCTCAATCAAACTTAAACCAAGTAAAGACCTTAGGCTGTGCACTGAACATTGTGTTCATTATTATGGCGCCATGATGGAATCCTCACAAGCCATGCAACAAGCACCCGGTGGTCAATTCTTTGAAAGCTGTGGTGGCAGCAGTAAGTAAGACAGGTGAAACAACTCACCTTCATGTCTTTCAACAGCTGAATTCCATCTTTGGGCTTGACACATTCGCAGGCCAAGTTGACAAATGTCCGCAGGTTGGGAAACAAGCCCTTCTGCTGAATCAGAGGGAGTATGGCCTGGTACACAGACGTAGAAAACAACAACCGCAATTATTTCATACCAAAAGCAATCCTTTGATAAAGTACAACACAGGCAAGTTCTGCCAATAGGAGAAACACTCAAAGACTTACCAAGCATACAGGTATTTTGTGCGAGGGCACCCACAAGAGGTCCAAGCACTCAACCAAACCTAACTTTCAGACAAGACTTGAGAGGTTTTGTAAATACAGTACATGGCTGGCCAATTTAAGCCTTCAGCGAGTTAAATTTGAATAAAATCTGGTACACTGACTTTTTGAAATTTCTGTGAACACAACAATATGACTTCTTCATACTACAGACACTGTTGTAGTGTCTCATGATTCGGGACAAGCTGTTGCTAAGTTACAATGTACATGTGCATAAGATTAAGAGATGCCTTGTACCAATACACTGTTTTTCAACAGAGAAAAGCACAAAGGAACCAGTCCATTCCAGAGATGGAGGTTGCTACAATATGCAAAAGCTTACTCGGAATCACAAGGTATATATTGTAGCTACAGTCTGGGAAATTCCATTTGTTATGCTTATGTGCAATCAGATGTTAAACTCCGATTTTATTCAAAATTAACTCTCAAAAGGCTTATCAATGCCAATACTGAGTTCAATTCCTCACTGCCCTGGACCATACTTATTTTAAGTATTAGCTCTGGGAATGCTGTAATCCAAAGCACTCATGACCGAGAGCACTTCAATTTCATTGAGTGCTCATTTGAGACAGGTCACGAATGTCAGATTTTTTTTTTTTAAAGATAAACCCAAAAGAAAAATTTTGGGCCCAAATACAACCAAAGACACACAATTACAGGAAAAATAGGTTCACAATAATTTACTAAAGAGAGTAGAAAATTAAACAGAATCTTAATGAGGGAGTCTTAAAGCCATGGATGAAGGAGATAATGATGCACCCGTGTGCACAGGGTAAGAAATTTAAAATTCTTCATGCACAGTCTGCACCTTGTGTGCGATGGTTGTACCTGAATCCATCACAAATCCCTTCAAGTCCATCACAAGTCGGCCAGTCCTATGCCAAGTAACAAGCTGTTCAATTGATTGGTGACAAAGGCATCCCTTTATTATTGCAAAAATGAGATAAAATCAGAATACACATGTGTTCTGTGAATACTGTTCCTCTCATCAAATGATCCAACATAGAGTAATTGACAACACGACTGCTATTGGCTTGTAAGATGTGCTGACGCACCGGTAACACTGTAATACATACATGTACATGTACATATCTTGATTTCTGTGCATCAACGAGCACACAAGGACTTTCCGGTATCTTACAGTACTTATGTCTTTTGGCATCTTGGGTGAGGTTGACTGAGACTGTTGCAAGGAGTCAAAAAATTGTTTTCATACCTTGGCAGCTTCTAGATCAGCCCTTCGAGACCTCCTTCGGATGATAGCATTGTAGAAGTCAACATCAACCTTGACTTTGTACTCTTCTACCACTTCAAGGAGTCTTTCCTCATCCTCGGTGGTCATGGGAAGGCTCTCCATCATCAGCGTCAATGTCTTGACATTGGGGATCACACCATGCTCCTTCATGCTGTCCAGGACGCCTCTTGCACCACCTAGGAGGGCCAGGCGATCTGGGGAAGTAGAGACATTAGCCAGAGACTGGACTCGACTGATATCTGCTGACAGGTCCAAGAGGTTTGGAAGCGGTTCCTGGGGAACCAAGGTTTGATCAGCACCTCCAAACTGACCGACAGGATTCAACGTCGCCTTGTTATCAACATCTAAACTGGCATCATGCTTAACTTCAAGCGGGGTCAGTTCTATCATTTCCTCCGTGGTATGACCTTGTGACCTTTGTACTCCAGTTTGGGATGATCTCTGCCAATAGGCTTTCCTGCCTGTCTTTCCAGGGTTAGGGAGCATTTCAGGGTGTCCTTCTGCCATGTGATTAAGAAGTATACGAGTGGCAAACTCTAGATCCCCTATTCCACAATCTCGTGTGATTCTTAGTAAGAGATTGTATGTGTAGATGTCAGGCTTGATACCCCGTTGAAGCATCTGACGCCAAGCCTGTAAACAAGACAAATAAGTTCCACTTTAAATTATGCCAATTAATTACACCAATTATGCAAAAATGCAAAGGGTAATTTATGCCTATGATTAACAAAGTCAAAGGCTCACTCTCAGAGTGACTAGAAACCTACATATTGTTGATATCTTGTTAAGAGATACCAATTGAAGAAATCATACAATGCAATACTGGAAATAAAACTTTGAGATTTTGCTCTGATGTACCAAAAAGATTTGGCACTTTTGCTGTTTCGGAGAGTAAGAAATTTTTAATATTACACACTTCAAACGACACGACCATCCCAATTGTTGCTTTCAAGCCTCTTGTGCCATTTTGTCACAAGTGACCTACACATACATGTAGGTCACCAGTTCAAGAAAATTAGATATTACCAATACATAAATTCATGAAAGAGCAGGTTGTTTTGAGAAAGTATGTAATATTCAAGTGGCATGCACGTACATGTGGGTCTGTGATATTGAGCCATAAGAATGTAATTTAAGATTCTTCTCAACATGCAGTTGGAGTGGATCTTGAATTATTGTAAGAGGCATTTTTTTTCCTTTCCACAATAAAATTTTAATTAAGATGAAACAGCATTTTTGTTCTTTTTAAAAATGCTTTTCTTGGGATGGAGTATATGGCAAACCTTTTATATTTGCATGCTGTGATTTTCAAACCACAAATGGTTCATTTTAAAACTAAAAGAAAATTGCACATTTTGATTAACAATATTTGAAAATACGAATATTAGCTGCAGAATCAAACTAACTGTTTGAAACCCACTTGATTAAGAAAAATAAAGAACTTTTGTTCCTTTACAAATGGAACAAAAAGGAACTAGTTTACCTCAGAGCGATACAGCACTGACGTAAATTTTTCAAATGATCTTGTGCTGATCTACACTGCTTTGGTTGATGTGAACCTTAATTCAACAAGCATGACATAACAAGGACATATACACGTATGCACTTAGTAAGTGCATTACCCTGGAGTATGCATCCTTCTAAAATGCAAATTGAACACTTGAAGGGATACACGTGGCATGTACATAATTTTCATCTACTGCTACTGACTCAGGTGCTTCATGCCAGAGCCACGTGAACTGAGAAAGTGCAGTCACATGTACATGATCATATTTCCACGACGTTAAACAAGAAATTATGAATGCATTCATGAGCAAACACTCATCCATGCCATTTCAGTGAAGCATTATGAACCAATGCTTGAATCAATCTGCACATTATCCTTGCAACTGGAAGAAATTGATGCCACCTCAAGAACAGTGACAAACCTCCCAAACTGTAGACTCCATTGAATTTTCTGGCATTCACCCTTTGCATCCTTGTGTTTTTATCAATTCTACACCAAAAATACTTCAATTCTTTGGATAATTTGAGCCTTTGGAAAGACTCTTTCCTACAGTTATCTACATTTTATTCTATTTAAAGTAGCTCCCAAACTGAATCAGTTGGTTTTGCCCAACACATCACTCAGGATCAAAAAGAGTAAAATAGGAGCACAAAACACTACACTTGTTGCCACATTGTGGACCTGGAAATCCGCTCGTAAATCAGCATTACCACTAACCTCAATCGCATAAACTAATCCTCTCTGCTTATCACTCGCACACGCAAACAGCAGGAAGGCAAAACTCTCCGAGGTCAGTTCGGTGCCTGATGACAACAGGTCACGAAATAGGTCAAAGGCCACTGGGAGGTCGCCACACTTGGCGTAGGCCTTGATCATGGCGTGGTGGGTAATCTGGTTCACCGTGATGCCTTTCTCCTGGAGCTGGGAGTGGAGGTGGCGAAGCCTGGTCAGTCCGTCGGTCAGCGGCCATGGGGACTCGGCGCAGGCATTGAAGAGAGCTGTGAAGGTGACCTCTGAGGGTGTCAGGCCTCGCTGTTTCATCTGCAACTCACACCAGTGAATTATTCAACCATACTTTGACCAGTAAAGGTCGGCAATAGTACAATGTTACTACAGATCTTTGGAGAAGATGTGTGGTTGTGAAAAGACCCAGTGAGTTACAACTCAAATACATGCACACACAAACTCCCATCTGCCCTCCAATTTAAATTAGGAGAAGAGGGATTCAAAAATTAAATTTCAATCATTTTTCTTCTCAAAACCATTTTTTTTAAAGATTTCTCATTGGAAAGCTCATTACAAATACAGTCCTAGAAAATTATCAATCAATTCAATTTGGAAATCTTCATTGCCAGGTTCCACACCCCAAATCCACAGACAGCAGATCTTCAGAATCATGTAGTGTCTGACTGGATTTGGCATGGTTAGAGTTAAGGTTAGACTTATATACAGGGTCAACCGCATCAGTTGGATATGACTTGTGACAAAGTCGCTTGTCACTGATTATTGTACCTGATTGTACAGCTTAAATGCTTTCTTGGTGTATCCTTCTCTCCCACAAGCCCCAATCAGCACATTGTAGTTAAACTCAGTTGGCTGAACTCGGTCTTCTTTCAACATGCGGATTTCTAGCATATCAATGGCTTCCATCAACTGCAAAAGGCAAAAATTCAAAATGAAGAAGTATCAATGTATATTTATCACTCCTCAGTAAAATCTATGTGGAAATCTTTCTATGGGTATTCCTTTGTAAAACCTATGCAGAAATCTTTCTATGGGTATTTTCTTTGCTTTTCCTCTTCAAGGAATTGGTCCATAACCAGTCTTGTAAGTAACATGGATTGGAGTGCCAGCCCTATGTGTACTTCATCAAAGTGGACTTCCCTCAGAATTTATCCTCTGGAGTTCTTCTACAATATAGAATTCATTCACTGTCATCTGTCAAAAGATGGGATCACATACATGTATTGGTGTAACTAAACAAAAACAGAAACAAGAATGAATGAATAAATGATTCCTGTAAACTCCTGGAAGTTCCAAGTAACAGAAGCATTGCTGCCAGTTATTGTGCAGAAAGAGAAAAAACCTGTAAAGGGCAAATTATTTTATGCAGAAAAGCCGGTTCAGTGCCTCCCCCATAACTGGGGGCCTCAAACCCAAGCCCGGGTTCCTCCTTGCATACATGCACAAGTCTAGTACCTTTCCTTCCTTGACTAGTCTCTTCATCTGGTTACCATACCAGATTGGGGTGTTGCGCCTGCCTGGTGGCATGGCTCTCTGGTCTCCAGTCCCATCATCATCACTATCTACCTCAATGTCATAAGGGTCTCCTTCTACACGAAACTGCCAGCACATTAAGAAACATACATTAAGAAACACCATTTTAAAATGACATCTTCATCTTTTGGCACATTTGTTAGTAAAGATTTTCCTGGGTTTGGTGCATTCACATTACATACATTCCACAATGGCATTTGCCATCAGTGATATTCTGTCTTGCAAACATCAGCAATTTCTGCATCAGCGATTTCACACAAAGAAACAAAGTTTTATTCAAATGCATGCACCAGAAAAAGAGCCTGTTTCACTTTTCATTATGTTATTTGGGAGTATATTGTACTATGAAATATATATATAAATTCAAAATATCTATTGGTGTTGGGATCAATCTAAGAAATTGGCAGATGAATCCTCAAACGTCACAGTAACTGTAATATTTTTATGACCAGAGTGTCACAATATACATGTACATGGATTCTGCAAAGAACTTTCCACTATCCAGCAAACCATGATATTTGATTGTGAGAAATATGTACTTCAGAATTATGACAGGAGATATGGTCACTCAGGAAGACCGGTCCTGGAATAATAAAGAGTACTTTTATTCTCACCTTCTTTTCATACTTATTGGTCAGGGTACCAAACGTGTCTTCTGGTGACAAGTCGTCAAGCTTTTCCTGAGCCATCACTTCATCATCAGATTCCTGCTCTGCTGATCTCCTTTCAGTGTACCTCTTGGTTGCCGAATATGTCCTTCCGTACTCACTTAGCATGACCCGCTCCTTCTCCTCATCTGTTCTGCTTGAAGGATGTAGTGATTCGCTGCTCTGAGAAAACCACACTTTGGGTGAAAATGGAGGCGACGGGAAATATGTTGTCTGACACACAGTCAGAATGGATGATACAGGTCGGCATTGAGATGGCAGAGAACTGACAGAAAAGCAGGGTGCCCAACGAGGACTCGGATATGAGGCCAGCGTCCTTGCTGAGGTTAGCCGAGGGCCTGAAGTTCTTAGTATGTCATCATCCTTTTGAAAGAACCTTGGGAGGTGTGACAGAGTAGCGGATGGCTTTTTGTTCATGACAAATCTTGGAAGCCTGAAAGGCGTTATTAGTTTCTGCCCCTGCAAGGACAACACAGCTGGGAAGAGTTCCATTGTGTTTACACCAATCACAGTAGATCACACTAAAAAAAATCCTCAAGTTACAGTGTGTAAATTTGAAATTGAGATCTGCTTTCTTATGTACATGTAGATGCACATTCGCATTTCTCCTGTAGTAAACTTCTTAGATACTGTATTTCTTCCTGGTCTGAACAACAAAGCTCAGCGCTGCGCCTGGAATGAGAGCAAAAACAAGTTACTAAAATTAAAAAAGGTTTTGTTGCCGCTGTACTTTTGGCTGTGATAATTCCATTTGCATATTAAATCAATCTCAATATCTGTTGATTCTTCAACTACAAGCCATTCACCTGTTCTTTCTAATTTGTGGTTGTTGAAAATTGAAAAACATGAAAACATTTGAACTAGGGAACTAAAGTCTGAGATTTCCTGAGATCAACCTGGGTGCAATGCAAAGTAACTGACTACATGTAACATCACTATTCAGTAATATGTATGTGAATCCACATTCATTTTGAAACTTAAACAAACCTATCAAAATAATTCTCCTGTCAAACACAAGGCTAGAAAAGAAGACAAACGTGGAATAAGACTGACAGATTGCACAAACAACAAAAGATTGCACAGATTGACCAATCATGCCCAACATTTACAGTTGCAGAAAAACAGGTCGTACTTGGCAGTTTGGTACTTGATACATGTACCTGATAGAAATTCCTCCTGAATTCTCACAGCAGAACATTAACAATGTGACAAACATACAATCGATGGGGACTGTGTTCATGTATTTGGGGAAGCCCCATTTTTTTGTTATTTTACTCTTACAAAACTGGTAAGCCCCCCCCCAAATCAAAGGCAACACTCTCTTTACTGCACCAACCCTATTATTTGGAAATGTTGAATTAGGCCTATAAACTGAGAAAATTTGTTATTCTTACTTATAAACCGGCCATGCAAATTTGACTCCACCATGTGTCACGTGTTAAAGCACATTTTCCTCTCATAAATTCCCTAAAAGCACTGCCCTCTTTTTACTTCAACCTTATGATAGTCATCTACAGTATCTAGTTAAATCTGAAAAGTGAAGTTTTTTTACATGTAGGCCTAGGCCTACATGTAGGTCTCCCTTCTATTATCATGATTATAGGAGCAGGGTCCCCAAATACACAATCCCCAATTCATTAATCATGAAAATAATTCATTCTCATGGTGTTGGTATCCACATGTACATGGTCGATGATTGATTAAATATCACTTTATAGCCTACACTACACTCTGCAGTACTGGATGGTAATGAAGGGATCAGGTCAACTCGGACCCAAACCAACTCAGACCCACGCCAACTCGGACCCACCTTGAGTCAACTCGGACCCACTGAGTCTTATGGTTGCATTACACCAAATACGCGCCCATAGACCGAAATAGCCCAAAATAGTGCCAACTCTTGAACATCGCGAAAAGGTCGGCCTTCATTTTTTTGCTGGAAATTCAAGATTATGGCCAGATCAATCACTTTTCGTTTCAATTTTATAATTTTTTTTTAATTCGCCTTTTCCCAAAGATACCCCCTAATAGTAGTAAAACTATGCGCTCAGTTTTTACGAAATATTAATAATGAGCTCACTGCCAGACATACAATGCTTCAAAACTTCTCCAAGTTTAAGACAATAGGAAATATTCCACATTTTTATTTCAAAATGATTTGATTTATGTTGTTCGAAATTACCAACCTATCTGAGTTATTTGAAGAGTCAGTTTAGGCCTAAATGGGTGAATTCCTCCATCTGCCTAAATCTGCCGGTATTCGGTGAGACTTGCCAGGCCAAAAAAATTTGAAAGGTGAGGTGGGGGATAACACCACGAGACACTATAAAAGGTCAATGTTCGTGATATTGAGGTTTGTACATCAGAAGGGCCTATCTGTGGCTTTTTATTGCATCAAAAACTTTGGGGGCTGTTTGGTGAAAGTTCATTCGATTTCTTCTGGTGATCTGGAGTGCCAAAAAACTTCGGAGGAAGGGCATCAATGATTTGGTACTGTCAACCACACTCCAAAAGCTGCTCCCATTGGCTGTCCCAAGCTCCAACTCCCCGATCATAGGGTTTCAAGAATGGAAGGTGACAAAGTCAGTCTTTGTGGTCAATTACACCGGTACCTCGGAAGCTAATACATGTAACTGATTAACATTCCTGATTACAAGCGGCAAATACAAGCGACATCAAAGGAAATGTGCCTGCATAAAAATACGACGCTCGTCGGTTACTTATCATTTTTCCAAGTCATCACTGATATCAAATCTAGTCCTGTACCGTTTTCAACCACCATGCCTGTTCAAACTCGAAGCCTGTGCCACTGTTTCCCTGCATTACGTGTAGAGAGGAGGTTACATCTTGGCATCATGCAGTGCAAAAGTGTCATTTACCAAATGCTAAAATGTAAAAGTGGACAAAATCAAAATTTTCAACAAGTTAATCACGCTCCTGGGGTTGGGTCCGAGTCGACTCAGGGTGGGTCTGAGTTGGTCGTAGGTCCGAGTTAGTATTGGGTCCGAGTTGGTTGTGGGTCCGAATTGGTCGTGGGTCCGGGTTAGTATTGGGTCCGAGTTGGCATGGGTCCAAGTTGGCATGGGTCCAAGTTGGCATGGGTCCAAGTTGGTTTGGGTCTGAGTTGACTTGAAACCGCAATGAACAGGTTCTATCCCTCCGATCATGCTGATAGTTCATTTCAGTCTAGGCCTAGGCTTAAGCCTAAAGGCCCAATAACCAATAAAATTGTGCTATTCCTCAAACTTCCCATATGTTACTTGCTCTATATTCAACTGAAATTTAGGCCTCACAAAAAGTGATTGAATGAGTGTAACGGCCTCCCCCAGACCCAGTTCAATGAATCACTCACAATGCAATGACATGATAGACAAAAACATTGTCATGGATGGTGATCATTGAGATTAGCCTATTAACCCTGTTCAAAAGTCATCTTGATTCGTAATGGGGTAAGAAAAGGATATGGGGTCATAAATGCTTAAACCAACTCCCTTCATACCTTAAGTGTAAGTGTAACGAGGTCAACAGGTAAAATATTAACACATGTTGCGTGCAACGGATCGCAGATTGTCACATGAGTTCACAAGAACGCTGCCATCTTGTAAAATGCTTCGATGAGGGCGCTGTTACAGACGCGTCGAGCGAACTGATCTCGTGTTGGGCTCACGGTACTGTCCACAAATTCAAGCCCCATTGAAAACAGTGTAAAATCAGCACTGTTCAGGCTGACCCAATAACATGCACGCCAACATCCCTGATATTTCTGAAACACGAATGAATCTAATCACTAATCTNTTATTCCCACAAAACAAATCACCCCCAAAAAGTGATTTTCCAAAGTCTGATTGCAGCCATTTTTCAAGTGGCAACCCTCAACTTTCTGGGACACTTAGGACCATTTTTCAACCGTAGATTTTAACCATTCTGCTCTCATATGAAAGCTCAAAGACCCAGGGAGTTGATTCTGGCAACGATTTACACAATCTCACTATTTTAGGGTCCAAACAATCTCCTTTATCAAAAGATACTGCTAACGCTAATGCGCTGGCCATAAATTCTCACTCAAATTAGTGGTCTGCACCCCGGCCCCCAGTTGTCGATAGCACGCAGACTCTGCTCTGGATCCACAGGGTGGTGGTGGCTCGGCCAGACACGTTTAACTCCGAGTGGCAAACTGCTTTTACTTGCTCCTTGCTTCGGTTGATGTTTTTCAATAATGTTTCCCTTAAAAAAGTGCCACTGCACCAAATTTTATCGAAATGATCAGAATTACCCAGGATTTTTTTTATATTGGGGGAGGGATTCGTGGGGTGGGTATAATTGTATACGTCGCTGTTGTTCAATTTAAGTCATTTAATTTTTTTGTTTCTTTGTTTTGTCCTCAACTGAGCATGCAAGTAAGACAACTAAAAGATTTACACTGTTTGGGGGATATTGCAGCCTTTAGACTTAGGCCAAAAACAAATGGCAATGAGTAGAAAGGGAAAGTGATTTGATCCTCACCCCCCCCTGGATTTCGGAGCTGAGCGTATACTTTGACTACTATTTGGGGGTGTTTTAGGGGAAGGGCGAATGTAAGAAAATTGTGTGGCCAACCCCTATGAAAATGAAAGAGAAATGAACCTCTGGCCATAATCTTGAATTTCCAAACAAAAATGGGACCCCAATCGCTTCCTAAGAGTCTCCAGGTTTCGCTATTTCTGTTCGATGCGCACTAGTGTTTTCTATACTTGTAGCGCAATTTTCTATGCTTTCCTGGACAACTGGGGGCGCTGTTTCTGTGATGTGAGGCGAATTACCCTTTTTAAAATTTAATCCCTCCGAAACGGGGATTTCTCTGTTTATCTTAGCAGCGTGCGAGCGGTGACATTGAGTACACACTTGCCGCGCCTTGGTGATTTCAAGTCGTACGGTCAGCCGTGTTTGCCTGGTGACGTGCGTTTGCCCTCACGCTATGATGAGCACGTGATTGGCACGCGCTTCTCTCTGCGCCACATGCAATGCGCAGTGCGCAGGTTACATTGTGCGTGGTATGTACTCGTGCTTCAGACTATTAGTGCCGGCATGCTGGACATCGTAGCTCAGTGTCATTGGTAGAAGGCCCACGAGGTGCTGTTTAATGAATTGGTCTATTTTGGAGATGCATCAAGGTAGAAACTACACTAAAATTACATGAGAATTACAGAGCTGCGAAGTCGTCTGGTATTTAAATTCAAGAAAGTACAACCATAAAGGCCAGTTCATACTTTAGGCGAATGGGAAAGCGAAGCAAATTTGACGTCACGAGAAGTTTGCGACGAAATTTAGCTGGAGTTGAATTGAGTTGAGTTGTGTTCAACTTTTACGAATTTGCAGCGAAAATATTTGATCGGACGTCACAAATTCGCGTTCGTTTTCGCTTTCGCGCGGGGTATGAGCCGGCCTTCAGACTGATGAAAATTGCCGTGTATAATGGAAAGTTTAATAGTAGCCTACGGCTAAAAAGTCTCCGATTTCTGGTCAGCGCGCGTGTCGCAGTAGACAGTGCTCGTCGGCAAAATAAAAAAGTTTTTATTTGGTATGTCCAAAAGCTGCCAAATTTAAACTTGCGACTGGAGTCCTGCCACTGCGTAATTTTAACGTGTTTCTGATGGGGAACAGTTGAGTAATATGTCAAGTAAAGGAGTCGCTCTAGTTCCCCATACATTAGTCGGGCACTCTTTTTCAGATGACGTCATTTCTGTATTCACTTACATCTGGGAACAGACAAGCGAGGTGGTCTTATGTCCTATGTATATGTAAAAGCTGAAAATACTTTAATATTAAAAAGTGCGGGAGTCAGTCTATTTTAGAGTCACCTGCGCATATATAGTTGATGGACATGGCGCGCGCGTTATACGTGCATCATTTCCGGAAAAAAAGTGAGGGTAAAAAAAACCGCGTTGCCGCACCACTTTTGGAGCCAACTAATGACTAGACAACTAAGTTGTTTGGGCACAGTGCATGCGGGCAAGTCGAAATTACCAGGCCAACGTGCTTAGATTATTTTTGCAATTTTTTCTAACGTGAAAAAAGGTCAAAAGAACGCGTTGATGCTTCATCTCTTTGTCCAGAGTGCAAGATGATCAAATTGCGGAACGAGCAAAATAGAATGAAATGAAACTAGCTTGAAAAATAAATAAATAAATTGATAAAACGCAGATTAAATTATTTCGGTACAAAATCACAGAATTTTGATATGAAAACAAACTTTAACTTCCAAAAAGCATAAAGGCCCACGAACGATCAAAGCACAAAACAGCAGAAGTGCAAAACATCCTCTGTGAATTTTTTCTATTCTTGTGTTTTTGAGTTTCTTGATTACATTTTAATGTGGTTTGTACTTCGTCCTTCTATTTGTGATTTTTCCATTTTAAATCTAAATGATGCTTGCTATTATTATTTTCATTCCTGTGCGTAATTTGTATATAGCCAGACGTGAACACGGACCAGCTCAGTGCCTCACGTATAGAACTATTTATTTAGAAGACTGGTAGACCAAGGATGCTCAAACCGAGCAAAAAACGCGTATTGCACTAAAGTGATGCCGTCCAAACACTGCTGTGTTACTAATGGCAAGTCAAGGGCAGGTCTTCTGCAACCTGTGCACCTAGCTTAGTGGGGCTTCTGGTGGCATGCACGGGCAGAGATTTCCTGTTACATTTATTTCTGAAAGCCCAACACAGCCTTCATACCAGGTGAGATCGTGACGCCGGAAGGTGCGGAGTACGCGGTGGTGCGGGCTAAGTCAGTGACTTGAAAAGTGTGTGTGTGGGGGGGGGAGGTGGTCATTTTGGTAATCTCCCTGGTCAAAAAGTGGGAGAGAATTCCCCACCAACCCCCCCCCCCCCTGTCCATCCCCCGATCACTGCCCTTGACTGGTTGCTTGAGGCTCTTAGTTTAGGCTGTACTTAGGTAACACATCTCCAGCCCAAGCTTACTTTGAGACTAGGTTTTAATTATGTGCTTTAGGGCTCCCGTAAATGCTCAACCCTCTGCTTTTTGCCGCAACTAAAGGCTTTCAAGTTGTCACCAGTGAAACAGATGTCTCCCATTGTTCTACTAATGCAAACAATGGGCCAAAAAGCGCATTGCGTCTTTTCAGTCATTTTTTTGTATGGGCGGCAGAAACATAAACTTAAAAAGTAGATTAAAAGAATAGGTCTAACGGACCTTTAGACCAGCCGGGATGCTTGTTGTTCCATTCCTTGCCCAAGAGCAGTTCTACCTTTATCTCATATATTATTAATATTTAATACTCCTTTATTTTTCACTTTATGTAGCTAAAAATGTCGGCTATATTACTGTTATTAGTTTTAAGCCTTTGGCCGGCCATACATGTGCCCGTCAATCTCTGCATAGCTGCTCCACACAGGCCTATAATGCGCGCGCGGATGTGTCTGGATTTCGCTCAAATGTCGTTTAGGCCGCGGCTGAACCCAGAACTTAGGCCTAACCATGGAAAATAAGTCTTTTTGCAAGGATGACGTGGACCCCATCTTGGACTGAACAGAAGAGGTGAAATAAGAGCAGAATTTTACTCCTAAGCGGCGTGAAACGTCTTACATGAGATGTTGCAAGAAAAACTGTTCATCGTTTTGTCCAGGAAGAAATGTCGCAACTTCAATGCACAGCCCATGCCTGGTAACTAGGGCGTAACACCGCAGTCCACTACAGTCAATGACACGAAGTCGCCCCACATCTCCCTACTTGAATGGCCAAGGAAAGCAAGTCATTGGTAAGTTATGAAATTCTCTGTGTCTGTGTATTGCCATGGACACTTCAGCGTCTCACCACAAAGAAAGTGGGGCCGAAATGAGTAGAAAAAAGAAACATTTGTGAGTGTGATTTTCTCTCCGAAGTGCAAGAAGTTTCACATTAATAAAATATTCTTCCAGATTTTTAGAAATCAAGCAATTCCTCTTGGTATGCAGTCCCTTTTCAGCTATAATACGGACTAAATTTTAGCTCAATGAAGTATCCATACCGGTGGTGTTTCGACTATAGGCGTATACGTAGGTTTAAAAAAGCAAAGATTTTTCCCTGTATGCAAGTCGCAAGACACACCTTGACAACACGTACCGAGCACAACCGAGGTGTTTGCAAGTTTTAAGACACGCCCTCTTTTGAGGGATTGTGAAAGGGGATTTCCAAGGATGTTGGGCCGAAAAAGGACATTCTTTTTTGAAATGAGCTACGCCAGGCATTCCGCACGTGGCAAGGTTATAAACGGCGCATTCAACATTTCAATGAAAACAGCATGATAAATACCCCGCTGTATTGCAAGATTGTTTGGTCCAAAAACTCAAACAAGGAAACACAACTACCGGTAGTCATGTACAAAAGTACTTCATCATGGCTTTCACTTTTATTACTGAACCTTAAGGACTGTACAGATATTTACAGATATTTCTCATGGCCAACATAACTCTTACTCTGACAAATTTGTTCATGTGTCCTTTCTCTGCACTGCAAGGTTTAAACTTACATGTACCTGAAAACTGAATGAACTGTAAACTACATTTATAACATCTCTAAATTAGCTAGTAATTTCTGACTTCCTCTTTAAATATTGCAAAATTCTCTGAATATAATCACAGCATCTTCTACTCTGTTTTACTTTGATCTCTGAGGTGAACTTACCTTGGGATAAACAGCAGTGTTTATCCTAACTACTTTGACATTAAGAAGAACATGAACAATCCATTTCAGGGGAATACTTTTCATTCATAAAGTAATTAGCTACAAACAATCTTTGGCATGAAAGCACGGCAAGTTAAAATTAAATTTAACGTAAGAACATGAATGTGTATTTTAGAGCTAAGGTGACAGTTTGAATTCAGTACAACAGTAAACTAGATTGATTGTTTAAACAGAATTAAACAAGGTGAAAACAGAAGTTCCTTCAACCAGTTTTTTTTTTTCACTTCAAAAACGCATAACACCTCAGACAAAAGAAAAAACAAAACACAATTATATGTATCGAAAATTGATGGACTCATGAATGACTTAGATGTTACACCAAATCTCTGTTTATATAGAGTGAAGTCACAGGAAAATCAATGAAACTTTGAGAAGTTTGGCTAAATGCATTAGGCTTTGCATTTCATTAGTGTCCTGCCTTTTTGACTCTGTACACGAGAACTCAAAAATACAGTTGCTTAAATATTAGTGCTTAAAATACATCTACCTTCACACATACATGTAGATGTACATATAACTGTGACCCACTCTGTAAAAGGTATATATTATGTCGCAAAAATTTAAAATTAAACAAAACAAATACAGCCTTTGAACATTTTGAGTCCAGCACAGACTAAGGCATGGAATATTCAACTAAAATCTCCCTAGAAACTAATATTGATCCTTTTGGACATTTTTGTTAAAAAAACCTGAGGAGCTATTTCTGAGAAAAAACACCCAGAAAATTCCATCAGAAATTTCACACTCAACTTTGAGCAGGGCCATTGCACAGAAAGGCATCGTGGGACAAATATCACCATTTCCCAGAGAGGGTCACAATTTTTTTGGTTTCAGTTTCCATTCTAAACACTTCACTAAAGTGCATCTACATTAAAAATCACTGCAAAACATCTTATTTCTTGGAATGTGTGCAATTTGGCATTGGAACAGCTCATAAAGCCTACATAGTCACAATTCTAAATGGCAAGCAAAATACACATGTACTCATATAAAAATGATGTGCAAAGTCCCACAAAACATAATTTCAATAATCATTCCATACAATGTCTCATAAAAATTACCCATGCATTACTAATTGACAATTATGCTCCAGTGTCCTGAATTGCATTTTACACGTATTTCAAATTTTCCATCATTCCGAACACTGAATAACTTGTAAGTGTACAGCAGATTGGTGGCAGGCGAAGGCACACAGTAAGCCATGTATCAGTTTAAGGCAAAGAATTTCAAAAATGATTTGAAAACTATGCAAGTCCTTTAATTTCCTTGGTGTTAAAAGTGTGTAGAGGCAGAAAATATATTGTACTAAATCACTCTTTTAGAATAAAATACAAATGGTGGAATAGAAAATGGATAACATCATTTTTTTTCCCAAGTCGGTACCAGGGTTACAAATAAATTTATTATTGTGCTCATTTTTTCAAATTGGCAGTGCCACAGAGACCCCTCTGGACAATTTCTGGTGGAATTTTTACTTATACAAAATTTGAAGTAGCTAAAAAACATGGAAGTCCTTTTCTTGCTCTCTTTGTAGATATTTTGGATTTTCATAGAGGGGTTTAGGGCTGTGATTTTAGGCCAGTGCATGTACATTAAATAATCCCATACAAATTCAGCCAAAAGATGAGGTATCACAGGTTATTTCTGAAAATGTTGAATATACGACGCATCCAACAAAGCCAACCATTACTTTATCCCTACATTTAGATAAATTCTACTGGATAAGTAAAAAAATCTTCTTCCAGTATTTTTCGTTAAAACTACAGTCAAACAAAATTCAGCCATGAGTATGTACAGTTAAATAATTCAGCCAGGAATCAGTTCAACATTGATAAAATTTTAAATTCCAACTGGAAGCAGTGTCATTTTTATTTGATTGGGGAAATTTCCAAATTTGTGGCAGAACATTAAGCACTGCTGAAATAAGGAGCTTACTGCATTTGAATGTAACAACTAGCGCAAGGAATCTCTCAGCCTTTCTGTACAAGTAGTGAGAACAATAAATCACACAAGGTACTTTAAAAACCTTGCTTACATACAGCACCCATCAGAGGTTTTAATTGTGAACAAAAGTGGTGATGGTTTTAAATGTGTGCTATAACATACCCGCTGTTTTGAGGTTTTCCCTAATGATGGTTTCCATGACAATCTGAAAAACTACCTCTACGTTGGTGGTGTCAGTTGCTGTGGTAAAGTGGGGGTATATGTGCTTCTTAGGGTTGTGGTTGGCATCTTGAAAGCGTCTACGGAGGAAACGACAGGCTGTCTCAACATCATAATCGGGACCTGTGAGCATATTGTACAGTATGGCCAATTATAAAAAAAGTGTACAGAGTGACTTGTTGAAACCATGCTTCCTTAAATATCATATCACACAGAAACAGAGTGACTGCCAGCTTTTTTCATGAGCCAAGCCTGATCCTGTTACTACAACAATCGAAGTGACCCATGTGCTGTATTCTTTTTTTTTTTTCAAACTCAATCACATACATACCTGGATATTCAGGAAAGTACAGCCTGAGTTGTCTTTCAGTGTGGAGGATCTTTTGTCGGAACAAGTCCACTTTGTTCAGGAAGAGGATGATGGTGGTGTTTCTGAAGAAACAGTTGTTGCAGACAGACTCAAACAAATGGAGGCTTTCCCTCAGCCGATTCTAAAATTAGTAATATTAATAGACCAAAGACGTTAGGAAGGTCACATCTCATAGGATATTTTGGAGAGCCAATCTGAAATTCCACTCCCAACAAAAGAGAACTTAGAGAATGCATAATGATCAAAATTTCAAAAATAACTTATTCGGAGCCTCAAGCCACCACTAAGTTTGAAAATCTAGTGTAAGACGATGACAGACTTAACATCTCCTTATGCACATGTAGAGCCAATCCAGATGCTATCAGAACTCGTCACTGCCAGTGTTTAGTTTAATTAAATTCTAAACAAAGTATCTTGTCCTAAAGCAAGATAATTATTGCAAGACACGGTAAGACATTTTGTCATAATTAATTTGTGGCAATACCTTTATGAATTTAATTGTTTTCATTTTATTGCAGTTTTTATCTTATTTGATTCTTTTGGGTTAACGGAGGGTTTCTACAAAATGCACAGGCACAGTAGTCTGAAGAGACCTAAAGAGAAGAGGAAGAATGGCGTAAATAACCACTGAATGATAACAATTATAACTCCCCAAAACATGCCATCAGATATGGACTAAAACCCCAATGGACAAGTAGGTCTGGGCAGGATTTGAACCCAGATCACAGAGGCAGAGGGTAAAGACAATACCACTGCACCAACCTTACTCTCCCATTTGCCATTTCAATGACCTGCACCATTTTCAGTTCAGCAACAATTCAATACTGTGCACTGTCCTATTTGTTTATATCTGGAAAACATATGTTCATGACAGTCAAAACTTTAACTACGTTGGTGAAGCTGGATGTTATAGTGCCCGAATGTATGTGGTCAACGCTCGTTATAACAAAGTTTCGGGGACCAGACAAATTACATGTACTTTGTTGCAACCAGGGCTTTGTTATAAAAGGAGTGAAAAAACAAAGAAAACAACAAAAATTCAAGAAATCGGGATTTGAAGTATTCACTCTTTATAACAGTATTTTTTTGTATATTTAGGGTCAACTGTACTTTAATCTTGTTCACTTACAACTTCAGGATCTTCAAATAGCGTCATGTCATAACCACTCAGTGCTGTAACATAGAGAAGAGCCTTAACATCATCAAAGCACTGGATCCATTTCCTCCTCTCTGACCTCTGACCTCCGACATCGTACATTCTGGGTGTCAAGATGTACAAGTCATTAATCATACACAGAAACTTGTACACTGGCATATGACTTACAGCCCAAACAAATAAACATTCTATAAACAGGCCAGGTCTCGATAGTTTATATTTACACTACAGGTGGCCATAACTACAAGTGGCCGTGATTGAGTAGGAAAGTACACATATATGTACATGTACTCTCCTACATATATGTGCAAGTAATTTGTGGGTTTTTGCGAATCACCAAATTGAAAACGAACCACAGCTTTCACCTTAGTGTTGGAAAAAATCTAATATCTATTCATAATAATTTTTACTCCACAGGGCTCATGTAAAATCAGGATCAAAAAACATTTCTACACATGTAATGGTATGATAAAGAGACATTATTTCAAGGCAGAGAGTAAATCTACCACATTACTGGAACAAAAACAATCCTAAGAACAATTTTCAATTAAACTTTATTCAAATACAGTTTGACTATACAAGAAAACAAAAGCCTGGCAACAAAACATTTTGTTGCAAAGATAAGCAGTCTACATTAATTCACTCAGTGCATTTGCTAGAAACCTTCCTGAGTCTTCCACTGTGTACATGTGCTTATATTTTTGGAGTCTCCTCTGAAAATAAACAGCTCTAGAAGAGTTTGGGTTGAGTTCAGCAATTTCACAGATTACACTTTAGTTTACAGTTTCAGATGGTTTTTAGGGTTCTTTGGGGGTGAAACATGTAGGTCATTAAGTAGCTAATTACCTGAATATCACGCCTTTGATCTTGAAGTGTGTCTCAATCACACCAGTAGTTCTGACTCTTGCCCTCAAGACATCTACTGTGCTTGGTCTGTAGTACTCTGAGGTTATCCTCTCCATATTTTCAAAGTAACTAAAAGACCAGAAATGCATGATGTACATACTTTTTGTGACTGTTTGTTCAAATCAGTCTATAGAACAAGAGATTTTTAATGAAATTAGGATCTGTAAGACCACATAAAAGTAAACGAAACAGCAGGGAGTCGTGCAGTTACATATGACAAAGTAGAGAAAAATTCTTTAAAAAATACATGTACTCAAATAGTGTTTTTAGTATTTTTTTAAGTACATTGAAAACTACACAATAAAAGTATAACTTGAAAATAATACGATGAATAATGTCACAGAGTTAAAACACAAGAAACAAAATTTGTGCAGTTGTGATTCATGTTGAAAGGAAAAGCAAATAATACTTGAATTACAAAGTAGCACAGGCTGAAGAGAAGGAAGGTCACAGAAAATCTCTCCTCTCGGTGTTTCTTTGAGTTTTGGCTTTCTCAACTATAGTCTGTCTTTGACAGAATGTTTATTTGTTACCTATGTAGGCTGGAACGTCTGATCTAAAGGCTGTCATCATGCATAGGGTTGTAACACACAGCTCAACAGCTGCACAGCGTCTGGTACATTCCTTTTCATGTTAAGAACTATTTATATTCAGTGCTTGATGTCTTAATGAATCATTAGTTCAATTTGCTTTCTGTCTTTTTTCCCAAATAAAAAAATGGAAATGCCTCTCAGATTCATTCCTTACTGATTACTCTTGACCATGCCACACAATATCATGAAAGGGCCAGTTGCATTCAATAGTAAGTATAAGATTTACATCTAAACAAGGCATACACATAAAACAAATATACGGAACTTCACAGGAAAACAAACAGGAATGGAATATCAAGACAAAAAATGCTAGAAGTTTTCAAACAAAAATGTCTAGACTTTGAAAGTTACAGGAAGTGGATTTGGCCAACACTATTCAATTATTTTTGTGCACCTTGAAAACATACAGGTGTGGAATTTCTAGGAAATTACACTGTATAATACATGCACATACACAGTATATACATAATGGTGCATGAAACCTGATCAAAGAAAGCGGAATCCATTCTTATCAACACTTACTTATTTGGGTCGATGAGATTGTATAATTTACACTGCATTTACATCATTTCCATTTTTTGTTCAAAGTGAGAGCTGCTTTCTTGGATGCACTAGTGTCATTATTAAAACTGTTTTCCTGCTTCAGTTTTCCAATTAATTTTCATTTTAAGCAGACTGCTGTAAACTGTGGCAAGAGAACTGGCAGATGGAAAGTGGCTGACATTTTGATCTTGATAAAATCAATTTTAAAAAGGTACATGTATGAAATTGTGCGAACTCTACGCTGAGGATGGAAACAAAACTTACTATAATGCTGAGTCATTAAGCTCAAATTCATGACCTCTGGCTACGCATGCCCGGATGCCTGTGTCATTCCACAGGGCTCGCAGGGCTATGGCAATAGATGTACGCATCTTGACCTGTTCGTCAAAACACCGGTGGCATTGCAGGATAGTCTGGGCGTAGATCTGGAAACGAAGAACAAGTTTTTATTATTCTGTGTCATTATCTATAAGACATGCATGTCCACCTGTTTTTCTGTGAATCTATTTTAAAATAGAATATTAAACAAAAAAGAAAATGGAACTGTACACATGTAATACCTAATGTTTGTCATGGGAAGAATGTGGCAGTTTTCCATGCTTTTAATCATTGAGTTCAGAATTATGGCTCGGCTACGGTTGGTTGTACATGTAGTTTCATTTAGTACTGCAAAATGCCAGTCTTTGAACATGTTATAGTCTTATAGTTACTGTATGCAAAAGATACATGTAACTTGACACTGTATGTATCAGTGATACATGTGCGTACCGGTACATGTACATGTACGCCACTCATTTCCATTAAATTATCTAACATACATGTGTAATAAAAAGTTCATGAACATTTATTTCTAGTAATATCAACATTTGTACATGTACTTCATTCATGTCATAAGGGGTTGCTTGTTACGTCCCCTGTGGAATAACACACATCCCAACTGAGTCGAAAACTTTTTCTATCATTTCAACATCAGAGCAAAAAACCTTCTTCTGCGGGTTGTAGAAGGGCTTAGGCTTCAGCAGCCTAATTCACAATTCAGTCTTTGGAGGCCAAAATTTGGGTAGCTCAGATTTATAGACTACATGTACATGTACATCACTGTCAACTGTACCTTGTTTCTTGGGTTGGCAAGGGGAATTCGTAGAAGACCCATACCATTCAGAACATACTTCATGGAGCTTAGAAGGTTGTCAAGAACTGCTGGCTGTCAGTGGAAAAAAATTGATTAATTTTTCCTTTCATGTATTTCAACCAAGGGCAATGGCAAAATTATGCCAACTACAAAATCACATGAACTGAAGGGTAAATCTTTCTTGATGCCTTCTTTTGGCAGTGGTTTTCCAGCACACTCATTGCATCTACCAGCAAGAGATCAGTGGAACGGCAATGAGTTCACACTGGACAAATTAAATTGCATTTTTGTTTGAGTTCTACATGAATACAAAAAATTTAACCATACACTACACAAAGAAAAAGTCAGTTAAACAGAAAACAACTTGGCGCTAACAAAGAGTAGATAAGGTTAATTAGTTGCTGCTTGTCTTTTTGATTTAACAGACTGCACAGAAGCAAGCAGGTGCATGATTAATGGCTGCCTCTGCAGTATAAACTGTGTGTACATGTACTTAGTCACTGTCCACAGGCAGTGAACAATAACCATTATTCTGTTCCTTGCAAGAGGTGGCAAACATAACCTGTACATGTTATTTTCGGCCCAGTCTTTTGTGTTCCTCAGCTTGAGTCCAACAAGGGACCAAACTTTCTGTACAGCCAGGCACGCATACATGTGTAATATTAGTTGAATGCACGCACCACATATAAAGTAGTCAATCATGATTCACTGATAATTTCAAATTGTAATGAATTAACAATTCTTTGAATTGTAATGAAAAAAAACCATGTAGTGAATATAAAGTTCTCTGTAAAATGAACTGGTCAAGCAGAAATTTTGCAAGACGGATTAAGGCTAGAGAGAATCTATGCTATGCTTTCCATTTGCATACAGCTTGCAATCTTTCCCCTTTTTTGACCTTCCTGTTGACAATTCCGTCTCTCTTTCTTTTGATGGGGAGGGTAGTGTAGTGCAGTGTTTCATGTATACAAATACACTTGTTAATGAATGCGTACAGCAAACATACACATGTAGTGTTACGGTAACTTGGCACAACACTTCAAGAATTCCTTTAAAGCACACTTATAAAAGAGAAAGGAAATTTGTGATACACAATAAGTGTATACACAGTGTAGAAGTACATGTATTACACTACTTTTAGTACTTACATGTATATTGATCAGTGACAGAAGTTTATAATATGGAATTCATGTTCTGTAACTACATGTAAGTGTATTTTGAGGGTTAACTAACTTCAAACTGTGATCTCTCTTTTCATTGATTCTTGTTCTTGTGAGTCATTATGAGTAAGATCTGCAGTTATTTGTGCTGATCACCCAAGCACACTTCACAGCCAATGTGCAACAAAAGAACATTTTCAAGGATACTTCTTTCTCTATTTGCTTCAGTACCTTGTTTTGCAAAGATTGTGACATTAAGTGAATTTCCAATAACTATGGCATAAAAACTAAGCGGTTTTTGCCACAAAATACAAGTGCATTTGCATGTAACCAGAGACATATAGACTTAAAACTTATCAGAGCAATAACCACATACTGCACTTCAGTGTAGGCGAGCGTAGGTTGCCATAATAAAAAGAATAAATATTCCATGTACATGTGGGAATAATACATAATCACATCTAATGGTCTACGTCAGCAACATGAGCACTGGTTCATAATTCATGACTGTCAGTAGAAAGTTTTTGGTTGCCAGGGTGCGTGATTAAAAAACAACTTATGGGTATATAAATCTTGAAATTTGAAATCGTCACTTTTTAAAAAGTAACTTCAGCAAGTTGACAACTTTTCAGTTGTCTGTATTTTTTTGGGGGGCAGTTTTACATACAGAACTCGTGAACAAAAAAGCAACCACACAGTCATTACTTTCATGTGTTTACTGACAAAATTCCAGAAGCCTTGGCAAGACTAATCAATTAAACCCAAAGCTTTCCTCTAAGCTCTGAAACACATCAAGTGGCAATTATATCAGACTAAACCCACTGGCCAATGCTTTCAGCCTCTCACATCGATTCCCACTGGCAGTGAAAGGCTTGTTTACATGCCAGTGGGGCTTTAGATTGGATTGGGTGTCCCAAGAGATGGCCTGTGGACAAAGGACCTCTTTGTCCTGGCATCAAGTCTTACTTTGAATAATTTACATTCAAAGGTTTCAGATGCTATCCGTGTTCATTGATATACAGCATGAATGTGCAACCTACATACATGTTCCAGTAGTTCCTGTTTCTTTGTAGTTGAAACAAGAATGTAAAGTCAATGGGGGACCTCTTCATGAAACAATTCTCAGTTACCTTGAACCTTTTGCCAGTCCAGTCAAATAAAATTGTCGCATACGTTTATGGTCATTTATTAAGGACTTTACAAAAGAACAAAAGAACTGCTACCATATTAGTTTGTAATTCTGCAAAGAACTGGAAAGCGTGTGTTTTAGTAAAAGTATGGGACATATCTCTCATTATTGTACATGTAAGACTGGAAATGTGTAAAACACTGGATTCACAAAAAATAAGGAATGAGAAAATGATAAAGTTCAAACTTTTCACTATACATTCAAAGGACAGATTTACATTGGTTTCAAAAATTTATGTCCACCAGTCTACCACAGAATGTTCTAATTTCCACAAATTTAATTATGAATTGTACAAAATGAATTTGCAAGATGAAAACTCCTTTCGACACAACAAGAAACAGAATGAAGTGACTGATGAATGTAATCAACAGCAGTGGTGTATCGGGAAGGGGGGGGGACTTGCCCCCTGCCCCAGTGTATTTATTTATTAAATATTAGCACCAAACCCTAAGAAAAGAACACCCGCAAATAAAAGCAAGGATGTTGGGATGTGCTTAAGCTTTTTACTTTTTCCTCCCGAACATCATGTTGACTCAGCCCGAAGCCACACTCACTTTTGAATTTGCCCCCACCCTGAAACCAAAAGCTGGATATGCCACTGATCACCAGTACCATCAAACAAGTGAGATGTACATGTATACTTTTAGTTTTAAAGAATCCAGTCCTGTGTGTTACAAAAACAAAGTGTAAATCATGTTTCTATCATGTCATGATATTGTAAAAAAAAAGGTAAATTTGATGCCCATGAACGGTTCAATAGTTAGTGGCCCACAGTTAGCATTGTCACATCCGATAGTGAGTGAAAATGTGGGTCCATGGAACATGTAACACAAATTTGTGTTATTTGTGGGATGGGTCAGAATAAACAAACTATTGATTTGTGTGCCCAGTTTCAAACCAAAGAATATGTCTGTGTTTGTCAGGTTACAAAATTTGATCAATTAGCGCAAATCAGTAAGAAGCAAGCAGATGCGAATTGGGGACATCCTGTTTGCTTTCCAAAAACGCTGTCAACAGAGACCACACAAATGTACTATGTACAGTATGAAACTTTGTACATGTAAGCTGCTCACAAACATGCATGGTCTAGTCATTTGCCTCATTCCCTTCTCAATCCTTGCTCTTTGAGATATTAAAGTTTTGCTTGGAAACTTGTGCAACCCTGCTTCATCACACACAGTGTATACATGTATTTGTGTGGCAGTATCAGAGCACTGTACATGTATATGTATAAAACCTCATGTTAGGCTCTGGCACCTTCAAAAACTTCAGTAGTTCCCTCAGTAATGAAAATTGCATTTACAAGTCCATATAAACTAGTATTTATTAAAGTTTATTTCATTCAATCATTCAATAGGCCTTGAATTTGTGAGCCGGTTTAGTTCACGAGCACACAAACCATAGGATAATGTATGTACAAGTACCTGATCTATGTAAACTCTATACCGTAAGGCCTTATAGGTACTTGTAAATCTCTCCATGTACAACTTATTTAGCAGGTACATGGACATTTCAAAATAGCAAAGTAATTGGAGGGTGAGCAAGAGAGGACAACTTCTGGAGCTTACCTTGAAGCTCATGAGTTCATGATTAGTAAAGCCATCACTGTGAATGATCTTCATCTGTTTCACTAATGTACTCTTGCCACTCTCTCCAGCACCTTGACAAAGGAAAACAGAAATCAAGTGTTCACTTTATTGCACATGACTGGCTAATCATTTCAGGCAGTTGTTAAATCCCACACTTGTATCCGAGTCACAAAACATCAAGTCCAAGTCCGAGCCACATCTCTTAAGTCTGAGTCCCGAGTCATCAAATTCAAGTCCGAGTCCAAGTCACAAAAGTTGAGTCCATGACCGAGTCACAAGTCACCTTTATTATTGTATTAGAAACACACTTTGAGGTTCTGCAAATGCTTCAGTTGCAGAAATAAAACATTTTTTCCTCTAATTTTTCTCAGCACTGCAGAATTTGCTTTCTGTGCTTAATCTTCCATATTTCTTGTAAAATTGATAGGGCTGTGCCAAATATCCGAATAACTGAATATTTGATCAATTGTTGAATATTTGAATATTATTTTTTGAATTTGAATATTTAAATGCTAAATTCATGAAAAGAAAAGGAAAATTTTCTTTTGTTTTAAATGATAAAAATTGCACTATGGAGGGTTGTTTCAAGCAGACTCAAATGAAGAGCGTCAGAAATCTTACAACGATTTAAAAAGTAAATTATTCATTAAACAATTTAAAAGGAATAGAAATTTCCAACAGGGCAAGAAGTCATGTTCGTCTCTTTTATCTTGCTAAATTGTGGGTGGAGATACTCCTAGATGTGAGAAGCTATTATTATGATCATAACGTACAATCGTGTGTGTTATTGCAACTGATTTTGTACATAGCTTGTTCACCAACAATCTGCCGGTCAGTGCGACTGAATATTTGGATATTTGATCAAATGGAAGGTCAAATATTCGAATAGTGAATTAATTTGAATTGACTCAGCCCTAAAAATTGATAAACCCAAACTTGACTACTTTTGGAACAGATGCCATGACCGTGCTTCGTGCTTCCACATACACACAGACCACACTGACGTCAGATCGTCAGACCCATACCCGGCTCCAACTGAAACTCTTTGAACAGCAATACATATGATTTAGTCTTGCTTGGCAGGGCACCAGTCTGCGTCCAGCAAGAATAGTCTGATACGGAATACATGTACATCATCGTGCATTAATGCAGTATCAAGTTTGGAGAGGGTACATGTACGTTTTGACACATTGATGTCCCTTATAAATGCAACATGTATATTGGTAACCGTGTCACCCGCTGTTTTGCTCAGGAAAAAAAATAGTCACAAGTGCCGAGTTCTGTCGAGTCACAAGTCAAGAAGGTCGAGTCTGAGTATTTGTTAGTGACCCGAGTTGGAGTCACTAAAAATGTGACTCGAGACTGAGCCACGAGTCATACAAGCCTGTTTATTACACTCTCAAAGATACTGGTGGGGGAGTTCAAATTTGTAACCAGTGAAGCTTTACATGTCTTTTTTATTTTTCAGCTCAAAATGATTACAATTTTTTTGGAAAGTATCAACAACTCCATTCAATATAGACAAAAAGTGAAATGTGTGTTTTTGAGCATGTTTTACACTTTAAGTGTAAAACTACTTTGAACACTTACATGTACTTAATTTTCGCAATTTTTGACAATATTTGAAGGGACTTTAACTGTATAATTCAACATGCTCTGCATTAAATAGTTTCATGTGATTGGTGGATCTGTGCCATTGCTTGATTGCACTGTGCCATTGGATGATCCTGTATGAAATCCATTGATTCCGCTGCCATCAGATAATCACCTTTTCTTAATTGTGTGAAAAGGCGAGGTAAAGTTAGAGATTTTGTAGGGGATTGTCCATCGACACCTGTCCATCGTCAAGTGATCTTGCAGATCCATTAATCGTGCCCAGTGTCTGAACTTACATCAACATCACCTAACTCACCTAACAAGAGGATCTTGACAATGTGTTCCTCTTCCTTGGACATTTGTATCAGTTGCCTGTCAATAGCCTCACTGTGCAGCCGAGCCCTCTTTTCCTCCTGATCCACCCCTATGCATGCTCCCATCTTAAATGTAGGTATCTTTTGAGGTGGGGCCCCACCTCAAAGGCTGATTAAATACACTGAACTCCTCAGTGAGATACTAAGAAAGCTGAAACTTGAAGAATGTGAAAACAAGATACATGTATAAATTTATTATTCCAAAACATGATGTCCTGAATTCTCAAATTTCAGTCTAATTTCCAACACACCCTGAAAATTTGGGATAACTTTTTCAGGGTACAAGATCATTGTAAATGTACCTCTCCAGTACACACATACATTAGGGATCCCAGTGAGAACTACCCTGGTAACTGCATAATCAGCTTGCTGTATTAGACTCAACCATAGCACGTAACCAACATACTGTCGAAAGTAATTTAATTAAAACTCAGACACAACTTCAGTTTTACGAATGGCTTGAATTCAGTTCCTAACAAGATGCTGTAATGTCCCAACCATGCCAACTGCATCATCAATATAGCCTAGTTCGGATGATCTCAGTGCTCAGGGCTTAAACCCAGCTGTGTGCAAATTTCAATGAAAATTTTCCTGACCTTCCTCAGCTTGTTATGAATTTCAGCCAACAGAAAAAAAGTTAATAGTTGTCACTTGTTAAAACAACTTACTGGATACTTACCCCCAGAATAGTGGGGGCCGACATCTGACCCGCTCCCAAGAACGTTTGTGGGAGGGGGCAGATGTCGGACCCCGCAGTTCTGGGGGTACTGGATGCTATGTGTACATGTATTATGGGCATTGCTAATGGCACACATTCAGGCACACTTTAATTCAAAGTAGCAAAGCTGGGCCAGCCCAATGGCAAGACTTCAGTAGGATCATCTGATAATATTCTTGGAACTGTTACAGTTAGGCATAACATTAACCACTTTACCAGTATCATTAGAATAAGTGTGCAAACATAACAAATGAAAAAATGAAATCTTCATTTGTAAATTTATTACCATGATTACAAACCTCATAAAGTGTTTTTATCCTGTAAAATGTTCCACCTTCAAATAAAGAACAAGCTATAGAATGAAACTGCATATGATACTATTAAATGTAGAGCCCATCCGTAGCCTAGGCCCTACATGAACAAGATGGTGAAGGTTAGCCCCATTAGTGTGGCACGGACTCTCACTGCCGATCCAAGGATGGATCGGGAGGAAAGTCCGTGCCACACTAGTGGGGCTAGGTGAAGGTAGGCGTGTTACAGTATAGTCAGCTTACCGTTCTTGTCAACTTGCCCTGAAGAAAAAGCCAAGAAAACTCAACACGATTTATTATCAAGTAGGCCTAAATGTAAAACTTCCACCTCTAGACAGCAGCGTGATTCCATGCGCGAGAAGATTTTTGTAGTCCATAATTTCTGCCATAGAGGCCTGAAACGTAAGCGTAGACGGCGGCAACGTGAAGAGCAAAATCCATTCAGACGACCGACGCGATCTTTGCTTGTCGATCGCTCACTACAGAGGCCTATGGGCCTAGGCCAACAAACAAGACATACTCTACGTGCAGCCCCTTTGCTTTTCAGTACATGTCCTGTCAGTGTCACTGGTGTAGCTGCTTCACGAACAAGAAGGTAATATACCGGCAGTGCAGTTGCAGTTTTTGGTGATTTCAATGAAGAGGTAGGCCTACATGTATGTTGTCTTGGCTGATAAAAACATCTACCATGGGAGGAGCGGTACAAAGTATGGATTGATCATACCAGTGCAAGGCAACCAGCTCTGCTTGTCAATAGTGTCGCGACCAATGTTATCTTTGTCAGCATGTGGCTGGTCGTTGAACTTTATAATACTGGAACCCGGACTCACTTAATTTAAGCCATCTATCAATCTATCGTGAACAATGATGGGGTTTCAGTCTGGTACTCCCAGTGTTTGACAGCTTGACACAAGTAAAGTTTAATAGCGCCCTCTCTGGCTGTAATGATCATTAGTAAATATCCGAAATTCCTTTCAAATTTCTTGTCATTTCTGAGAATATTGTTTATATAATCTTAATAGCGGTATATGCCCCCCCCTTTCCGGAGTGAGAAAAAATTGAGACGGAAGCATTTTTCAAACTTCTAAACAACCCATAAACACTCAAAAAGGAGAAAAATTTTTCTAAAAAATAAATAAATATGCCGATTGTGCAGGAGGAGTGCAATACATACTATCGCAGATGTACGTACATGTACATCTGAACCATGAACATCGCCCTCCCGTGACATTATATCATGATATATCAACTCCCCTTCCCCGCCCGGTTTCCCACAAAATCCCCACGTCACTGTTTAGTGGTGTTGCACCATGTCGAAGTCTGAACCTTGAACTGCGTTAACTGTCAAAATTATGGCTGTGCAGGAGGAGACCACGTGTCTGTCGAAAGGGTTTGGAGGCTTTCACTCTGTACACACCAAAAAGAAATGTTGAAACACTTCTTTACAGCCGAGCCATTTATTTGGAAACTCTCTTTCCCTGTACATCCTGCATCAGAGTGTCTTCCAACGTGGAGAGTCTCATCTGCACCTCCTGTCTCAAAAACACATCGGGTTGATATATCAGAGTTCAGATCGATAGCCAGCACTGGGTTGCACTCATTAACGTCCCAAGGGACAGCGCAGTGGTAGGGGGTCTCCTGCAGCTCTTTCCCCGGTGGAAAAACAATGCTGATACCCTGGAGCTATTAAAAAAAAAAGATTCATGACGGGGTTGTCCACGGATGCGTACAGGCTGTACTCCGTCCTTGGCGTGCAAAAGATGCCCAAAGTACGTCATCTCGAGTCCTGCCTTTTTATTTGAAAATCATGAACTGGTTTTGGTGCGGATCCTCGTAAAAACCTTTGTGTTTCACCATTCCAACCTCAAAAAGATGCGCTACATGCAAATTTGAGAACGGGATTTCGACAGAAGGCCATTTTCCCCCCAAAGTATCCGACAACCGAACTTCTCTTTCTTTCTCGATACCATCATCAGTACTAGTGGAGCTACCCCAGTATAATTATGACATCCCACCATGATGTGTGCATACACGATGATGGTTCATCGGCGACAAGAACTTCGACCTTGCTCAATAACGATCTGTCTGGAGCTGGATGCTGTTGATTCTTGGGAAGGGAGACGACAAGACTTCCTAGACACACGATGATCACCTCTCTGTGACGGTCACATTCTTGATGAAGTTTGTTAACGAGATAAAGTAATCTATTACGGCAATATTTAGTGTCGCACATGCATCGTAATGAAGCTGTATGTGTGTCGGAAATTGACTCAAAAGGCATTTATAGACACATCATGTCAAGCTCTTGCAAGTCGTCCGCTTCCTTAGAAAGCTGTTATCCCTGACAGCCGTCGACAAGCACTTCGTTTTCGGTCCTCATTTCAGTGCCCCCCCCCCGAAGTTTCAAGAGTCTGGAGTTTTCAGCCAGTCACTAAAGAAGTACGAAATAAGCTACCTCCCAATGTTAATTGGGTAGCTTATAGAGATTTTTAAAGTTGTAAATAGCCGACAAAATAGCGTCGTATCGTGCCGTCGCCTCCTTTCTCGTGACTTTTATGCTTAATGTGTTGCGTCGTGCCCTCATGACGTCGCGAAGTGCCGTCGCATCGTGCCAGCACGTCTTGCTGTCGTATTGCAACGAGAGCACGAGGCGACGTCACAGGCGACGTCAGCAAGACGAGACGGCTGCAATGCGACGGCTGAAGAGCACAACGCCACGACGAGTAAACGGCACGATGCATTAAACACAGCATAAAGGTGATGAGAAAGGAGGCAACGCCACGACGCGATACGTCATGACACGACGGAGCCGTCGTAGCGTCGCGTCGTGGCATTGCGTCGGGGCAACGGCACGACGTGACACAATTTTGTCGTCCATAGAACACCATATTATTTTGGTTGAACCTATCCGCATGAGGCATGAAAATATGCCGGCAGTATTCGACTGTTGCCGACGTTGGCGGAACTGGGCTTAAAAAGTCGATTTTCGCAATTAAAAGTGCTGACCGTCCAAATTCCGTCTTGCAGTGTTGCAGTTTTGAGGGCTACGGCCTTGTATGTTTTACGGATATTTCCAATTTGATCGCCTCTTGGAGAACACTGACTTTTCATAGTTCCCAAAGTGTGCATTCTGCAAGAGAGTTCTTTTAAAATCGTCAGACCCAATGCTTTACGTGGAGACAAGGAAAACCACCTCTGATAGGACAGATGGAATTGTGCCTCCCCGAGCTGACAGGATGAATGCATCGTTCAGCTGTTGATAGTACTAGAATCTCTCATCCGTAACTGCACATATTCGGCACAAGTCTCGTGCGAAATACCCTCGTGTAATCACACTACTGGTAACATCCTCCCCCAGCCCCACGTAGAGTGGGTTGGGTCTCCTAGTGATACTTACCCCTGCCCAGCAAAACTGTAATTGGCACAAGGGAAATTTGCATATGTAGGCTGGACAGGGGTTTGTGAATGCAGGAGACTAAAAAAACACCTCACTCCCTGGATGAGTTGCAAGACCCCCGACCTTAACACAGATTTGCTTGTCCATATTTAGTACAGGTAGTTTGATCATGTCAACTTCTTCAAATAATGTAACATCTTGCCGAGAAGGCATCATGACATGCAATGAGTTTCCACTTTTTCAAACAGTAATTCGCCAATTTTTCGCAGCACATACTAACTTCTGTCTGAAATTTTATGTCCATGTAAGAACCTACATACGCTTTATCGTCTTCAACATGTAAATGTTTTATTCTTCTTTTTACTGTCGTCGTGGGCACTCGCAATTACTGCCCCCAATCGTCAAGATGCGTACATTTACCAACCCAGTCGATCAGGTGCGTAAGAACTCACAACACGCGATGACGGTCTCTCGCTTATAGGTTTCGTCTCTGGTCCCAAAATCGTAATTTTGTATGATCTTAAATGAAAGGATTGAGGTTTAAGTACTTTGCAACATGATGCTCCTGAAGTTAAACAATATCCATACGGATGAGCCACAGCTTCTTAAGTAGGAACCTGCAATTTGGAAGTTAAACCTACAGTAAAAAAGCTGGCTTTTTTTTCAGAACAACTAATGTAAATGGGCTACCACGAAAGAAACCAAAACATGTTTTTCGAAAAAAAAAGAGAACGAGGGTATTTGAGGACGTTCATGCTGACTAGAAATTGGTTATTAACTGAAAATTTATTTGCACCATACAAGGAACGAATTTATAACGAAAGGAGTTTGAGATAATCGAAATGTACAAATACTTCCTAGCACCTAAATTAAATTAAAAAAAAAGACTCTTCCAATTTATACTTAAAAAGAATTATTATTTGAAATCACTCTCAGTTTGATTTAAGTTGTTATAACCAGTGAGTTTATGGACTATTCTGCCAAAGTTCATGGACTTTTTTGATAACACAGTGATTGCATGGCAAGTGTTGTATGGCGTTGCGACCATTTTGAAACCAACAAAGGGCTTCTCTATGTCGACCCAGCAGTAAGTTCTACAAGTATCTGTGATTCAGTCGTAGGATAATAATGTAATGTAGGATAATAATCACAACAGTCTATTACTTCAACTACATGAATTACACCACTTAATTACCAAGGTAAACCACTACACAGTTTAAAGAAGTAAAAGAATTTTGAAAAAAATTTTTGAAGAATTTCGTCACATTGAGCCCTGGTGCTTGTATACCACATTGCTAATCTTCAGTTATCTCATATTTATTATAATATGCGTCACATGATAACTGCTCAACACACATCAAAAATTACTACAAAATATAACACATACCGAAACCGCAACTCTTCAAGACTATTTAACAAATCATTCTATAAAGTCAGTGTAGTTTAAGCTACAGGCTGATTTTAAATCAGTTTTAATTAAGCAAACTCTTTATTTATGTTTCTGGACTTAGGCAAACAGACATGTTTGAATACAGTATAATCATAGATAACAGTTAACACTTTTTAGCTCACAATATTTCAGCTTCATCATGATCTTTGGTCGAGAAAAACTGTACTCATTAGCTGGACTAACTAAAGCATTTGTATGTGTTACTCAATGCATATGCATATTTATAACATTAATAGAAAAATGTATAACTTGCTCAAATTCTAAAAACTTATCTCCAACCACATGCAGAGGTTTAGGGTCCATCACATGGAATCTTGTTGGGCTTGGCAAGGTTTGGGTTAATGTTATTAACCGCACAAAAAGCCTAGGTTGAGAATGGAAAAAAGGAAACAAGTTTATTCTGAGAGCTACAACCTTCCAAAAATTCCATGTCTTTCAACCAGGAATCTCAATCACCTACATGCAAACTGCCTTTACGTGTATGCGCAATGCAGACATGGCTAAACACACAACCATCAATGTCAGGAAATAGTGAAAATCAGCAATGTATAAAAATGCTAAACAGGCTACAATTTCTATAACTCAAACAGTGGCGTAATTCTAGTCATTTGAGCAGTTACTGCACAGTCATTACTACTGAAGTATGTATTTTGAGCTCAATGATGCCAGGTGATAATGCCTAGTTGAATTCTTTCTGTTTTTTTAACCAAACCTTATTTGTTAGCATAGAAAGCCACAATATTTTAGTAATATCTTTTAAATATAAAACTAAAGGCCTACAGCAGACCTGACCAAACATTACTCCATGACTTCATTTACCCTACCAACAAATTTCAATTTAAAGTTGGAACATATATGTACATTTTCCCATCCCTTATGCCTATGCAAATTACAGTAAGTATATTGGTTTAAATACGCTGTGTAAAGTAACACAGTTTCTTGAAAGAAACCACCTAAGCACTAGCTGTCAATAAAACCTCTAAACAAACAAATCTACTTGTCACCGATTGAAAATTGGTGTATCCCTAGACAACATAATTTGATCCATCTATAGGCTCATGAATTAATGAAGGGTTATTTTCATTTGTGTTAAAATTAAAACACAAAAACATGACCAAGGATATCAGTAATATTCATTATGGAAAGTCAGCCTTGCTGAACTTGATTTAAATTAAAAGTTGGTTAATGAAGTACAGAAAACCTCTTCAGCAAGCGATGGAACATCAAAGGTGCAATACAGGTCATTTTCAAACAAACACAAGTCTTTCCCTGGTGCCTCTTGGAAATGATCTTACAGACAACTGCATTCCATTAGCCGGCGCCAGACCTTGTCCTATCTGTCTCATACAAGACTGAAAGGTTCCAGGCCTGCTTCTGGATTCTGAAGGTAAAGCTTGCAGGGTGCCAGGGGTCAACACAATTCCCACATAATAATTGAAAGAAAAAAGAAATTTCACCCATGTCACAATGCCTTAAACTCGTAACAGTTACAAAACATCTACTTTAATGTACCTATAAAAAATGTTGATTCCATCTCAATCAAGATAAGAAAAACACCAAATTATTTGACGTTTACCAACATTTTATTACTATGCATGCACCATACTTGACTTGTTGCGAACGCTTATCGGCCAAATCTATTTCTCTCTTCTCTCACAACAAATACAAACTGTCTAGTGTCTACAGGTTTTTGTCATTTTGTTCTTGGGATTTGATTAGCAAACATGTATCACTGTGTATGTAAATGTAAAGTTCTGCATTTTTCTTCTTGGAACCTGATCATTCTTTCACAAATCATATTTCTATACAGGATAAATGCACCTGAACACATTTCTTGACAGTTTTTCCCAGTCATTTTCATCCAAAACTAAATAATATTTACATGTCCATCCAACATGTCCAACCAATGTCTATTCCCAGATCTTTAGCAAGAAATGCATATAACTGGCAATTCAAATGCAAAAGAGCATGATATGAACAAGTCTTATTTATGCAAATTAGCAAATTTACATTTTATTCATATTCAATTCAACAAGCTGCAAAAAGGAATCAAGAAACATTTCTCAATTACACTTACACGTACTTTCAATGAAAGTGTACATTATATGCTATGCGTTAATATGGCTGAATGCATGTACGGTACATGTAACAGGCATGTACTTGTACATGTATTATGTTCATAACACAGCCACCTTGCACATTGTCAGCAGTACAAGGTATTTACATCATATACACGTACATGTAACTTCACATCAACCAGTACGTACTATCAATTTTCACACATGAATGCTTTATGCATGAGCTTTACTCCACAAGTCTTTTATTTGTCCCCATTAATTTGCACAATAAGGTCATAAATAATTGCATGCATATCAAAGTATGGCACAACAAATATCTAAGTGAACACAAAACAGAAATTGGCGCTTTCCAAGTAAACAACGTCATTTTGAATGGATATAACATTTTATGCAAACAAAGTCCCCATTCCATCCACACAAGTCATACCGTACATGTATGTTAAGAACTCACATTCAGACCACTGATTTATTGCTAACTCCTCATTTTGCAAGGGAAAAAAACACTTTTGTGTTTAATCACCTTCACGTGGAATAAATTCCATATCAGTCAAACCATTTTGTCAAGATTGCAAAAAATCCAAAAATAAGAGAAAAAAGATGCACACAATTACATGTACATGTATATAATGTACTGATATCATGGAAAGTATTACACAAAAAGGTTCACCACGAAGTTCAATCCCTAAGACTAAATGTAGTACCTTGTTACAGCTCCCCTCTAGGTGTAATACCGATATTACATGTAATCATGCCCAAGCTATGATAAATTTCCTCTGAAATTTAAGTTCACACCTCTGTAGACTTTCACTGCGTGGGGCAGCTCACATTGCGTAGAGCAGCTCACTTAGTAAGTCGGCGACTGGAATTGTGAATCTGGCACCTCCGTCTTCTCTCCAAAAGGTGGTTGTTGGTAGGAGTCTCCGCCACTGATCTGTGAGGCTGGTGGGGGCACACTAGGATCAGGCTCATAGTTCTGGGAGAAAGCAGCCTGGGAGCCCTGTCTGTACCTCATAAAGGCAAGAACTGTAAGACCAGCCTGGAGTATGAAGATAAAATACAGCACATTTATGCCTAATTATCGCAACAAACAAACAACTTCCTGAAAGTTTGTTCAGTGTTATTCCAAATACTACATGTAAATTTTCTTGCTTGATAACAAGCTTCACCTATTCGTATTCAGTTCTGATTTTAGTCATCATCTTTGGTGACTGGAGTTTGAACCTGACAGAATCATATGCACCAACAGAATTAGGTCTGTTGGTCCCTTCTCAATCTTCAAGCTTCTTTTCCTCTTTTAATTCATTTGGGTTTTCAAGAACACCTAAAACTGGCCCCTTTACAGTAATTCATGAGAAAGACTTGGTTTGGTTGAGCATGCAGATATGTACGTAATTATTTGCAACAAGTTTTTGATTTGCAGTCTTGAACAACTACCAAAGAATAAAATTTGCAGTGAGTTACACCTAGCAACAGTAGTTTCACTTTCATCTGCTGATGCATACTGTATCATTCAAAGATTGCTCAGTTACAAGTATTGTTTAACTAGAAAAAAAGAATGAGTTGTAGAATTTGTAAATGTAAAAGTACTTCACCCCACATAGATACAGGTGTGCCATACAACTTGATACGAGTACATGTACATGTACTTAACATGTTCGTGAACATGTACATGTATACATGTACATGTGGGTACTTTAACAGTGTTGAAAGTGCTTGTTAAAAAAGCACATGGGAGATGATACATTGTACTGGTTAAAAAAGCACATGGGAGATAATACATTGTTTCTTTCTAGAATAGTCTGTCAGGACACCCACAGATTCACCTCTCCAGGATACACAATGAGCCTGCAGTACGGGATTTACTTTAATATATATTTTTTAAAGTTACCCTTCCATATCCTACGGTGTATACTTCGTAACTTAGGAGGAGAAGGCTGGATTAAAATAATTTTCAATAGTTCACAACTCTAAAATAAAAGTGCCGATTTACACCAATTAAAAATGAGTGCCCAGATTTCTTACATGCTGACTAGAGGTACAAATACATGTACACATTTGACCAAAGGCCAAGGGTCAGTCGTGTAATTAGATATCTTTAAGGATGACCCAACATCTGATATGCCCAAAGGAACTGCAAATAGCATGCCACAAAGCTAACACAAGCATTACACAGTGATTCATAATCACACCTAATTGACTGTTGGTCCAGGGTTCAAGTCTTGTTTGTTTAAAACACTTTCTGGTACATGTACAGTACTGTACACTGTGCATTTGTTATGCAGTGTTTACACATTTCAAATTTCCACAGAACATTTCATGCTCTCAGTAGCTATGTATATTTGTATTTAGCATAGCCGTTTTCTGTCTGCCACCAAATCCTTTACAAATGGCAAAATGAATTCAACTGCATTTTTTAAAAGAAATTACATGTGGCATGTTAGAAATTCCACTGACTTTCTGAAAAATCATTACTGTTGTGTTGTAGTACATGTAGCATGGTACAGCTTGGTGATAAAAAAGAAAGTGTTGAATATTTTTATTCAACACTGAGGTAGTTTTCTACTCCTGGTTGTTGCAAGAGAGTATTTGGAGGTTTGTACCTGATTCAGTATTCCTAAGTGTATGTAGCAGCATGGCAAACATGTAGTTTAACAAAGTTTTTTACAACATACAGGATACTTTAAAATAATTATGGAAAATTGCTAAAGCGCAAGTTCTATGCTTTACTGCAATACTCAGAGTTGAGAGAAATGCAGTGAATAACGACTTAATGGACTGAAGAGGTGCATACGTGCAAAAATCATGTCTTGAGGTGTGTTTGGATTGACGGAAACTTCAAAAACAGTGCACTTTTATCCACAAGAAATGTCAAGAGTTGGGCATGTATGTAGTTTGGAAGGGTGCTTTCAAAAGTTTGAACAAAATGGTCATTACTTACAAGGGCAACAGAAATGAATGCACTCTGGCATGCCACATCGGTCATAAGTAATGGCTGCATTATACTCGCAAATGCCATTACAAATCAGAAAGAAGACAGTGTCCAAGGTTTACATGTACATCCTTACCCAAGGAATAATGGAGAAAAAGCTGAAAGCAGCGGCTGCTCGAGCCTGGCCAATTCCATATGGGATAGAAGCACGTCTCAGAGCATCAGTTAGGTAACAGAAGCAAACAAACCACATGAACGTCCACAGGCCTGAAAACAAACCAACCAGATGAGAAGTGTGAAATTCAAACCCTGATTTTGGTGAATTTCGGACCTTTGCAAGATTGACAGAAGGTACATGTACTCCATTACCCGTGTACATGTACCTGTAGTATGTTACATGTACGTGTAAGAACTTCCTGTTGGGCTAATACAAGTCATTCACAAATCAGGGGTGTGAGTGGCCAGTTAAAAGCTGAAAACAGCTAGCAAAAGCTGAAAGGTTAAAACTTCCAGTACTTTTGTACAGACCAGGTGTACGAAAAAGCTGAAATTCAGGGTCAACATTTAGACCAAAAAAGCTCAAGTTTCACACCCCTGACCGATGCACGCTCATACACAATAGCACATCAAGGTCCTGGGTCGAGGGATTTTTCCCCTCCAAAATGACCATATCCCATTTTTTTTTCATCCGTAAAAGTACCCTACTCCCTTCAAAGTGCAAGGGATCAAACCCAAGCTATTTTATAACCAAATTGGGGATTTTCATCCCGTTTTCCTTCTTTTGGAGAGGGTTCCCAATTTCTTTTTTCCCCCACTTGTTTGTATTTCAATTTTTTCTAGGGAGGGCCAAAAGGTACCCTGCCCCCCCCCCTTAGCAATTCCTACACATATGTAAATGCACATGGAATCGGAACAGCACTGCCTGAATACCTCAGCAGAGCAGAGGCATTTTCAAGTACTGGATAATTAGGGGCTGTGACAGACCTAAACATTTTATGTTCTTTGACTTGAATGATGACTTGAAAGTAAAGTTATAAATATATTCATAGTCCCATTTCTCACCTGAAAATGCTAAATCAGCTATGACTGCATATTTGCGCATCTGCACGTTGCTTAAGTTGTCAAACATCACATCAACCACAAGAAACCCAATACAAGCAAGGAAGGCAAAGACTCCAACGGCGATCCCAAAATTGCAGGCATTTCCATCTGCATTGTAGAAACAAATATGGTATGGGTTCCCTGGTAGAGAAATCCATCCCTTATTTGCGATGCATCCGAACACAATGATAGAAAACAGCTGCAAAAGAAGCACAAAAAAGGGAAAACAGAAGTACATGTATAATGATTTAAATTATATAGGCTATTGGCCTCAAAGTTTTCCATTTTTTAGGCAATGTTTTGGTCAATCCTTGTCTATTTTATGTGGTAACTGTGATCATTTCTCCATAGAAATGACAGACCCGGCTGAGTTGGAATCAACTTGACTTTGAACCAAGTTGAATTGGCACAAAATTGACCTGGCACCAAGTACTAGGGCTGAGTAGACTCGGAGCGAGCTAGTTTTGGACCAAGTTGACTCGGATTTCCCACCATAGTTCTAAGAAAGGTAGGAAAAGCACATTTATCTCAACAACTGGATAACTGACAAATTACAATGTCTAACATTAATCCTGGACCCACAGTCATGTACACAAGTGTACTTGCCATGCATAGGCAGCATTTTCCCCAAACAACGTCCATACATATGTACTGGGTACAATGTTGCAACACCCAGCCATGACGTAACCCTCTCCGCACATAAACAAGCCTATGGATGATCTGCTGTAGGCCAACATATTCCTGCTTGGTCTTTGAAGTAGACCCGTATACAAATAAGGTGTTAGTCACTTCATCTCATGTCACTTTGCCCCTTCCTCACATCGCCCGCCACTTTGCCCCATTTCCACTTCATTCCAGCTTTGCTTAATTGTGTTTGGAGTTTATTGAATGACAAAGCTGGCATAAACAGGGTGCCTTTTTCATAGGTGGCATGGACACCACGATGACAATGGATATGACAAAATTGAGATAACGAAAGAAACATTTTGCCAAAGTTTCTCCTGAAGTCATCCATGGATCCCCTGTAATGTCTTCTCTTCTACGTGTAAGTTCTATTTCCTTTTGTCTGAGACATTTCTGGGGTCCTAAAAGCCAGTATTTTTGTGAATCTGTTTCCATGCAAACAGACATGATGTACATACATGTAGACGGAAAAAAGAATGTCTCTCCTTTATATTATCATTTTACAATTCTATTCACTTGTAGTGTCTAGAAAGTTCGTAGGTTGAACGACAGAGAAATTAGACAAAAACATTCATCAGGTGGTAAGAGATCATCTGACCGGCATCCATTGTCCAACACCCAAGATTTTCTGACACTAGGAACACAATATACACAGTGCTTATGACTATCTATCAGAATAAGAGTTACCTTAAAGTTTAACCATATTATCAGATAGTGAAACTACAATGTACATGTAAGCATGGTAAACCCGGACAATTACATCTCTTTTAACCCTAACCCCCCCCCCCCCAAGGGTTGCTGGCCCTATTCTTCCCCATTCACACAAAGTTAAACACCCATATGGGACTTTGTGCACAGAGGCTGTTGGACTTTGTTTTTCTGAGGTATGCCGAACCCAATGCAAAAGCCGGCTGTTATGGGCCCACCAGACCTATCCCCACAGAATTGAACACTATACTACTGTTTAATTCTGTGTGGTTGGGGAAGGTTAGGGTTGAGCATTCTTCACTCCTTGTGGTGAGGAGCATCACTGACTTCACTGCATTGATAAATTAAACTAAATTTGTTGCCTGCCCACATGATTCCATATTGGCCTCCAAGACTTGATGACTACTACTACAGACGGTCAGAATAATTATGTTTATTGTAACAGTTCCCTTGGCAAAGTGCCTGAATTGGAACCTTTACTTTAGTGTGGCTGAGCAGATAAACCATGGGCCATGGCTGTGGGCATTGCAGCCAAGCAGCAACACGCCCAAGTGAAAATGGAGTAAAGCGTGGATAGGGCAAGTGGCAAATGGGGCAACGTGGTAACCGTTCAGCTATGTCAGCCTTTGCAAAGTGGTCAGGCAATAGGCTAGGGGCGAATATGTGACTGTAGACACGGTAAATGCGAGGCCTAGGCCTACAAATGTTAGGCATATGTGCCCAGGCTACACTATAGTAAATCACAGTCTTGGGCATAGGCCTACCGGTACATTGATTAATCAATCAAACTAAGCACAGGCCCAAATAACATACCCATGCTACTGCACGCAAAATAACTTGAGGTTTCCTAAGGACACCAGCGGCATCAAATCCTGAACTCGACGCTTTACCAGCTCCGTAAGCTCCCCCTTCCATTTTGTTATTTCGACCCAGCGAGTTGAAGTAGAAAAACCTCCTAGATTTTTTTCTTATGGTTCAAAACTTGGTTATACGTTGTGACTTGTACTTGTAGTACATTTGTGTAGCATTAAAATACTCGAAATCGGAAGATCTTCGAAATGGCTTTACAAACAGAAAGCGCTGGCAGGTAGGCGGAGTTCTACACATGTGCAAAGAGCGCCACCACACAGTACAACTAAAAATAGAAACTACGTATGTAGATACACGGAGGCCGATGTAAGACACTACAATAACGAATTACAGTATGAAAAAGAGGGTCAGGGCCGCGTTTAAGGCTGGAATCAAACATTTTTGCAATGCATTTTCAAGGTAAAACCTGCTATTTGCCAACTGTTTCATCCTTATTTCAACCTGATAAATTACTTTAGAATGATCCACATGTATTTAAACCTCTGGTCTTAACCAACTTTGTACTTAACTTATTTGTTATTATATCCTACTTTCACCATTGAAATTTATACGTTGCTGCATGTTTTAAATACAGGATTACTTGATTTTACTTATATAGGATGGGGTAAAACCCAAGAAAATATGAAATGAGTATGTATTTTGCACTCAATTATTTCAGTATACATCCTAAAGAATGGACGGCGTGTGCTTGATGTTAATGACTTGAAGATCTCTTTTGTCACAATGTCAACGCAATAAAAATGTAGTTCAATTACACCACGTACTGTAACGTCAATGACACTGGGCGTCCAAGGCTTGCGGGAATTTCTTCTTTGTAAGTGCAGTCAACAAAAAGACAAAAATAACAAGGCAATGACTAAACTTTACAGATTTGCTCTGCTAATGCCACTTAGCTGTAGATTTTATTATTAGGACGCCATGCAACATGGTTATGCAAAGTACTACCATACCGAAACTCAAATCAAGCTGAAGGAATAAAATTAACGAAGCCGAAAGAAAACCTACCTCATCCGACAAAACGATCTCAACGGTGACAATAGTGAGAATTTTCAGGGCTTTAAATAGATAACAAGGCTTGAGTTCTCTCCTTAATGGCCACAATAATATAAATCTGACAATTTCGAAAGAGGGTGTCCTTTCTCTCACCCTTTCACTAAATAAGGTACAAACTAACTAAAATCGGAATGATTAAAAGCCTTGAAAAATAGGGATTTCAAAAAACCCTGAAATCTGAAAAAAAATCCTCCGAAATCCACGCCAGAAAAAATTTTCGAAATAATGTCGACAGGGCAAATCCGGAAAAAATATTGTAATATCCTATCTACGCTCTTCTCAGAAAAAACTGACTCTTTTCAAAATTCGACATGAAGCAAAAATTTATCCAGCGGAGGCGGGGAGGGGGCAACTTTCCCCCTGACGGATTTTGTACCCCACGTTTTCCCCATTTGTAGTACATGTAGTTATCAAATACTAGTACCAAAACTCTGAGAAAAAAACACAAAGAAATAAAAGCAAGAATGTCGGAGCCGTGACTATGGCTTTTGATATTTTCTCCCAAATATCATGTTGTTTTCAGAGCACTGATTTGATATTATATTCTCGTCGATATCATGTTGAATAAGCCCGATTACGCATTCTCTTTTGAATTTGCCCCCACCTCCGATACGCCGCTGAAATAAAGCCTGGTAGTGCTGTTTTGCAAACTGTGTCGGTCGGGTAAGAAAATAGACATTTCATTTAAAGTCTAAGCGTTTAAACGTTTATCATATCAAGGTTCCGTGATAATACTTTCCACTGTACGTCTAAATTACTTCTTTAAGGACTGCAGATTGTTTTTCAGAATTATGCATAACTTGGATACTGTGACTCACAATTTCCCCCGCCCCCAATTTGTTTCCACTGAAATTATAACATAGACTTGCTTCGTGCAACTTTTTGTTATTCCTATTTTACATTAGTTATTGTAAAGGAAACAAGCAGTGAAATTTAGCGCGACTCATTTTCATACAAGTTAAACATTGTTACCAAAATTGCAAAAATTTAAATACTCCTTGCTATTGAAAGTGACGAGAAGGTGTAGTTTTTCCGTTTCTTAAAACATCCTTTCGTCAATTCTTTTTAGAGGTCGCTATTCTGCTCTTCTCACACAAGTTACTCCTTGTCAAAAGAGCATAAGAAAAATGCAGAGACTGTCCTTCAAATTAACTCCCAACAATTTTTAAAATTCTGTTGTCAAGACAGGCTGCTTAACACGATTAAAAAGTAAAACTAACTCCAAGAAAATGAAGAAAAGTATGATATACTGCATTGTACTCAGAGCTACGGAGACATTATCTGCATTGGATGACGTCAAGCTTTGAATCATTAAAACTGGTGAAATTGCCTTTTATGGTACAAAATAGGGGCACACAATATGTAATATTTAAGTGTGGTCTTACATAGCCTAATTCTTGAATGTCTCAAAACAAACAATAAACTCGATAAAACAAAACAGACTAGTTTTCTCCGACCATATTATTTTTGACATGCAATATGAAGAAACAGAAAAATCGAAACATCCTAATTTTTTCCGCACAGCGCTTTGTGCCCAATATTTAAAGCATGTTCGTTGCTTTAGTTCCTTTTCAAAAACTGCAAAAACGTCTACGTAGTTAGTCTTACACTGACATCCAGGTCATGTTGCGAGGGCAGCAAACAGCTCAGAACGTAAACAGATCTGTCACATCCATAGGCTTAGGTTACTATAAGACGAATCCATACGCATTTTGGACTACAGCATTTTCTTTTCCAAATTTTTCTGCCATAACGTCAGAGGTACATGTATATTCAGTAATAACAATTATTACAGTGTACAATCAGCGTCCAGTGACCACGTGACCACATTTCTACATGGTCGTTAAGACTCGAGACTATGTGAAACATGGAGGAATAACACATTTCCTCCATTATGTGGAACAAACAGTCATGCCGTCACGTTTTTAATACAGTTTATGCAGTGTCTCCTCCCCCGGTGGAGACACTGCATGAACTGCCGCTGCAGTTTATTTTCTTGTGGTGCCCCGCTGAAATAAAGGTAAGCACCCCCGGGTTCCCCCGGAAATTTAGCCCTATAAATTTCTGCAATACCTGTGTAAGGCCGTGTCCGAAACGGGCTTCCAGGGCTACGGCTAGGTCTATTGTTTACGCGTCTCTGCAAATTTCCAATGGAGCGATGGAAGACCTAGACTTAGCTGTAGACAACAGATTCGGATGCAGCCTTAATGCCTGTCACCTGATTGATGGATCATATATCTTTGAATTATTCGTTTTATTATTCAATGGGAGTCAATTGAATGGAACTTCATTTCATTTCATCGGTTTAGTTCCCGGCCCGTTTCATATATTTCATTCCCAGTTGGGAGAGGAAATAATGTAGGGACAGGAACCTAACATTGCACGGTACTACCAGTGGGTGGCGCTTCGGACACAAACCTGTTTCGCAAAATGGCCTAAGTTCATACCCAAGGACGGTGTGTCCTCCAAGCAGAAGAGGATTTATGCAAGTATTATAGAAAACAAAATATGAATGCTTCAAATTCGTGCAATGGTAAGAATCATTTCATAAGGTGAAAGATTAAAGTTTGCATTCCACGCGGCAAATTTAATCTTCACTTTTCAACATTTCATTTCAGATGCTTGCATAACTCTAGAAATTGAACTACGAAGGCTTTAAAGCATTTCCAGGACCATTATTATGACTATTCATGAAGCGCATACAGCTATCAACAGTACTACATAAAAATGCTATGCAATAAAAATATGGATCCCCCTTAAAGATTAAATGAAATGTAGCGAACAAACACGTGGTATGTATTGCCTCACAAGCCACATGGTTCCAACCTCGCGTCTAGCTGATGTTGACCTTCATTTCTGTTTTTTTCTTTGATAACATGGCTTCACCAGTCTCACCCATGCCAAGGTACATTCCTGTAGTGGGGAAATAAATTCACAAATGCAGTTTGCTGTTAAAACCGACTAAGGAAAACCCCCATACCTCTTTGGGCGAAAGAGACAAAGATCTCATATTGTTTTCATTATTACCAGAACACGAAATCTACAAAACAACGCGGACTACATAGATTTTAAGGGAGTCTGAATGTATGTGACCATCCTTCTTTTCCATTCACCCTTCACGTTGACGTCGATAGTGCAACCGGATTTCAAAACAGTTCGCTTCTAAAGTTAATATGATGTATCACACATAATTTGAACGCTTGAGGAGACATACACGGCGAGGTATTAGAAAGACGTCTTCATTAGATTCCCGTATCATCAACTCCCTATTCCCACTATCCCTCTGGCTACTCCATGAAAACTTCTAACTTGTTCGCAAATGTTTTTGTTCCTAGCTGCTAAATAATTAAAAAGCGACGGTAGTTATCAGTTTTGTTAGCTTCTTAATATTTGCATCCATCTTCTGTACAAATATCAACTATACTTCAAAATAAAGCCCACATGCAGTAAAGGGCTAGAAGACTTTCTGTGGTTAACTTTGGTAATACCTTCTGCCATTACGCTTTCCAAAGAAAATGCACTCTTGTAAGTTTTGTTGTACCACAGGCGAGGGTCCTTTGGGATGCCTTTGCCACCAGTCATATACGATGGAAAATTCTTCGTAAAAAGGAGTAAAAAAAAACAAACGCTGAAATTAGCCTGAAAATTTTAACCCAATTTAGATTAAAATCACCCTGAAAAGTCAAGATGCATTGGCCGCAAATGAATCGATAGGACGAATTAGAATGTTTAGATATACAATCATGATTGCATAGCAAACGAAATAAACTTTAGCAAAGTGTAAATTCGAAATCAAGTTCTACATTATTTTAGGCCAAATGAAGTTTTGGGGGATGAAATTGAAGTAATTTTCCATCAAATCGATCAAAAAACAATCAGATTATAACATTATTTGTAACACCCCTAGACTTGACTCTAGTCGGGATCATCTTAATTCGGTTATGCTTTGGTTACTTATCGAGACCGCGCGCCGTTACTTGCTTCACGCCCTCTTGTGTCCTCTTATTACTTTAGTTTCAGTTTAGAAATCCCGACCTGACTCATCTGCCTTTTGTACACAGGCTCATCTACCAAAAGTGGCAGCAGCCAATGGTCGAGTTCGGGCGGCCTGTTCTTGACACGGGTTTCTTGTTGTCGCGCTCGTACGGCGGGAACGCCATTCAAGAACACCGTTCTCGGAACAGGATCACACACCTCCTCCTCGTCAGGGTTTTACAGGAACACACGGAAAAACTCGTGAGATTTTGATTTTTTAACAGCTGCAAAAAGTAGAGAGATGGCTTCCAAAGCCATAGACAATGTGAAGTTTTGCAAAATTAACATTAATTATTTTCCGTAGCACAGAAATGAATGTTCCTGTTTATATAGAAAAGAATTCAGCCCATCCATACATTGACTCTCGAATAACGTAGCCTACATGGACGCCGCCAGTTGCATGTTGCTTGTCACTAACTACCAGCGATAACCGGTTGTTTGTTCCCGGCGTTCGAGCGGCCGACCCACGAACAACAAATCGAGCTGTTCGTGAACATACAGGAACAAGCCGCCCGAACTCAGCCAATGACAGTGCCGGGCTTGTTTTTACGTCGTCATACATTATAATGAACGAGTTTACAAGTCTGACTACTTTTGATTGGTAGAAATTCCGTATACATATTGCAAGATCATGTCGTTCATATGAATAACTATCGCTGACGGGTCCGATTGGCTTATCTGTCAAGTTGGACTTACTGACTGGTGACGTATGACAATATACAATAAAAGACTATCAAATGAGGGCGCCTTATAAGGGTTATGCAAGTTGCCGGGCCGAGCGCGACGATCCTGTAGTACATGTACATGTACAGTGCATACAGGCTGAAGATGGGTGACTGGGGAAGAGCACCTTAAGTCCGACTTGATTAAAGTCTATAACACCCCCAAAGTCTGTTTCTGTATGCATTTTCAATATAAACGTACAAAAGTCCTGAGCTCATAACTCTAATTTATTACTTTCCTCAAAGCCAGATAATGTTTTGGACTTTGGTAAGGAGGTGAGTACTCACAGAATTATAGACTAGTGTCATTCATGTAGTGTCATTCACAAACTCTTTTGGCAATTGATTTTCTGCCATAACGTAAAAATTTTGTCAAAGCACTGTAAGCTGTGCAAAGATTAAAACGACAGGGTTTGGGTGGTAACATTATCACCAGTGCTTTTAGAGTGTCTTCGGTCGTCCCTGCAGGAGTGCTATGTTCCAGCGGCGGGGTTGTGAGGGACTGTAGACTGTACGCCACAGCGTTGCCTTTCCCGGGGTTGCCACCGCTGTACTTGTACAGAAAGAGCGCACCTATTAACAGAGACAATTGGAACTGTGGTTATGTTCATTTCGCATTCATGAATCCACATCATTATGGCTCTGCACGCCATGTTCGAAATATGGTGCCTTGTGGAGGCCCAGGAGAATGGGTTGAATAAGTTCCACACGGAATTTTTAAGGGTGTATAGGTTTCCACAAGGATTTCACGAAAATAATATTTGGAAATCGCTCAAAAAGAAGAAATGTTTAAAGTGTAAGAATCGGTTGCAAATTGAAGTGTTTCATTTAAGGGACATTTGGTCGAAATATCAGTCAGGAGAGTGATTCGTGTTTAAATGGGAGCATTTCGAAAACATGTTGTTGTTGTTTTGTTTTAATGGCGCTTTCAGCAACTCAGGCTATTTGCGCCAATAACTGTACGTTTATTCATACACTTAATTAATCAGCATCACATTACGGAGTTAGGAAGAAGCTCCAGTTTTAGAGGCAGGAGGAAACAAGAGTACCCACAGAAAACCTGCGAGAGCGAGTATGGACTGGAAACCAAATGCACGTAAAGCCTGGGCCAAGCCGGGACTTAAACCCCGGGCCTCATTAGTGCAAAGCGAGGAAAGAACCGCTACACTAACCCGCTCCCTTCCCCCCCCCTCTCGAAAACATCGTTTCACACGCGGTATTAGTACTGGAAGGCAAACCCATGCCACAAGGACACAAATTTAGAAATGGGCGAGCTGATCGGAGCTCAGATCAGCTAATTGGCGTGGACAGCTGACAATGGCCATGCCATAGACGTCGCGTTGTAAATATTCCACAAAACAAACCAAAACGAGACAAAATCAAACCAAACAAGGATGATTATTTGATTGAATAAAAGGGACACTGCCTCGACAGTTAGTTCACAAGAAGATGGGTCTAATTAAGTGTTCATTCAATGCATATTCAAAAGTAGGCATGCAATAGTTTGCAGTACGTGAACAAGATTTCAGGGTATATAATACAAGATGCTGTACATCTGTGGGACTTCACTCTTTTCTTTAAAAAGAATAGGCCAATTCTTTTGACAACAATAAGAAAAAGAAAGAAAACCTCTGCAGTTGACAGTGCTTTAAAAATAATGCAAAGTACTAGCAAAAATCAAATGTATGTTACTTGTAACAAGGAGACAAGATTCGCCAATCAGGGATTTTGAATTTGGGTTTGAGTGATCATTTTCCCATCTATTGTTCTCGCAAGGTGTCAAAAAAGCCAACTTGTGGTGGCCATAATATTACCACTATCAGATCTCTTAGTGACTATAGCATAGAGGATTTTCTGTTGCGACTGTCCCATGCTGCAGTGATAATGATCAAGCCTGGGACAATTTCAAAAACACTGTTTTGCAAATTCTCGACACTGTTGCTCCGGGGAAAAAAATCAGATTGAAGACCAGAACTGAACCTTGGTTTAATCATGAGATATCAGAAAATATTAGGCTTACAGATAAACTTCTTGGTAAATTAGCCAAAGATAAAAATATTACTGATCTTTGCAAAACTTACTGCCAAATTAGAAATAAGATCGAGAGGGATGTTAGGACTGCCAAAGCTAATTATCTCAGTCACAAGATTGAAGAAAATGGAAACAATTCTGAAGGACTTTGGCACCAGTTTAAATTGCTTGGGTGCAGTAAAAAATGTAAGGATGAAACTAAAATTGCACTTAAAATTGATAGCGAGTTATATGAATCTTTTTTTTTTACTACAGTTGCTTCTGATATGGTGAAAAAACTGCCTCGCGCCCAAAATAATTTTGGAATTGGGTCTAGGGCTTTCATGAATTTTTATGAGAGCAGAGGTGTATAGTCTCAAATTCCTTTGAGCTCTCTACTGTTTCGAGAGATTTTGTTTGCCGAGAATTACTCAAGTTAAATCCCCAAAAAGTACTGGTCCAGATAATATTCCAGTGAAATTCTTTAAAGATGGTGCTGTCATCCTAAAAGATCCTGTTTCGTTTATAATTAACCTGTCTATTGCCAGGAATATTTTTCCAAATGAACGGAAGCTTGCCAGAGTTAGGCCCGTATTTAAGATAGTAGATCGGATGTTGGCAATTACAGACCTATTAGCATTCTCAGTACAGTATCCAAATTGTTAGAAAAAGCTGTTTATGCTCAATTGGAAAAATGTTTGACTGATAATAAACTTGTTTACAACTTTTGGTCGGGGTTTAGAAGTTCATATTCTACAGATACTTGTTTAATTTATCTCACTGAAAACATTCGTTGTCAGATTGCCAAAGGAAATTTTACTGGTGTGGTTTTGCTGGATTTCAAAAGGCTTTTGATACAGTAGATCATTTTATTTTATGTAGGAAATTACAAGCCATGGGTGTTCATTTTGATTCAGTTGATTGGTTTCAATCTTATCTCTCAAGTAGACAACAAATTGTTCGAATTAATCAAGTTGATTCTCATCCAATGAAAATAACATGTGGTGTTCCCCAGGGTAGTCTTTTAGGACCTTTACCTTTTCTCTCTTATGTAAACGACATTTTCCAAAAATCTATTTTAACCACCAGTGTATTTTTAAAAAATATTTTTAGTATTGTATAAATGTTTTCCTTTTTTGTGAGGACCCCAATAGAAATAAGCTGTTTATTACAGCTTTCTTGGGCTATCCTTGGCTTCTGTCTTTTACTATTCTTAGTTTTTTGTGTTTTCTACTATGACTGTTATTATAAATTGTCTTTTTGTCAGAATAAATAAATACATAAAAATAAAATAAATAGACAACTTGATATTGAATTCCCGTCACATGCCGATCAAATCTTGTCTGTCAAGCTTTGTGTTCGAATTTCTTCTAGGCCATCAGTAAAGGCCTATCTCGAGGCGTTTCTGATGAAAGTTGGGCCTACGCCGAGCGCAGTTTATTATTTCTAATTCGCAAAGTCGTCGGCTTTTTTTTGTTGAGTATTGTAAAGGAAGGCAATTCATTCTCACTTGAGGGCTCTAGCTTGCGGTCCTGTCACAAACGTTAATAAGTCATATTCGATTATTTTAACCCCCCCCCCTGGCAGTGTGTATCACAGATATGTTAAAGGTATATCCGTAATTACTTTTCCTTTTGGTTTTGTCAGTCACGTATCCAGGGTTTGGGTGAAGGGGAACGAAACGGAACCTTCGTCAGACCTGTAGTGGTGTGAAAAACAGGGCTGGGATAATACCAGACGTGAAGTACAGACGTTACAGTTTCTTTTCTCCTTTTTTGAGATGGTTGTAAGACGCAAGCTACGTACGCCTTCCACTTCCCTAACCAGCAACTCTTTGAATGTTTTTGTTTTTATTTTTGTTTATTTTTCCGATGTCGCTTTGGGTTTATTCATACGGGGGGGGGATTACTTAAAACTTACTGTTAGGGCTGTAATTCGCAAACGCTATCTTGTCATCTTTCACACATAGATACAGTGGGTGCTCCCCTTCAGTGTATACGTTTACTGGATCGACGGGTGGTCCCAGCCAAGAGAATGTTGGTTGAATGACAAAAAATGGCATGTTTGTAGTGTCAGTTTCAAGTGTTTGAATCACCTCAACTGTTGGATCACCAACTGAAAATAAAACGAGAAACATAACAATGAACATCGCGGACCACACAACACTCTGCTAAATCACAAAATATAGGCCCCATTAATTATACATTTTCACAAGTAGCCCTATTCAAAGAGTCTCCTTTTTTAAGATGGAGTATGCATATACATGTATAAAGGTAGGAGAGTCGTATGTAAAAAAAGTATTTAGATCGGAATTATAAGTATAAATTTCCCCTAGAAAAAATTCTTTACAATACATTGTAATGATGCGACGCTATCAATGTCGCAATTTCGTACACATACCTTGGAAAACTGTCTTGAAGATAACCCAAATAAATCTAGGAGGTTCTCCAGCAATCTTTGAGTTGCGCTGAACAGCCTGTAGTATGATGGAATATATATTCTCAGGAAGATTACACTCATATAGTAAATTATAAAGTTCACACGAAATTTAGAAATAAGGATTCGCTTTTCCTGCTTTTGATTTATTATTTTAAAAATAATAATAAAATATGGTAGGCTATAGAATCTTGCAAAGGCCTTCAGTGAGATGAAATAATAATGATAAATAAAACAATAATAATAAATTATAAATAAACAAAATAAATAATAATAAATAAAAACTTAAGGAAATACTTGGATCATTAATTACACACTTTTTGTCTTATATATTAAGCAGTTTGCGGTTCCCGAGATGAATCCCCAGTTACTTAAAGTTTCACTGAAACACCAATCCAGGAGGAACTTTGCTTACCAGCAGCAGTTGTGGCACTTGATACCCATGATTCGTGCGGAGAAGATCAAGAACGTACTCAATTCCTCTGCCTTCGATGTTTGTACCGTTTATCCCGAATAGTATGTCGCCGTTCCTGCCAAATGAATGGAAGACAAAGGAAGCAACGTGCATTCTGGAATTATTTTTCGGCCACATATCTCATGGAATTATTTCAAGGGGGAGCAAGTCTTGGGGGGGCTTCGGAATTTTTATGTAAACTTTCATGGCCGTTCTAAGGGTTGAGACTACATTATTGGGTATTTTACACGATGGAAGGGCAATAAAATTGGATCAAGCATTCGCATTTTAATATGGAGCTACGAATTGTATTTGACCAATGTGATCTGAGTAGGTAATATGACCAGGAAATTAATCCCTTCTAGACGGCTCTCGACCAATCAGAAGGCCAGATTTCGCCCCCACATGACCCTCATTAGCATGAAATGAGGAACGGGAATATTCCATTTTACATGGGAGTGTTGAGTTAGGATGGAGGGGATAAGATCAAGGAATGTATCATTTTACCACCTTATTTTGACTGTTAATGAGGATCATGTATAGGGCGAAATCCGTCCTTTTGATAGGTCGAGAGCCATCAGAGAAGGGATATATATGTGTATCGAATTTATTAGTGACCACTTATCTCGAATTTGCTAGCACAAAACACATCGTCTTGCACAGACAAGTACACACATCCTTACACAGCTATACTTGTGGGGTATTTCCTTTGTTCTTGTGTACAAAACTCCCACACAACACGCAAAAAATTTCAAATCACTCCAATTTAAACCAAATTCACTTTTCTGGGTTGATATTTCGACCGTATATCCCTTTATATAAAACACTTCAATTTGCGACTGATTTTTACCCACCAAAAATTTCCCCGTTTTGAGTTATTTCCAAATATCAGTTTCGTGAAATGCTTGTGGAGTACCACTTTTGGTACCAATTTTGGTACCCCACAAGTTGAAAAACTGGCCTTGTGGGGTACTTCCCATTGTTCCGGTACCCCACAAGGCCCCATGTATAAGCACACCCCTTCTTACCGGACACCCACAGCGAAGGCCAGGCCGTTTTCTATGATGTTTTGAAAGACGTAACAGCCATCTATATCATTCAAGTCCGCATTGAAGTCCACCGGATCCCTACCAAAACCCACAGGGGGAAGATATACGTGGTCTCCACATTCCTAGATGCCATTTCATTTGATTGAAATAGAACCAACACATTAACATTTACATGTAAATGGCAGTAGACTAAGTTTAATGTGAATATATCCCGATGGCAACTATCACGCCGTTGCAATCTGGCTGTTGTCATATTTCAGGATATTTGTTTTTGCACAGAAGCAGTGGAAGCTCTGCACCAACGTATAAACCACGTTATATTTCCAACTTGCCATCAATGCCTTCCTCGACTTGTAGGCTGCCTTCATGAGATACCACGCACTGCAAGACGTGCAGTACAATCAGATTGTTCCAGCGATAATAATTAGAAAAAAAATTATGTGCGTACTCTGAACAGTATAACTGTATCCAAAACAGTGAAAAACCGAGTGAGACTTTCAATTACCCCCTCCAAATGAAGCACCCCCCCTCCAAAAAGTTGCATAGTTAAGTATATCCACAGTTTTGTCGTCATACACAAAGCCTAAAACATGCATTTTTTACTCACTTGGGTATCAACCTGATGAGATTCTTGAGCCAATCTGGGGTTTCGTTCAGCCATTTGAGGTGATTTGGTGACCACACTATCTGGTTTGCTCCTTAACTGATAGGATGAAAAAATACGATTTCAGACTGTTACGGATGGATTTACTCAAAATAACAAAGACTGTGAAGACTGTACAACAGCGGCGTAACTATGGAGATTAAGTAAATAATTGTCGGCATGTTGTCCGTTTCTAAATTATCGGATTAATGTCTTTAAAAAATGAACCAGTGCATCTTTAACCGACCAAAATATTGCAGAAACATACGACATTATGTTGGTGGCGCTATAGGTTTTGTCTTGCATGCCATCTTTGTGTATTCAAAAGTTTGGTATGGTTGGTTGAGAGAACTCACCAAGATGAACCAAGAACTTCCAGACGGCTTGCGAGACCGAGAAATATAGAATTTCCGTAGAAATATTTACAAGGCTAAATAATTTATTAGGTTCAGTGTATACATGGCGTCGCAGGGGGTAAGGGGCACTCCTTGATGGGAAAAAGAAAAAACAGCGTGAGAAACTGAAAAACGGGAGTGATGATGCAAAATAAACTACCAATTTGTGTGAATGTACATGTACCTTGGAATCGACCCCCTTCCACCATTAATTTGCTGCTATTAAGGGCCCAGTCTCTTCAGCACCCCCCCCCCCGAAAGTCTGGCGACACCTGTGGTTATGAGGCATCCGTCCTATGAGCCATTTTGTCACTTTGGACGCAAAACGTGCACAATACAGTTTATTATCGTCACACTATGAAAAAAAATCGCATCCCCATCCCACGGCCTTATCTCCATCCCACTCATTTTTAGACACAATGATATACATGTGTAAACAGCTTTAAGTCTTACGACGTTTCGAAAATTTACCTTCGATGTTAAAAACTCGGAAGAAATGGCCCTCCTCGAATCGAACGTTTGCTGGAAAAAGTAGTTGGATCATTCACATTGTGAATTGTAAGTTGCACTATAGCTGGTGTTATGTTTCTGCTCAACATGTTATTACTTTTAGGAAGCATTCAGATTAAATCTGATTGGGGCATAAATACAATGAAGCGTGTTTGTGCACAGTTATGGGGGATTTTCTTTGCGCTTCACGTAACTGTCTCGGTGTATTGTTAGGTGGTGTGGAGAGTCATCACTAGTAAATGGCTGTGCAAAACAGCAGAGGTCTGGAATTCCGTGACAGAGAATGAAAGTCTTGCATTATTATATGAGCATTGACGACAGTTCTGCTTAGAGGATTTTGAGGGAAATTTCTAACAAGGCGGAAAAATGAATCTCCTTAAGTAAACAAATTTTACCACAGCAAAATATCCAAAGAGTTGGGTACATTCGGCGTAGAAATAACTGGAAAACTGACGTTTCTGCTTGTGGTGACATCATACTTTGCTGAGTATGAGAATTCATATTAGCATAGAAATAAAGTTTCCCAAAGTATAGTGCCTTGATAGTAGACTACATTATTTTTGCCGTTATTTTACAAGATGGGCCAATTTGGGAGTTAGTTATTTGTTACAGCTGTCATTCCATTGACTCGTTACACGCTTTACGTCTGCTTTGAGAAAAATAAAAACACAGTGCTTGAATGATCAAACCCAAGATCATTGTCTTGCATAAAACCCATGGACTAGAGTGAGCAAACCATGCGATGTCAATCTGCAGAACAAAAATATGGACAGCTGCTCCCCCCTTAAAAAAGTTTTAGGTTACACACGGTCCCGATGGTGCCCTTTTTTCAATACATTGTGTACATGTAATGGAACAGGAAGTGTTCCACAGGACACACTTTTCCAAGTTGCACCATAGAATAGAGAATACTATAATTGCAGTACCTCTCCCCTTGCAAAAATGTTATCTGGCAAATTAGACAGTGCCTCTGAAAAACAAATTTGTTCACGCACTCTAAAACTGTTCCAAATGTTTACAGTCAACTTTCAACTTGACAGAACAACTTACCTGCACTGTGACCACCAGACTCACTTTACACTGCATAGGCCTACGCGAAACTTATAGGCCGAGTAATACTGGATTGTGCCAGAGCCGATACCGGTGTGCGATCAGGCGTCACAGTTCTAGTTCTAGGAAATAAGGTGCTCAATGTCTGCCATCTCCTATCCCATAACAGGCCCTTTGCGTGCACCGTCCATGAAAGAGCAGGCCCATCTACAGTATTTTAGCGACTGGTACTTCCAGTCGGTTCCAGATTTTGGGCCTTAACCTACCAGTGATGAAAGCCTAAAGTTGAAGTCTGAGAAATGGCCGGATTCAAACTAAAATGGCACACCTCATTTTTTTTTCAGGTTCGACAGTCACCACCGATTCTACAAGACAGCGACCTTGCATATGCAAAGTTTTCACAGCCAGTCAGTTCAACACTGAAATGAGAAAGCAAGCATGAACTTCGTAAGTAGTTAAATTAGCACGTGGACGTTTGTGCAGAAGTCTCCTAATTTAACACAAGAAGCAGGAGAAGAAGCCTTCAATTGAACATCCTAACTGTACTTACGCACGATGAACACGTTCACTTTTTCTGCGTATTATATAACAATAAAGACTGCAGTGATGTGGGGTGTGATGTTTTAACACCCAGTAGACACAAAGCAGCAGAGAGTTTCTCCGAGGATGGTTTCATGTCATATCCCACATCACAGCGATTAGTATGTTGAATTCTTTTTAGTATTTTCTTAACCTGAAGCCTCTCGGACTTAATCGGAGTGCCCCTAGCTGGCCGTCCTTCTTCGTATGCAAAGAAGGACGCACGGTCTGCGCGGACTCGATGCGTCGCTGTGTATTGCTGTGTATTCATGCTGGTTGCACGTGTCTTTACGGAAAACAGTATCTTTAGGTCCAAAATCAAACATTTTGGGGGGAAACATGCACGTATCTTTAGTCCCTGGTCCCCCATTACATTCTGCTTGCCATGTTGCCATTAAGACGTCATTATATTAAGGCCACAGTTCACGAGCGTTGCACAAAATGTATTGTCTGTTTTGGATACTGTGTGTTCATTGGCCTAGAACGATCACATGACACTCACCGTGAGACACCTCATTTTGGCGATAGCACGTACATGCGCACGAGACAGAAGAGCTTCGGGAAGTTCGAGGGCGACAGTTGTCGTTATTTGGTCAGTTTTGCGTGACGTTTTGGACACCGTCGCGCACGCAACGCGTCCGTCGAGTGTTCAAAACGTTATATCCAACATCTGAGCAGTCAACAATTGTTAAAGTGTGAAAAACGTTGACTTCAACGAGCTTCTGCAAAGGCAGGAAGAGAAAGCAAAAACAACCGAGTTAAAAACAATTATTTTGTAGTAATTTGTTTCCTTGAATTTTTAAAGAAAAGAAATGCACCTGTATACTCTGTGCCAAAGCTGGATATTCGTCAGCCCGTTTTGTTTCCTCTAGCTTCCCCACCCCACCCCAAGCCAGGTCAGTGTTAATAACACAAGCACTGACAGCCCAACATTTTTAAAACTGAACTGTGGGAGTCTGGTAAATCGTTGCTATATATAATATAATGTGTAGCGCTATAGATCAATTCGCGAGCGATGTAATAATTCTCTGTTTCCTTGAAGGTTCTCGTTTTAAAACGAGCAACTTATGATGTGAACAGAGAGCTCGCTGAGTGTGATTTGAGTCTAATACCTCCCATAAGTACATCACTGAAATACTAGGGCTGGCCAATTCAAATCATCGATATAACTTTCGATTTGAATCAAGTGATTTTTAATCAACATTCTCATTTTTTATGACAAAAGTGTTATTATTCATTTTTCCCCATCACTATGAACGATGAAAATGTCCAAATTTAGCACATTTTTAGTGACACTTCTCTGAACCTTCAGAACCTTTTGATAAGAACTGTAGAAGCACGTGCAGAAGCAATTATTTTATTGTTCTGTTCATGCAGCTTAAAAACGTTTATGTTTTCAATAAACACGCTTGATTCAATACATGAATAAAAAAACAATTATCTATTACAGTTCCAACTGTAAGTCAAGTTAAGTTAGATTAGTTAGCTTAGATCACAAGGTACTGTTTTGTCAAGTTTTCCACCTGCGTGTTGAAGCTTTGACATTTTGTTGGGAACCTTTGGGTCTCTTGCAAACAGTCTCAACAGCAGCATGATATCAGCAAATAATCAATCATTCCGGGAAATAATTCAGTTTCACTATACAAAAAGACAAGTGAACTTGAAGAGAACGTTCAAGGGGAACCGATGGGGATTTCCCCACATACCATCAAAAGCTCTCATTCAATAGCCTACAGACTTGCTTCCTGTCCAGCTGTCTGCTGAAAATTGCTCTGAATTCTGAATCCCACAGAGTCGTGTGTAATTTCAAGCCACAGGTAATGCGGGCAAAGTTTAAAAACAGTGGGCCGTCCCCTGATATTAAATGTATTTCGCCTGGGGTTGGGGACCTGGAACCAGTCTAAATGATTTTGCCGCTGACCCTGTTTTTGCGTTATTGAACATGGACAAGATTAACTCTCATGTTGCGTTTGATGTAAGTGATTTTGCAGTCATCATGCAGTTTATTGTGGGCCTAACTAAGCACTGATGTGTTACTCGTACATATAGGCAAAATTCAATGTGAAGTGTGAGCAAATGATGTATTCAAATGATATAAATCCGACCAAAATAAAATCATTCAATATAGTATTGTAGGAACATTATTAGGACAATAAAAGGAAACATTACATGTCATGCAACACAGGGTCTAGGGATTTGTAACAGATGGCTCTGTCTTCTTCGCATCTTCTGTTGTCTTTTTGCATTACATTAGTTTGACTGTCTATCTGCCAGTGGCCTGTCTACTTTTAAGACATCGGGAGAGATATGGATAGTATCAGGCTATGTATCTCATAGGCTATATGATTCGATTGTGGGAAATACTGAGAAAAAAGTTAAGTTTTTATCAAGGGCTTCATTACGGCAGTTGGTATCTTTCAAAAGAATGTACCACTTGATTTAGTTCAGTAATCATGAATATTCCAACTTTAACTTCTCAAACATTTTCACATGTTACTTTTGTATTCACGTACATGATTTGAATGCTTCGCTAGGCAACACTGCACAGAAATTGGCTGTTTATTTAGTGAAATAGACTGATGAAAAGTAAAACGGAATTGCAGACGTGCCTTCGATTTCAAATTACAACTAAATGTCAATATGCTAAATTCGCTGCACATTCGGGTGCACCCCCATTGAAATAGAATTATCGTTTGTTAAATAGAAACACGGATTTTGAACGTTCATTCTATTTTGCACGAAAGCTATTGATTCTTATGTCACATTTTCCAAATATGGCTGATAAAAACCCATATAAGACTGATATTTACCACAGAGACACAGGAAAAGTGGAAATCCCAAACATTTCCCCTACTGTACTGTGCTTGAGCTAGTAATACGCTGCTGCAGGTATGTTATTGCTATTTTGAACGATTTAAAGAGTTACCTTGCAAAAAGCTACCAAAGCGTCTGTGTCATTATACGATCCCCTTCATTTTATGTAGCGGCATACAGCGTGTATACAGATCTGTTACTGCCGTATGTTAAGACACCTATCTGGCTACGTATCTTGGAACACCTGTTTCATACTTACATCTTTCTTTTCTGTCGGGTACATTTTCTTCAAAGGGGGTTTCTTACTAAGTATCTTTACAGAAACGATTTAATTTATTCCAAAAAAACCGAAGAGATTACGAATACGAAAAATATGGGAAAATATTTTTTAAAGTGTGAGAAATTATTCTGAAGTAGCCTGGAGAAATGTTAAAATTTGACAAACGGGCATCTTGATTTGAAAGGTAATCAATGATCCTTGATTTTGAAACCGTGCTAAAATATCTCCACTGTCTCTGTGGTAGGCAGATGTATATGTTTGTTACTTGAACCGGCTGTAACTAGGCCTATATATGAAATAACAATATTTATTTTTTAACATTTTATTTCAAATGCAAGTTAAAATACGAAGACCGTATAAAAAGCAGTGTCGGGCCCATAATGACTGTTCGTGGGCGCCCACAGCTATCAATTGTACTAAACAAAAGGCACTAGATGTATAGATACAAACGAGCCCCCTTGAAGGTCAAATGAAATATGGCCAGCAAAGTGGTATCTTCTAGGCAGCATTGCCTCAAACGCCAGACTGTTCCAACTTCGGTGCCTTTATGGAGCTGATGTTGACCTTCAGTTCAGTTTTTTCCTTTGATAACATGGCTCCACCAGTCTCACTCATGCCAAGGTACATTCCTGTAGTGGGAAATAAATACAAAAACGCAGTTGGCCGTTGAAATCGACTCAGGAAAATCAATGTGTCAATTATCCCAAATACAGGATTAGCCCTTAGGGAGAAATAGACAAGGATCTCACATTAATACCCTATTCCTTGGACCCTACGAATACCTCGGACTACATAGACTGGGCGGAGTCCAGAGGCACACCATCCTTCCATTCCATACCGTTTGTCCATGATACCGATGGAAGATTTCACAAGCAGTTCACATATAAACATTTCTCTGATGCATCAAGTGTAATTGCACAGGGGGGTGTTGGGAGGATAATATTTTCCCTTTGTCTTCAACTCTGTACTCCCTTTCTCCCTGCCTATTTGATGAAAACTCTTTTCTTTCGCTGAACTGCGAAATAATTTAAGTCCATGACTTATACCACCGTGCGCGTTTGCTGCCTTCTTGCTAGTTTACAGCTTAAGTTGGTTCTTGGTTTTTGCAACGAAAATGGCGTCCTCTCTTGGTGGAGCTCGAGGTTCATGGCTGAGATAATAAATTATTGGTATATGCTATGCATTTAATTTTCCTCACCATCATTCTCTTTATCTCAGCTACAGCACAATAAAGTTTTCATAAAACGCAATGCATTTGGAGGGTAAAACACCTAACATTTGAATCATTTCTTTACCTTCCGCCTGTGCGCTTTCAAGAGAAAATCCAGTCTCGTAAATCTTTTCGTACCACAGACGGGAAGCCTCTTTAATATCTTTGCTATCAATCATCCACGACGGAAAATCCTGAAATTAAAGCGTAAAGAGTGAAATGTAATTAATGAATGGTTTTCATAATAATTCCACATGTACACCAAAGGAAATTTGAGAACAATTTTTTTCTTCTTGGCTACGGATTATTGTGTCACAACTAGGAAATTTCGTATCGGTACATTTAGTGTAAAAATGGCGAAATGCATGTGAGCAATTTTTCAGGCTAAGAAAGCAACATAGATACGCGTATTGAACTTACTCATACCCTCGAACTGATTACTTTTCTGGACATTATGCAGATAACTTTTGTGGACTGATAAGAAGCGAATCAATCAAAATATTTGACATATTCTTCTCTCGAAACATAATAGGAACCCGGACGGCAATCAAGTTTCTGCCATAACGGAAGTGTTTTTAAAGCTCAGCAATCTGTGTAAGGATAAAGCAACCGTGTTTGAGTGATCAATTAAGAAGTGCACTAACCAGAACTTCTACGGTGTTTTCGGCCGACCGTGCTGGAGTGTTACGTTTTGGTTGCAGATCTGGAGGCTTGAGGGATTGTAAAGAATACGCCACAACGTTGCCCTCTGCCGCTTTACCACCCACGTACTTGTACATATAGAACGCACCTTTAAACAACCATAATTGGGATTGTGTCCAGGTCATTTCCTATTCATGAATCCAGATCAACAAGGCTGTGCAGACCTAAAGCTGGCCCTTGATGTAATTGACGGCCATTTTGGCAATGGTTACCTATTGGATGTGCCATTGGGCTATTTTTGTTAGAATGTTGTCGGACAAGGCGGATCCTGCTCTTGTAAAGTGATGAAAGGTTTCTTTCTGATCACGAACTTGAATTAGTCTTGTAGTCACTAATTTATCTTACAGGCGTATCTTAATGTAATTACAGGATGATACTACATGTACCAGCTCTGAAGTTTTGACATTTTCGCTTTCCTTACGAAAACACCGTTGGAGGAGGCAGGTTGCAGAAAGGATGTGCGTGTTTGTTGTCATGTTGGCTTATTCACACTTACTGCTTGGGCCGTATTTTGCAAACACCATCTTGTCATCTGCAACACTGAGATATAGTGGAGGATCCCCACCAATATAAATATCTACTTTATCGACGGGTGGTCCCAGCCACGAGAACGACGGACCGACATCGATGAATGGCATCTTCGCAGTGTCATTCACAAGCGTCTGAATCACCTCGACTGTTGGGCCACCAACTGCAAATAATATGAGAAATATAACAGTGAATATCTCGGCCCATATTACAGTGTATGCTGAATCACAGAATGCACTATTAATAATAAATGTTAATTTAATAATAATAATTTATAGTGCGCCCTTTCCACCGAAGTAAAAATATTACACATTATTTTCCACGTGCAGCCATGTTAATAGAGCCTCCGCTTTTAAGGATGAAGTGTGCATGTACGCAGATTGGAGATCCCAATTACGTTATATATTCACTTGCAAAGAATCGTATTGAAAAAATTAATTCAATAGGATAAATCCCGTTGAAAGATGATTGCTTTACAGCGGCTCTGGTGATTTTAATTGTAAACGACACACTTGGAATCCGAATCTTGAGCCCTCACGTTGAAAAACCACCTTGAAGATGACCCAAATAAACTCTGGAAATTCTCCAGCAATCTCTGAGTTGCGCTGAACAGCCTGTAGTATGTATGACAACATAATGAGAACATAATTACCAGGAGGTATATATTTATGACGTTTACATGAAGTTTACTGATGAGGGAGGTTGACAACATCTTGCAAGGGACCAACAGTAGGAAAGGTTTTTTAAATGGAGGCTGGGGTTGATTTTCACCTGGTAAATTGCACACTTCATGTCTTTCATATCATACAATATAGTGAATCAGTTTGAGGTTCAAGGGATGAAGTGTCCAGTTATTAAAATAGTTACCGAAAACACCGGGCCGAGTGGACTTTTGCTTACCAGCAGCAGTTGTGGCACTTGATACCCATGATTCGTGCGGAGAAGATCAAGAACGTACTCAATGCCTCTGCCCTCGATGGTCGTACCGTTTATTCCAAACAGTACGTCCCCGTTCCTGTCAAATTTTGCGAGCAAAAAGAAACGATGTGTGAGTGCATTTGTGGTTGGGACGATAAATGTTCGCAACGGTGAAAGTACAAACTGTCCATTTTAAACTTAAAATATCATCTACGGATGCTCTTGGTTCGCTGATACTTTTAGTTTCATCTTTGATTTTTGCAATCCAGAGATATGCCCTATAAACAGCAAGCAAGAAAAAAGTGAGTCTGTGCCACCATGGAGGAAGGAACACAACTATCGTGAATTAATCATGACAACTTTTCTTCTTTTGTGAGATTTTAAACGATAATGTACAAACGTGTTTACAATTCAAACAGTTTTATTCTGTGCTGAATTCAGTTCAAATAATGAAACGGCAACACGTGCCTTTTTGTCAGAGTGCAACTGTAGTAACCGATCAATTACGCAACTCATTTGGAGTCACATCCTTATGGACTACAAAGTAGTGCAAATTCGTGTTTGAGTACTCGAGTTCTTTGGGAAATAACTAGACAGCCAAAAGCAAATAAGAATAAATAATCTGGTCATTGTCCGCCTTGTTCAGTGTTTTAAACTGTGACCAAACCCATTGAGTGCCCCCTCCAGACGACGACGGCCCAAAAGTTCCCACTGCAAAATGAACCCTACTTAGTACGCCGCTGCTACGAGGAAACCAACTTGTGAAGCTCAGATTATCAGGCCAGTATGATTGGCATGCCTTTCAGACGTGTATTTTTTCGGGTTTATGTGTCTATCACATTCACGTTGACACTACTTTTCATCTTAAACTGCCGACAGAAGAGGCGTCCTTTTGTACATGGGAGCACAATAATTCTCACCTAAATCCCGCAGCGTAGGCCAGGCCGTTTTCTGTGACGTTCTGAAAGACGTAACGGCCATCTATATCATTCAAGTCCGCATTGAAGTCCACCGGATCCCCACCAAAGCCGGCAGGGGGAAGGAATATGTGGCCTCCACCTTCCTAAATTGATATTAGTTGATGGAAATGCAAGCACGTTAAAGATCGTGGTGTACATGTTCACTTACAGAGTATGAAAACGAATAACACAAAGTTTAACGTGAGCTATTCTGCATTGGCGTACACTTAGCGTTGTTTTCTTTCAAAGAGTGAAAGCTCCACCCCACCCCATCCCCAGTGCGAAGTAGCTACTCATTGCTCCCCTTCCCATTCTGTCTCCCTTATTGGTACCCTCTGGATGTAAACAGGGTGTGCATATTACAAGCCACATGGAATAACTATACATCCAAATCGCTCACATACGGAGCTCTGGAAGTGCCATCCGACTTGTTGAGATTCAGACATAGGCCTATTTTTCTCGAGATGAGGACATAATAAAGGTGTCAGCGTTGCCCAAGCAACAGATCCTGCAATGCTTCAGTAAATAACTTGTGTGTCCCGTGTTTGCAGACCGCTGCGTGTGTGTATTGTGCGTGTTCGTTGTACATGTATACCGAGATAGAATGTGTACGGTAAGAACTAATAAATAATGCATGATTCGGGATGAATATTTATATCGCATGGTCTGGTCTTTTATATTTTTTGGGCATTCTAAGGATTGTCTTCTGAACCGTGAAGTCAAGTGATCAAACCCCACGGATTTAAAAATCAAAAATATACGCCACTCTAACATCGATCGCGATCGGAAGCTTTGTAAACTATGATTTGCCAACCTTAGAGATATTAATTAAAAACGCCGATGACCAGGTTTTGGGCCGGCGGTGGGCTCCAGGAGCAATAACTGATATCTCTGCCAGCAGACCGTAAGTTTGAGCTTACTGGTATTACTTTCTTGTACAGTTTGTGTCACTTTAAACACTGAATGGCAGTTATATTATCATTTAAAGATCCTTACTCGTCTTAATGAAGCATCACAGTGATACTTGGACAGTGGAAATTACTCCTTTAATTTTGGTATGCATCTTTTATAAGGTACATGTAGCCTTAATGAAGCTATGATCAGCCTTGATTAATTATTATATAATATTTATGACATCTTGTAACGCAGGCAGACGATGAAACCCCCTTGCTCTATTTTCGTTTATGAAAAGAAGTGGCTATTTATAGGGTGTATATATCCTTATTGTTAACTGTGAAAACTGCAGATGGCAACTTTGCCTAGATAGAGGCAATCCTCTTACTGTCCGTGCTGAGAGAGGCAGACAGGTCCGCGACCAACCGAGTCGTCCCTACTTTGTGGAAGCACCGTCCGTTTTGCGAGGCAGACAGGCCCGTGAAGAGCAACTGCCCAGACAAGAGCTTCTGGTTGCTGGGTGACAATGCCCTAATTCCAGCCTACCTATCTGGAAGTAGCGTTATAGGGACATCTGACCAGTCAAGAGGGAGGCCCTCATCACAAGCACTCAAAACCAAACGGAAAATAACACCCACAACGGTGGGCCCTTTCATATTTTTTGGGCCGCCTAGATTGGGATTATTTATCGTATATCTATTCACGAATTACTATAGTATTCATTCATTAATTTCTCATAGATTAGGGTTATTTACCGTATATCTATTCACTAATTACTATGGTATTCATTCATTAATTTCTCATTGATTAGGGTTATTCACCGTATATCTATTCACTAATTACTTTATTATTCATTCATTAATTTCTCATTGATCAGGGTTATTTACCGTATATCTATTCACTCATTACTATAGTATTCATTCATTTCTCATTGATTAGGGTTATTTACCGTATATCTATTCATTAATTATTATAGTATTCATTCATTCATTTCTCATAGATAATGATTACTTTCTTTGCTTTTTTAAATGTTCCATTAAGACACCTTTATATTATTATATTATAAGTTTCCAGGGTAAGAATATTACTTCGGGTTGAGGTTTGTTTTGAACGATTGAATCACTAGATCAGTTATTCGGTCCGATTCGGATATAATAATATAATATGTAGACTATAACAGGTCTAAAAACCAATTTAGTTCCTTAATTAAATCAGCCAGTGAAACTTAACTACTTCAAAGTAATTCGTTCTAAATTAAAGTTGGTAAATGTGTAAATAATTGTAAACAATCTCGTAAATATTAAACAATATCTATGATTATTCAAGAAGAAATTGTATACATTGAGTTATATGTAAATAGCTTGAGAAAGACTCTGTACATAAATTTATGAAGTGTCCACGAAGTTGCAGGAGGAATAACTAATTCCCAAAATTTATTACTTGAATCCTTGGGGAGTTGTGACAAAAGGCAAGATGTCAGCATCCTGAGATAATTTCTTACGGGATAAAAGTTGAATGACGACATCCTCATATACTTTATCATAGGATGATGACATCTTAAAAGTCGGGTGCCGACATCCTGAGATAATCATTATCTCTGGATATCGTCATCTAGAGACAACCAGCAAGTGTCATGTCTACCTCACTACTTGTAACAAGCGGTGAGACATCATGACATTGTATCGATCTAATTAATAGCATGTATGGCAATAGGACGACAATGCTTTGAAAGATCAAAGCACCTCAACCGTGCGTTTTCAAGGTGGTTTGTCAACGCACCCATTCAATAATGTCATTATTCCACTCTTACGATGTCGTCATCCATGATAACTTATCTCGGGATGTTGTCATCCCACTTTTGCGATGTCGTCATTCCGCGATAATTTATCTCGGGATGTCATCCTCCCGTAAAAAATATTATTTCAAGATGTTGACATCTTACCTCTGCTATGTCGTCATCCCACGGCAGGGAATAGTAGTGCAGGATCTCAGCAAGTCGGATGGCACTTCAATTAGTACTCAGCTTAAAACATTATCCGCAACAATTAACCAACTAATTGCTATACTCAAGTTGAATTTTCGAAGAATTCTTTGACCAATTGCCTCCTCCAAATTATAGCAACCCTTCGAAAGGGAAAAGTTGAGTACTATTTACCATTTTCTCACAGTTACACAATGATAAATATATGAATGGCAATACTCACGTGACTGTGACGATGAGTTTCATGCGCTGATATGGGTTCCCCGGTAGCCATGTCGGGATGGATGACCTCTCGTTTTGCACCTTAAATAAGGTAGCAACATTATGTATGATTTCAAGGGTGGATTTACTTCAAAAGTCGACCTCTGTTTAATGATATTGATGGCGTTGAAATCACTATTAAATTATTTTGTTTTACATGCCATTGGTTTCAAGAAAACAATAAAAAGGGTACCTAAGCACTTGTACCATTCTAAATTTTGTACAGTTAATTGCTTTGGCGTAATACCAAACGTGTCACAGCAACACGTGAGTGAATGATTACGGGACAAAAAATGTTGTTGTTTTTTTCTCAAAGTACAGACTTGCTGTATCAAGGATAAAACTCCATCGGATCGGTTACAAGGTCTCCTGGTATATTTTAGCAATTTTGTCACTTCAAATGAAAATCTGAATAAAAATCACAAGTTGTCCACTCTGCTTTTAAATTTCTGCCCGTCCCACGACTATCTTACCCCATCCCACCCTTCATTGTACCTATTATAGGGTCTAATACAAACGGCTTATAAATGAGTCTAAAAACCAAGGTGACGCCAAACTTTGTTTACGCGTGCGCCTCCCTGTGGTGCTTAGGAGCCCCCACTGGCTTCATCGGGAAAAGTGCACTCGTGGAACAAACCTTGACGTCATCAGTACACAAGCCAATACGTACGATGTTTTGAGAATATGCCTCCCATGTTGAAACTTGGAAGAAATGGTCCTTTTCAATCCGTATGTTTGCTGCGGGAAAAAGAAGTTGAATCGTTGGTATTGGATGAAGTTCCAGCTTGAATAGCCATTAGTCTCGATTTGTATGTTAGAGTTTTTGTGCTTTGTGCACGTGCAGTATTGATAATTACCTAATTCAGAAAAGTCATCGCAACAGTGTCAGTGAATGTAAATCCAGTACTCCTATATGGGCATTACAGGTTTCCCTCGATACTTATTCCTCAACAAGACTATAGCCAACAACTCCATCTGTTAAATCACACTACCATGGCACATCACGTACAACCCGGACCCTTCGGTGGCAGAACCGCCACAACACAAACTTCATCCCTAGGGATGGCTTACATGTACAAGTGTAGGTGGTGTATTTTTTCGAAATGTTTTAATGGGACTCGAGCAAATTGTAGGGGTCCTTTGCCAAAGAAACATTGGGGAGGAACAAAATTGGCGAAATGAATGTCTGTCATGAAAGGAGAGCCATGAAATAAATTCACGATGTCGTGAAACAAAGTTAACTTTTCATGTCAATTTGGAGCCACCGTGCATGATACATGTAGGGGTCACTGGGGGCACAAATGGACCCTCTGTTTAATTCATTGCGAAACTCCGCAGCGTCTTTCATAGGGAAAAACGGGATATATGCAGGGTAGCCTGACTCATGCTGAAACTCCTTTGTCCCTTGTCGTTCCCTGCTTCCCACGTATCCGGGAAAAAAGGCGAAACAGCTTCAGTGCCCGAGTAACGGTGACCCAATACCTTTCACTGTAAAAGCAACGCTCATTATAAACGCATCTCTGCGTTAATTGTAAACATGTAACCGTTTAAATTTAAACACCTTTTTAAAAATAGGCTTGTTTCGGTATCTACTATCTAGAAAGTTTTACCACCCGATAAGCTATTTTTGTGTCTCGTTAATGACACCCAACTGTTTCATTGTGTCTAAATTTATTGACACACCAATATTTATTGTTTTTAAAACTAAACACCACAACGCGTTAAGCTTTGAATTATGAATTGTACACCAAAATATGTTCATGATAAGCGGCGTTTAAATAAGCACTTTCCCACCACTGTACGTAAAGTTCAAGTTGGTGAAGAGGTGGAGGCTGCATCATGGTGCATGTCTGGCCTCAGTCGCACACAGCATCACCTTTAGGCTCCAACATAAATAGAAATGCAGTAATTACAACCTTTACATAAAAAAGATAAAGAAAGCCCATGGTGTGAATTTTAGTTGGTAATATGAACATGTAAATTTCTGTCCCTCTTTTGAAGCAAAATATCTCACAGCTTGTTTGGTTCTCGGAGATATGTGCACTTTTTATACAGTTTACCGTTCTCCGTGCTTTTCCCGGTAACGAGGACAGTCTGTCTGTTATGTCATACAGGAAGAGAATGTTAATATCAGGCAGTTTTTATTGTGAACCCGAATTTAAATTTGCTCATGGAAAAATGTGTGAGACAGACACTGACCCACTGACATGCAGTGAAACAACGAATTACCTCATGTAAATAACTTTAGGGCAGCAAAATATCTCAAAATGCTCGTGCAGAAATGACTGTAAACATTGACGCTCATGCTTTGAGTGTAATCACACTCTTTCTCATATAAATATGAAGTTTGCATGAAAATAAGATATAACGAAATGCCATATTTGGACTTGACAAAGAGTGAAATTCATGAAAAATTGGAAACCGTAAGAATCGAGTGTTTCCCCCCCCCCAAAAAAAAATACTTCAAAAGTTACATTGGCTGGGCCCTTTTGTAGGAAAAGAATTTGGGACGTTCCCATTTCAGCACCACTCGAAACTGGAGGCGTGTTGTAAAATCGCAGATTCGCTGACAACTTGATTCTGCATAGTTACACTGTCTGCGCGTATAAACAAGACGGTGTTACGTTCTCTTCGAAATGGATGGGGCAAACTGTCGAACCCAGAGTCGAATTTTCTTTTCGAAATATGTATAAGGCTGTTCAAATAACTTTTTTATTTGATGATACTCGCTGAGGGTAAGTGATTAAACAGCTTTCGGAATGCCAAATATCCATCGGTCAAACTCATGTGAATCACATTTTCTCTAAATATACAAAATCTGGGTTACAGCATTTTTCTTGCACGCAGTTGTTAACTCGTATGTGATATAGGCTTGTTGGTACTATCTCATTTAACTTCTGCCATGCAAATCTTACTTAACTGTGTTGCCGACTGCATCCGTCAACATTGAACAAGCGTTAGACAGATAATGTAACACTGGCACTGCGCCAATGCAAATGGCCTAGCTTTTTCCTGGCGCTGTCCCCTGGCATGTATGATCGGAAGTCAAGCTCACTAGCCATATTCCATATCACACGCACCAGACCCGATTCCCCGAAAAAGTATTGTTTGTCGGTTCCATTGGCATCGTGGGGAAGGGAGAAAAATATCCAGAGGAATGAAAAGGGGAGGGAGGGAATCGAAATCAGCAAGTTGCTTCAAAATACAGAGTAGCTCCGAAGTTACTCCTTCCGCCGTGAATGACTTGACAGGTTGCTGTTGATGTGTGCTTCACCATCCCCCCCCGGAAAAATTCTAGCGACGCCCATGTCTGGTGCTGTGTCCTGGGAACCTAGACAGCCCAAATAACTACATTTAATTTACGTACAAGGAAGTAGAGGACCTCGGTATGGGACATATTCTTGGCAAGTCTCTGTCCACGTGAAAAATGCTAATTCAGTGAGTTGGCCTGCACATCTGAAATTCTACCTAACCTCCGGATTCAAAGTCATACCCGCCCACACGCGAATTATTTTACCAACATAAGGGCTTCGCAAACATCGAACATCTTTTCGGGAAAGAACCTATTGGCATCTGAAATTCTGTTGTTTTGAGAAGAGTTCCAGAATATGTCGAGATAACAAAAATTGCAACGAATTTGTACAGAACATGCAGTGAATATTCAGCTCAACTTGTTCTCATACACGCATTACTGTATTACAACAGCACAAGATTTCAATCCTTATTTTCATTAGAAGTGACAAGAGGGTGGTATCTATCCATTCTTAGAAAATCCTTTCCTCAGTATATCTTAAAGGGCATTGTAATTCTTTTGTCACACAAGCCACTACTTGCCAACTTGAGCCTGAACAAAGTACAAAAATTTCCCCTTCTTATTAATTATCCCGCCCCCAAAAAGGCGATTTTAAAGAAATGGGTCAGTGCGTTTGTCCAAACAACCTACTTAACACGAACAACAAGTAAAAAGTGGAATTTAAACAAATATAGTATAGTGTTATCACAGAGCTGCAGCCACTACTGTTCTGCCTTAAAAGCCATTACGTTTTTGCCGATGAATATGGACATTTTCTCTAGCCTAAAAACTAAAATGTTGACTTTTACCTTTTAATGCCAAAAACGGAGATGTTAATGCCACAACGGAGATGGAAAGTCATAATCACTGCAAAAAGGTTTCCTACGAGTGTTCAACTATTAAAAATTATATTTCATGCCCTCTATAAGGATGAGAATTATTAACTGGTGAAACAAACTCGTCCATGGGGATTGTGCCCATGAGTTCGATATAGCTTCAAAATGGCTGCCGTATCAGGTGTCAACAAACTCGAGGTTTTTTCTTTATCAGTTTTCCGTATATTTAAAACTTGAAGGTGGCTTCTTCCCGAACCTTTGAAATGTGCAACCATCTAAAACATTGAAATGTTTGGCTCTTCCACAGTGGCGTGCCCCTCCGTAACCCAGTGATGAAATAAGACATGTTCCACTACACCATCCACTTGTGTAGTCGGCATCACGATATCCATATTACTAGGCCCGCTACCTCACCACTTGCAATGACAAGTTCGTAGGTGACTCTAGTAGAGATCTTAAACTGCACCGAACCACACCCGTTCACTCGACATATAATCAAACAAAACAACCTACCTGCACAGTGACCACCGACAGTGTTTATATACGCAACTAATTGTTGCAGTGAAGCAAGTCGTGTACGTGCAGCCCAGAACACGGGCCTGTGTGATTTGGGAACGACCCCTTGGCAGTGTCGCAAGATCAGGCGTGTCAGTGTACAGGAGTGGATAGATCAGATATATCACTGAATTATCACTGCAACAGTTCCAAGAGGTATGGTGTTCTGTATCTGCCATCTCGCATCTCGTCATGTACCTACTGCTAAACTATCGTTCACTGGACAAGTCAATATTTAATTACGGATTTTGCCCTTACCCGATTTCAATTTTGTGAGCTGTGGTCCTCAGTGGCAAGCGCTTGTGGTAAGGGATACCTCTTTTCCTTTTTCTTTTTGGAAAAATGTTTTGTAGTCTTCCCACCGACTTGAAGACCCTTAATTGTTTCTTGAGACCAAAGAAAGTACTTTAAATTTTGGGTCTTTCCCCGTCCTCCTCTGAAATTTGTCGTTAAAAAAATCTGAGCATGCAACTTTTAAAAAATGCTCGCCTTACTAAGCATATGCATGGACGTTTGTGCAGTGGTTCAGTGACTTTAATAAAGGATAAGAAGCCAGACAAAGATGCCTTTAAACTGAACTAGGTTACTTATGTGTTGTAATGGAGCATGTTTTCACGAGTACGAACACGGGGACATGGAATGCGGACGAGTACGAGCACGGGAACGTAGAATGTGCGGACGAGTACGAGCACGGGAACATGTAATGTGCGGACGAGTACGAGCACGGGAACGTGGAATGTGCGGTCGAGTACGAGCACGGGAATATGGAATGTGCGGACGAGTACGAGCACGGGAACATGGAATGTGCGGACGAGCACGGGAACGTGGAATGTGCGCTCGAGTACGAGCACGGGAATATGGAATGAGTACGAGCACGGTAACGTGGAATGTGCGGTCGAGTACGAGCACGGGAACGTAGAATGTGCGGACGAGTACGAGCACGGGAACATGTAATGTGCGGACGAGTACGAGCACGGGAACGTGGAATGTGCGGTCGAGTACGAGCACGGGAACGTGGAATGTGCGGTCGAGTACGAGCACGGGAACGTAGAATGTGCGGACGAGTAGGAGCACGGGAACATGTAATGTGCGGACGAGTACGAGCACGGGAACATGGAATGTGCGGACGAGCACGGGAACGTGGAATGTGCGCTCGAGTACGAGCACGGGAATATGGAATGTGGACGAGCACGGGAACGTGGAATGTGGACGAGTACGAGCACATTGTCATGAGTACGAGCGAGAGTACGAAAAAAATGTACTTTGAGTATAAGTACAAGTGCAACACTGCTTATGCACAATGGACATGGTCATCTTTCTGTGTGCATTATCTGATTGTCATATAACTGGCTGCCTACTAAAAATTGCACGTTGTGCAGTATCTTAGTCACGCTTCAGAGTCACGCTTTAGATACGGCATGCACTATACCAAACAACTTGGACTGCTCAGTGCTCACATACTTTTGAAGGATTTTTCAATGTCCCAACACTTAGGTTCCTCTTAGGTAATGAGCTGCTCATATGACAGGAAACTGCTTGTGGAAATCTCATTAACATGTACGGTACATGTACATGACTTTTGTATAGGCCTTCATTTGGCCTTTACTCGAGCGTTTTCCTGATACGTATGGTGAAAGGGACAAACCCATTCCCAACACACGGTAGACGTTTTATTTAACTTCCAAGTAAAACTTTCTCTGCACTTGTTTTCACAAGTTATTGTCATCACGTTTTGGTACCACTTTTACAAATAGCGATAGTACATGTACCGGTTCTCGTAAATGTGAACTTTCCCAAGAACGGTAGCAAATCCTTACGTTTAATTCTTTGATCGTGCATGTCAAACCGACAGAGGTTAGAGATACCTCTGACAATAATTCAGGCGCGTAGCTTTCAAAAGGTCTTCTAGGAAGAGTGCAATGCCTCACTCAATTCATCATAAAAATATTCTGACCGTATCCAGGTTGACTGTCACACTATTTACTTGTTAATTCCGGGACTCATCTGAAATGAAATTCTTGGAAACCATTTGCTTTCAGTTAAAAGAAGAAATGGGAAGGCTTTTGAAGGGAATACTTTGGGATTCCCCACCTACCGTTAAACTCTTTAATAGTATTCATTTATCCATAGACTTACTTTTCCAGTCTAGCTTCTGCGGCGCGGAAACTTGAAATTGTGTGTGAAAATTCAACGCGCACGTACATATATACAAGAGCGCATAACAAAATTCACGTCCCTTGACATACAGACTGGTGGGATACCACGCGTTGCACAGCCCCCACTAGATAAGTAGAGTTCATCATAGTAACGATATAGGCTGAAATGATGTAAAGAAATCATTGTGGAACATTTTTATTACTGTGAAGTTCCTGAACAGACCTAAAACTGCAAAGTCAAGAACTGCTGGGATGCGTAAATGAGGAACTGTATAGAAATAGAAGGGAATGACAAGGGTTTTCAGTTCGGGTGGTTGGTGGGATGTTACAGTTGGAAAGCCTGCGGCCGCATCATGTTCATGGTCAATCGTGTGGTCATGTGTACGTAACAAACGTCCGTCATGTATATGGGAAAAAATTCCCGTCGCAAACATGTCCATAACTTCCGACTGTATTATCAAAAGACGTAAAGAACCGTGAAAACTTGAAAAGCACGCATCATGCACGCACAAAAGTAATGCAAAGTTTATTTCTCTCAATAAAGGCTGGCCACATTTGCAAAATGAAAGATTGGGTCAATTATGTTCATATGCGTGGCCCAACTGCATCTATGTCCTGAATGTGCATGCGTGTACATAGGTATATTCCACATGAATTAATGAAGAGAAGCAAAACAATGCAAGCAAAAGAAAAACCTTATTAAAAGACTACTACTACCAAATCATTTAGTGATCGTATAAAAATGAAACTCAAGTGAATTAACGCGGCCACGTATACATTTCTTAATTACCACTCCCCAAACCAACTGTCTCAATGTTCCAACTGTGTCCACGACATACAGAGTTAACCCTCACCATGCTATTACAAGAGACATGTCTAAACCTTTGCAGTTCCTTGGAGCTAAAAATTAAAAAAAATGTTATAAAATTAAATTGCAAGAACTGGATGATTCCGGTTTTTAAGGGTTTGACATGTTTATATTATGATTGGGATGAAACAATTTTGTATATTAATGACGTCACTGCATTCCACTTTTTTGTTTTCTTGGTACTGACGTGGAGTTTGGACATGGAGGCAGGAGCCTATTAATGTTTTTTAGTATTCAAAAAAGTGTGCAATATAATGGCAAATGTTCTGGGTCTTTCTGGCCCCGTTTTGCACTGAGGAAACTGTGCTGTAGATGGTTTAGATTGGTTTCTGCAAATCTGCATCTAAATTAAGTCTCGAGCAAAGCTACTGATCCCATTTTTAAACTTCGGCTTCTTGCTGTTGTATTTGAAATATTTGTGATTGTTCATCTGATTATCTTTTCACGGCTATTTTCTTTTAAAGTGTACGTTGTGGTAAAGTTTTGACGGGTCCGTAAAACTATAGCGCATGGTGCATACTTACATACCGTTCGGAGTGGGGGACACTAGGCCTACAGCCTACCTCTTTTCGATCATGTGGGGGAGCTTCCACAACCGACTGCCTCCGGCTAAAATGCCGCTTTATGAACGGAATTGAGCCCTAGGAATTTTGGGCAGTTTGAGTACACGTATTTCATTGAAACTGCATTTATATCGCCTGAATCTACATCGTTGTAGTCTGGCACCTACACGTTAAATTTTAAAATGTCAAGTTATGCTTCCGTTACCTTCGATATTCAGCGAAGTAATGCGCTGCATGGCACGGTCAAATTATCAAATGCTATTATACTTAACCAAATCAACCTCTTTTTGACTTCAAAGTCCATCCCTCGCTTGTCACCAAGCAAAAGTCCATACCAAGAGGCAAGGCCGGACAGTACCAACCAAGCAATTCACCACAAAAGCAGTACATTTAAATTGTTAAACTTAATTTTTATTGACAGTGGGGACAAACACTGTTTTCTGTCCGGCACACCCTTGGTCTTCAGTTATTCTGAAGTTTCCCAAAACCAACAACGAAACAAATCACAACAAAGAATGTGTATTATGTAAGCCTAGCATTAAGTTTGAAGACCGGGAAAAGCGCAAGAAGGCATTTTCCATACATTATGTTAGTTCAAATTAATGTACTCTACTCATGCTTATGCTAATTGCTGAAATCTCACGCTACCAATCAAACGTATTGCCCTTCCAAAACTACGACAAAATGCCCACCTCATTGCATACACATGTACTCTAAAACATGGCCTCCTCGTTTTGTCATATTCGGAGTGGGAAACCGACAGAACGCACAGGTCTTAACAACCAGAAGCAGCTGGGGTTCAGAGGAATCCAGGCACACGTTTACGGAGACCTCGTTTGGTCGAAATTCATTATACATGTGTGAACAGCCGTCGTTCGATTGCACCCGCTAAACATCCCATAGTAAACGGTGTCTTAAGTATCACGATTTACTCAAAATAAAGCCGACGAGCGGTACGGTACACAAGCTAACGATGTGCTGACTACTGCACCGAAAATCGCCTTTGTGGTAAACAATTAAAACACACTTTTGGGGATGCCATGTTTGTTGATGTTTGATGCCCACAATCGGTCTATTATGGTATCCGATCAGCGTGTAGTGATCTCTGGGCCACATTAGTAGACTAACATTACTTTCAATACTGAAAAGGGCAAGCGTACAACTTTGGCCAGTGCAAGATGTTTTGCATTTGGAAATAAAAACAACTGATAATCAAATAAGGTTGTAACTCACAGAAGCTGTGACTGCAGAATTCACTAAGATCCGAAGATTACATGAAAAGAAGTCTTGTTTCTTTACTAGCGTTCTTCTTGATTGATCAAGTAGCACTTCTTCACTGAAATCTCTTTAAAATGTGGTCAAGTGTTTAAAGTTTAACCAACGTCTTAAAAAGGAAAATAGGTAAGAAAGAATTGTCAGGTGGCCTTAAGATATGTTCTTAAAATTTTGTTAGACGCAAAGACCTCGATTTAAAACCAAAAAGCATAACATTTGACAATGTTTTGATCAAATTTCAAACTCAAGCTGAAAAATATTCCATTATCTCCACGGTATCCAGATATATATTTTTTCTTTACTTTAATCCGCTACGACTACTGATGACATATGCTTTTCATACTTTGTCTCCATTTATTTAACAATTTTAAAACATGTATACTCTCTTAACCCCAAAGAGTGAGACAGGGGACAAGACGTTGAAATGCACTCTAAATGTAGACTGAAATACATGTCGTTTGAAAATAGAACCTCTTCCAGGAGAAACTCTCGTGAAATGTCGATCTACTCACTCTTGATCGAAAGAGTACATTTCACTCGAGTTCGTCTTGTCCCTAGTTTCAATCGGTGGGAGTGAATTTTCACTCGAATTGAGTGAATTTTCACTCTGTGGACTTTAGCGAGTAGAATCCAATTTCCGAACTACCGTGCACACCAATCAATGTACAATATACAACTCTTAATTAACTATGAATACTGACTTCAGTAACAAGGTAAACATGTATAACTTTTACGGTAAGAGATGCTCCCTGTCATCAGGCTTGTCATTTGCACTTCTACTAATCGTCACTGGCTTACTTAGAAAAAACTGACGTTAAGCTAATACGGTTCAAAATGCTTGAGACACGCACAATGTACTGTTGTCAAATGTACTCTTGTCAAATGTGCTCTTATGTTCGATATATCCCCTCAAACTGCCAGGTCCTGTGGTAGACAAGGAGGATGGCAGGAGCTCGTCAGCCACACTTATGTTGTTTACAGCACTAGAAACAGCAAGAAGAATCAACTTCAAAAATATATAAAACAGGCCACAAACACTTCCCGTAAATCCTAAAAAAGAAGGAAACCTACGAAGAAACCCTGACCATGTGGAATCGACAACAGGTGTTCACTTGAAGCTTGATTTTTAAACTGTGTGTTCAGGGTGCTTACTGTTCACATCTCTAACAACTCTTCTCCAAGGTTTCACTGAAGTATCGTTCCTAATTCAAGTGCATTTTGGAAGAATACGGTCCTGTTCAAGTGCAGGATTCAACACCCAGCAGTCTGGAATTAACCCACACACAGTTTGCATGATGGTGCCATAGAGCTATACAGTATTGATTTTGTAACAATTCCTTGTGTCTGGCACAGGATAGTGAATCACTACAGTTGTGATCGTCCCCCTTGCAGTTGGGACTTATCCTATAAGTAGGCCACAGTATACACAAGTTACGACCAAAGTGATGGCAAAACGTTAGTGCCTGATATCCTACAAAATGACACTGACATAAAATTTTGATCAGACATTTTTATATATTACCGAACTCTAAAACAGAGAATGTGTGGGATTTGCTTTGTTGTTCGATAATTTAATGTATTTCTCAGCGGCTGATGCGCAGACGATAGCCAGCTGATGGCTACATACCACACTCAGAGTCCGGGATTAGTATTCACAAACATTACAATGTTAGCAATATGAATGAGCAGCAAAGCAGTACACAGTCAGTTTTTTAAACAGAAATATCAGCACTGTCCCAACAAATCAATCTCTGTCATAAAGTGTTTAAAGAAGCTTTAATTTTTACTACTTATCTGTCAATTTTTAATTCCTGTGTCGCATTGAATGGTATATCAATACTCAAACACGAATGTGGAACATACAGAAATGACAGCAACATTTTACTTTATGACGACATAAAATATTTAAACGCAATTCATGAACCATTGAGTAAAATCTTCTTTCGTGCGGTAAAGCATAAGTAAAAATACTCAATTGTGCCTTTACCCTTATTAACAAATAAGAATGTACTCATTCTACTGGCAGACACCAAACAAAATCTTCAAAGGGTACACAGATCTTTAACAAAATTACTACACACTGTAAGAGTCACTCTTTAAAACAATTGTTCTCCCACTAAAACTTTTAATCTGAGTATTTTTTCCTGAATTCACTGTGCTTCTCTCAGTAAATGTACATGCCTAAGCAAAATGAGGCAGCTTGGTTGTAGTTTACAATCCCTAGTCTACAACCCATTAAGCAGTTAAGCCCCTTTACTGACAATTCCCTGCCTACTTCTTGTACTTAGGGATGCAGTGGTGTCACTATCTTACCAAGGTGAAAATTAAGTAACTAATGGTTACTGCGGGTTCGAATCGCACTAAGGTGCCCGCAACCTTTGGCAAAGCACTTCACCCTAACCTTTGAACGCAGAGCTGGCAATGAGTAAAAAGTATTGATAAGGCCCGGTGTGCTTCAGGTTGGCTATTACGACTGTTTTCACTCTCTGTGGAGCTGAGAGAGACGTAGGAAAAAGTCGGCTTATTGGGCAGCAAAGAATTCAAAGTAATGAACTGCAAATACTGAATGTTTCACTTCCTGCAATGATACCAATAGTATCATGAAGTGACCAATGCAATGTTCCACTTACGGAGGCAGAGCTTATTGGAATAGAGCTTTCCACCTGGCACTTCACAAATTATTCTTTTCATTACCTGAATGTAACACACTCAATTATCTGAACAAATACATGGTAAGGACACCTGGCGCAATTCATATGTTAGGACAAATCAATTCGTGTCACGGGATAACAATTCACCAAAAAGATGACGTCTAATATCTGGAAATTCTCTCAGACTACATAAATTGATTACTCCATCCTTCTCCCTGCAGCAAAACAGCTTCAAACAATCATGGTGAAATTTCCACACCCTTGGCCTCAACTCTACAGTAACCATGAGAAGGTAAGTTGAGAGACGGTGGGTAAGGTGGAGGGAAGCAATCCCGCAGAGAACTGACACAGACATCACTAAGCCAGACCAGAGAAAACCTCCATTTTCAGCTATACCAATAACAAAGCCCGACAAGCACTACATGCATGTACACCTTAATGATGTTAAACAAGACACAGACATACATGTACTGTACCATACAAACAGTTTTGCTGCTAGATTTGCCAAAGGCACCCTACACATAAATGCAAATTGCCAAAACATGTTAATCCAAAATAATACAATTCATGTGTCTATTACAGACTACAGACTCTGTTTATGAACTATGTTTTCTACTCTGTATGATCTAGTTCTTGCATGCAAATGATGCAAGACCCGACCAATTTTCAAGTGAATGAGGACAAAGCTGTAAAATCACAAGATAGGAACACACCTGAGTTTGGGCACATAGTGAAAATACCATGTAAGTGTACACTGTTGGCAATACTGATTTACATTTTAGGGTGAAGAGTGTAGCTCAGCACAGATTCCACAAGGTGTCTTAGGGCATCCAAATCTCGTTTTTAAAAGACCAAGCCATTAAGCCCCACCCTATGGTCTTTGACCAATCACAGCTGTGATTCTTGTCCAATATACATGAACGTGTACAAAAGTCCAACACGTGTGCACATACCGATACATGCGCAGCTGGCACATGCAGTACGGCATTGGAAAGACGCAGATGTTAACTACGCACATGTGAAGTAGGCGGGGCTAGCTGGATAGGTCTATTACTTGGAAAATGGTCAACTCGAATCAAGAATCAGACATTGTTGTCCACACTCTCTTTCAGCTAAACAAAGTACACATGCTCAGCTGGGAAACTGTCCCCTGGTTTTCTACAACCGACCAAAAACTGCTGAAAGATTCACATCAAAAACAGAACCCTTCTGTGAACATGCACACCTCAAGATGCATTGGAAACTGAAATTACATTGACTGTTATCCAATTCTGATCTTGGAAACTTATGTGCAGGACACCAGTGCCTAGCATTACCAAGATAACACAGATGGCAGACGAAGTAAATTAATATACACAAAGTCCATTAAATATTCCTTCCAAAAAGGGGAGAAAAAGCTTCATAAATTACACACAACCGGCTGCACAAATGGTGTTTGTTTTCCAAGCTGTAGATAGATTCTCTAAATCAATATCTATCTAGGACACACTCCCGGAGGAGTTGTAGGCTAGACTGGGAGGGAGTGAGGGTGAAGACAAGTCACCACATTGACACTACACGACAAGCTGCACAAAGCTGTTGTACTGAGTGATGTTCCTTTTCAGGATGTCAGAGCAGGGTCCCATGACACGCTCAAAGCGTTCCCGATCCAGCTTGACACACTTGAGTGAGCCGCGGGCAATGACAGTGGCAGCGCGGGGTCGATTCAGGACAAGAGCAATCTCACCTGGAATCAAAAGTACCAATGGACGCAGAAAATTAAGAATGGTTTATGACAAAAATGGTTCAAATATACATGTGGGCCAGCAGCCACTTCCACTACCCTTGATAACTTTTGTCATGTGATGTGCACCTTATACAAAACTGCCAATGGTTTCCTTGCACACATGCTTTAGCTTTACTTGGTGCAAACTACATGACCAAATTTCTGACAAAAACCATATAAACAGGTCGTGACAATTTGCAGTAGTGAAGAGTCCATCAGAGATCCCTGGAATTCCATCACATGATCACGGGTTCACAATAAGTCATTCAATCTTTAACCAAATCACGATTACATCAAATGAACTATGACAGAAGCATTCCTTTGTCATTGTTTGACATGTTTCTTGAAAGGACTTTTGACCAGCCTTGTGAACGGACTTGTAAGAGGACTTTAGGACTAGACTACAAAACTGCCCAGACCATTTGCTGCTAAAATCATCCTGCCTATAAATCACTTTAACTTTTTACAGTAAGTTTATTAACAAGGCTACTTTGCACTCCATTTTAAATTGCAAACCTATTCACTGGTTGTCACTTAAAACACTGGTGTATGTATGTACATGTACTGTTGTCAAATACCAGAAGTCTGTTGGCAATCAACCATGCGAACAGGGTGCAGTTTAGTTCATTCTCCCTGCTCCAGGAAGACCATGGTCCCTGTTTTTCTCATTTGAACAAAAAACCTTTCAAGCACAAATCTCAAGGTTCACGAGTAATATGTGAGTGTTCATTACAATTATGTTCCAAGTCTGATCGTATTGAGAGCCTTTTTTTTCAGGAGTGTGAAATGTGGGCAGCAGTTTGTCAACTTAGTACCATTATCATTAGCTTGGTACTTTATGGCCCTTTAGGCCTCTCCAAGCCAAGGGATCATCTATTTTGGGGCAAAACAAGATGACTTTAAAAAACAACTGTTCACAATATGTCACTAACCTCAAAATCAGGAGCTCTTTGCATGATTCACATGTCTTAAGCATACTCAGGACTGGTGAACAGTATTTGGATGCAGTAATGCCAACCATTGAATGGAGATATCTGTGTATATTCTATAGCACTGATAATGACCACATATGTCATACGAGGGTACTTGATGCTTCATGCCCTATGCTATTTTGCTTCATGGGAAAACTGCTTGGGAAAATGTTCACTGTTAAATCTGACTGTACTTCATAAAGGATCTATGAGTAGCCATCTCGATTTAGATAACTACACATTTTTAAAACAAAATTCATCTGAAATCTGGTGACTTCCCAGAAGGATACAATGATCTCCCGGTGAGATATGGCAATTTACGAGTGGAAAAAGCATGTCCCTTACTGGAAATTGCTGTTCCTCATTTACCATACTTGCATACCAAGGAACCTTGACAGACTTCCCATGTGGAAACACAGGCTGTTCCCTCTGAGAAGAGTGTGTAGAATTGAAAATAAGAGCAGGTGTTTTTCCAGCGGAGGGGTGAGATTATTCAAAGTTTACTCAGGAAACTCTCTCCTTACTGTTTCACTTACCAAAATAATCTGAGGGCCCTAGCTTGGCCACTTCGATGAACTCGTCCTGTTCATCACGCCTCTGCAGAACTGATGCTTGGCCCTGCAGGCATAAACATAAATAATTAAGAATAATTCTTCCCAGAGACTGAACAGTTTTTAGCAAGTGTTGATAAAGCCACAACTTTTGGAAAAGAAAGTGTGTATCTTGAGCTAGTTGATCGATTTTTAGCAAGTGTTGATAAAGCCACAACTTTTGGAAAAGAAAGTGTGTATCTTGAGCTAGTTGATCGACAGGTGGGGTCTCACCTCAACAATGATATAGAAGTCATTTCCAGGCTCTCCCTGGACTACAATCTTCTCCCCATCCTCAAAGTTCACAGGCTCCAGAGAATCTGCTACTGTCAGGCGCTCCCACTGGTCAAGGCTCTCTGGGTGAACAAAGTGAGTTCAGAAAGGGTGCAGAACGTTACAGCAAAAAGTGCACTATTCATGAAATTTTCATTGAGTTAAGGTGAATGGTTACTGGAGACAATTTTAGTGATAGTTTCACAGAGGATGTACCCACACCATCTGGCAATGTACATGTTATGAAATTTCACAGTGGCAGGTGACAAGTGAAACTGTCCAATTTGCCACTCATTTCGTACAAACACATAAGTCCATAGAGGTAGACAGCAGCAAATATTATGTCATGGTAGGGTCTGAAAGATAAGTAAAGGTGTTAAATGTCACAAAAATATTGTTCAACTGATTGTTCAACTAAAAGAGTGCTTCTAGGCTGAAAGTAATACACTACTGCAACTTATTTATTGTAAAAATAATCTGATGTCAAATGCTTAAGAAGCGACATCAGATACCACACTTAGAGTTAAATGCAAACCATAGCATTTGCACAAAAAATTCTATAAAAAAATCTTTCACTACTGACACATGTGCAAGCACTTTCTTCTGCCTGGCCAAGCTACAGGGCTGATTAAAATGTTGAACAAACATGAACCCTTGTCTTCTTATGCAGAGCTCTGTGGTTACATACATGCATATACATTCTTCTGTCACTAACCTGGTAAAATTGACAAACAGTGCAAGATAGAATGTCAAATTTCTTGGAACTGCTTAACAGAAATAGATGTATTTATAAGGCAGTGGTCACAAGCCAAAACCTGTCACAGGTCTACCTACATGTACATGTATTTATTTAGCTGGGGGGGGGGGGTTGTTGAACTGTTTGCCAAGCAGCACTGTTTACTAGCAAAACTACATGTATGCTAAAAAGTGCACTGAAGTGAACTGGTGGAGTGAGGCAACTGGAAAATTAATGACAGCGCAAGGCTGTACATGTATGCACAATGATTATATATTCACATCTTTCATCAAGTTTTGATTAATTCCCATGGTCTGTACATGTACATCGCTTCATTGCGGCTTTCAGCCTTGACAACCTCACTTGCACCTCAGTGCCCTGGTCTGCTTTTGGCACTCGGAGTGAGACACTGGGTCACTGCAAATTGATTTGGATTGGTCAGGAAGCTTCTCAGAAAAGTAAAGGAAACCAAACTGCAATAAGACATTTTTGGATATTGTTCTTAAAGTAATGACATTGTTTAAGACTAAAATGGAATTAGTTTAGGATGTATCGAGTTATGGGAATAGATGGCATTTGGGATTCTTGGCATGAAAAGACAGTAATACTGTGCACTGAGTGACGGGTGACAAATTGTCTCAGAGATGAACTTTTTGACGTCAGCAGGGAACGTTAGGAATTACAATCCCTGGCCTGAAGCATATCGCTTCGAAAGATCTTTGGCACAGGATGTGCAGATTAAGGTCTGATCTTGAGAGCAGAAAAATGCCACAGGTATTTAAAAACTCTTGCCCTCAAGGGAAAAAAAGGACAGCCAACTATCCAGAAAGAAATCACTTAAACAATAAGCAGAGTAAAATTCAGAGAGGGAACATTCAGAAACCTCAAGCCCAGATGACAAAATAGTGTTCTTAAATAAATAAGTACTAGTCTTTACTAAGGACGATTTGATAATGAGACCATATTCAGATAATTCTGGGCTCAAATTTGAAATCAGGTACACTAAACTTGAAGAAATTTTTGTGAAAATGACACCAAAACCATTCTCCGGCTGAAAAACCAAGGCTGTCTCAAGGACTGGTCTAGCATTAGCAATCATCTTTCTTTGATAATTGATATTTTGGGAGGAATTAGAGGCAGATACTTACCAAGGATGGACACCTTAGACAAGAATGACTCATACAGCTTGCGTTTGCGCAGGGTGCTGCCCATGAGGATGCGTCTGTAGCTGTCTCTATCAATACCCCACAGCTTCAAGTCAGTTTTAGCCTGCACAGCACATGAATATTGAATCTGGTCACTTAAACTTGATCAGAAAGCGGGTGCAGATGGTTGATGATCTTAAAAAGGCTGGAGGGTCTAATCTCAAAGGCATTTCAAATTAATTAGAAAGTTTCAGTCGGAATGAGATACTAGATTCACACTTTCCAGGTATACATATCGATGAATCCGGTGACCATGAAGTAATACTTCATCTTGTCATTTGCAAAGGCTCCACCAATGGTAGAAAACATTGTGATAACTTATGTACGGAGCCAGTGTTTTGTGACAATCACTCCTTATAAATATGAACACAAAGCTTTCTACCATTGACAAGAGCCTTGAGAATGTCCAATGAAATGTTGCAGGGTTAGTCTACATTTACCTTAACAGTGGCAGCTCTTGGTGTACCATAGATGAGGGCCAGCTCTCCGAAGCTACCTCCTTCCCCAATGGTTGTTACCAAGCCCACATTATCCACATAGACCTGTGATGGAATATATAATTTAATGTCTACAGGTACAATACATGTATGTATGACAAGTTCTGCACTGAGTTTTTCTTCACGCACGCTTCCAATCATATGTGTTTAATACAGTGACCAGAATGTGCAGAATGACATTTTCATTAACTTGGACCTGAAAAAAAAAAATTCAGACCACACCTCTCGCATTGAAAAACAAAAAAACCAGCAGAAGAGGCCATCAAATGCCTTTTATCACTAATAACAAAAAGAGATTGAGTTATATGGTACAGATTTCAGACCAAGCATCATAAACTCACGTACATGTCCATAAACATGTCCCTTTGCACTAGTATCTATATAAGGGTATGCTTAGTAAAAGGTATGGTTCAGAAAAGGCAAAAATTATATCTCTTTAGAATTTCCACGAGCATCCATAGTGTACATGCATATACTTACTTCTTTTGCAACACAAGACTGCTGTAAGGATAGGGCACCTACAATACTAAAAATAACCATTTCTACATAAATTCAACTCGAAATACACCGAAACTGTAGAACTGATCGATACTCACATCCACCTCGCCATCGTCGATGACGTAAAAGTTGTCACCTTCATCCCCTGGTGAAAAAAAAAAGACAAATAACACAGACTGTCAGCAACGTTGTTTGCATGCTTGTGTTAACAGAGGTGTAACTTTGCATCTGAGATGAGATATTTCTCAGTTTTATGGTGTGAGTTGGCTGTTAAGTTGATGGTTCAGGGGCTGGCCACTCATTTTTCATGTAAATGCTTTCAAGGTAAGAGACGTCTTGCCTTTCTTGCCTAGTTATAGTTGTTTTTAACAAGACTTTTTTACATTTTCCAGAAGCCAATCTAAAGGAATATTTCCCGTTTGCAATGAAACATGCTGTAAAGACAGTGCAGTGTTCTCTCAAACCTACCATACAAAAATATACGACTTTTTTTACATTAATGTTTATTACATGACTTGAGTACATTTGAAAATTACAAGTACATGTGATGCAGCAGTCAGATTATTTTATTGCAAGAGAATAAAATGTGAAGATAGAGCAATGAATATGTGGCCACAAACATGTACATGTACACACCAGTAATCTACATGTCTATTGTTCTAAAGAGTGTTAAGTTTAGGAATTAGGAACATTCCTGGAGAAGCCATTAGAAAGAATATGCATTATTATAGAAATACTTATTCCCAAAACAAATCACTGAATTCTTTGAGACAATCTTTTCCTTTTCTACAATCTGATTTTTAAAACAGTCACAAATATCTGCTTTTTCCCCTTATTCAGGTTATTGATCCCAACTACCAGATGGCCAGCCAGATGACTTGTCTGACAATTGAGTAAACACCACCAAGGCCAAGGTTAACTCATTTCAAATTCCCATCAACAGCAACAGAGACATTGAGACAACATCATCAGAAGTACCAGGCCTGCTTCATGGTAAGTTGAAAATACAGATTAATTTAGCCGAAAGATTTTCCCAAACCTCATTCAATTTATGGTCCAGACATGAAATGTTGTGCCTGCATCCTGGTTTCTTTTTTCCCATTCATATCCTGCAGGACATACAGCAGGCTAACTGCTGCATTAACCATACTGTTGCTCATTGTAATGGTAACATGGATCAAGGTACCGGGTATAGCAGAAAATCATCTGACAAGCAGCTCGGCAGGGCATGCACGTGCTAGATAGCATGATTATGTGCTGAGCAAGCACGTACACTGTACGCAAGTACATTAACGTCAAATGGAAAAGATTACAGAATTTGAGAGCAAACCCCTTTTGCCAGTTGATTCAAAGAGCCAAAACAGGTTCCTCAGACCCAAATTATTACAGCAGAGGAGAAAAACAGAACTTAAAAACAAATGACAATCCCTTGCTTTTAATGGTATGCCAGCAAAGCAAAAGGTAATGTGTTTATCACAACCAGTAGCGTTTAATGAACTTTTCATACAGTTGAGAGGATTAGATACCTGACATCAACGTAGCAAATTCAATTTCCAACTGATCAATTTTGTCTGTGAGATTCACACATGCTGCCCTTTTCCCAAACCTTTTGCCTGAAGTTCTTGTCTCAACATGAAGTGTAATTTTGAGTAGGGAACTTTTCCTATCATTCTGTGCACAAAGAGATTGCCCTGACACTAATGGGTAGGCTCATCTAATAACAATTCCCCTGCCTTAGCTAGCGCACCGCCATGGCTCCAGGCAACACGTTTCACTGCTGCATGTCATGCTCAGCATCACCTATCGAACGATGCAATGGGCGCTCTTCATCATATTTCCCTTGTAAAGAAACAGCAGCGCCTGAGTAATATTCCATGCTAGGTCCAACTGGCGGATCAATTATGTTCATGTAGGGCAGGCACTGCATGGGAATCCTTATCTTTTCTGCCAGATCACTTCTTGACAATCATCTTTCACCACCTTTCTTTTAACATTTCATAGCAGTTAAATGCATGAATAAATGCAGACTTGCTGTAACAAGTGTGTGTATATACACACATCCTTACACGGCTATACTTGTGGGGTATTTCCTTTGTTCTCGTGTACAAAACTCCCACACAACACGCAAAAAATTTCAAATCACTCCAATTTAAACCAAATTCATTTTCCAGGGTTGAAATTTTGACCGTGTGTCCCTTATATAAAACACTTTAATTTGAGATAGATTTTTACCCACCAAAAATTTCCTCTTTTTGAGTTATTTCCAAATATCAGTTTCGTGAAATTCTTATGGGATACCAATTTCGGTACCCCACAAGGTAAAAACTGGCCTTGTGGGGTACTTCCCATTGTTCCGGTACCCCACAAGGCCCCATGTATTAGCGCATGTAACCTCCATCCAGTAGCCCTCTCATTCATCAGTATGTTTATTCGAAGGAGGAAATAAATGTAATTGAATTTGATTGAATAGACAAAAATGTGCTTGAACACCGGGTCAAACTACCCAACATTTTTAACAAACGAGGGTTTTACAGAGAAATTACCCCTGCTCAGAATATATTGTGGCATTACATGAATATTCAGCATCAATATGTGGGGATGTGGGGACAAAAGATGGAAAAAAGAAGTTCGGTCAAGCTGACTTGTGTAGCGGAGTGGGTAAGGAAAAGGATTACTGTTATGAGTGTTCTTTGTTTGAATCCCTGAGGGTTTTTGAACTTCTTTCCTGTTGGAAAATATCAGTTTCAGAGGACATTAAATTTACTGCCTAAATTTGTAGCCTTGACTTGATTTTATTTCATTTAAGAACAAGAGCTTACTTCAACAATTATCAATCAGGTTGATGTCATAATTATATGTTGGCCCCAATCCGAACAGGGGCATTTCTCTGTAATAAACGCTTGTTTGTTAAAAGCGGTGGGTACATGTTACTGATCAGGTAGCATGCACATGTATACTTCGGAATCACAACACGAAATGTATGTGAGCATAGTTCCATGAAATTTCCCATGTCTCCACTGTTCACAAGTGTTTGGGTGCAAATTGCTTGCACTACCAGTACGTGGATATGAGTTTTGCTATTTTAGGCACTCAATACCTGATTACAATGCATACAATATTTTGTAGTTAAAGGTACATGTAGTGTACACTATTGGTAAAATTCCCCTAATCCGACGACAGTATAATCCTGAAATATCTTACTTGAAAGAAAGTATATAACAATCAGTCTGTAAAATATTTCCGCCCAGAATGCTGTAGCTTTCAAGAAAACAGAAGTTTTGTTCTCTTTTTTTCATGACAGTCAGCCGACCATCGTATGAGAGTTCATTTCACTTTGCACATCAGATTCTTTAACAGGCACCAATTTTCTTGTGTGTAGTGTTTGCAGGTGTGCAAGTCTCCATTAATGAATGGGTAAACCTAAAGGCCGCCGACAGAAATTCACCAAACGCATTGTAAACTGAAATTATAGGAAACTGAGTGTAAGGTGTAAAGTAGGAAATAAACTGGATCAGTGTGAAGTTAAATTTTATTTAAGGAAAGGATTTTCTTACCGCGAAAACTTTGCAAATTCAAAATCACCTCTAGAGCATTATGGTATGGTCCAAATATGGTGGCTGTTTCCGAGCTGCCTGGTGGAAGGATTTTCATCAACAAAATGTACGATTTCCACACGTTAAACCTCCCGTGTTTCAAGACATAATTTCATCTTTACTCATAATTATTAGTTAGTCAACAAAGAATGGAGTTTTTAGACTTTCATAGACATGTAAACTGACGTAAAACTGTGGTCATTAAGCACGATTGCGCACACATGTGCATTATCATATACGTCTACTCGTTTCAGTGTCATGGACACGAGTCGACTGCATTCCCGGATGAAGTTTTTCCATAAATCCCCATTGCTACATTGTCGAGGAGGCGCATTACTCCAAGGTAACATGACTGATTAGTCCTGGCCGTTGAAACCTGGGAAAGAAAACCTGTTATTCTTGTTTCCCACCCGGGTGCCTTGAACCTGTGGATGTTGTTCACTTGTTACAAACGCCCTGTAATGCATAGATTTTACAAAAGATAAACTACAAGATCTTCAATTTATCGTGGAAAATACCGAGCTGTTTTTCTTAATTTTTCACAAAGCGGTTGACTCAAACATGAAACAAGACTGTGGAGTGTAAGTGCAGTGGATGTTGTACACCGTAATCAGGCAATCTTGTAAAATTATGGCAAAAAACCAATGGTGTACACTACCTAATTAATGACATGTAACAGTACATGTACCCATATATACATGCACATACATGTATATACAAAACAAACTGTATGGTGTGTGTTCAAATACATGTACTCTCACAGCATGGGCATCACCAGGATTTTAGGGGGTCGTGCCCTCAATGGCAGCAAACTGATAAATCAATAACAATGGAAGGGGGTCAATTCCCCGATGAGTTTCCTTCCCTTTCCTCCCTTTCACTTTCCTCCAGATCCTCTTACTTTTTCTTATCTTTTTTTCAATTTTTTTGTGAGGGCCCCATACCAATAGATGCAGGTAAATTTGTTTTTACTAAAACTGACACACTTGTTGGTTAGCACTATGTGAACAGAGATTGTTTCTGAGAACATTTACTTGATCTAATCACCGAGCAATAAAAAACATGTTCAAGTTGTTTGTATTTTTCTGTTCTATGATACCAAACTTAGAGGGTAACTGCTGAAATTAATTGGCTGATTTATGGCATTAGCAGATGCTGTGACTGCACAATTACAAGTTACCAGAGATCTGTTATTAAAACCCAGTCATATTATGTAGTTTAATAGTTTTCAGTATTTGATGACACCAAACACATCATTTCCATGCAACCTGAGCTGACTTGAAGAAAAAAATCATCCTGATGCAAAATTTCATCAAAAGTACACCTGCAAAACAGTCTCTTCCACACATGAATAAACTGAACCTACAGAAAAGCCTTCATGCTATCTTCTGAGATGAACAAATAAACCGATAAATGTCAAAAACTTCACTGAGCTGTGAGCAAACGCTACATGGACTTGACAATACACCTTACCTTGCTTGATAACGATTTCATCCTTGCTGTGCTTGACTGGGAACATGGCATCAAAGATATCACTGACAAGGAAAAAAACACAAGAAAAATTGTTGGAATAATCCCAGGTGAGGAATACATGCATCGGTGGACACTACATAAGGAATATATCTATATGTACATGTAATTGCCATTCAAGTGCAATCTTCTGTCAGCCTCCAGGACTATCAGATAGGCAGTAGCACTATTCAAGGGTCCTGAGAAAGAATTCAAGAGTATAAGTGCTCTCATAAATGCATGTGTGGACACTCTATAAACTGAGGACATAGTAACAGCATCAGTGCAAAGTTCAAGCATAATGTGCAACTTCGTAAGATACCCTGTACATGTTCGTAAATGTTTGAGCATGTTTTTGCATGAGATTCCTTAGCTTACTACATGTAGTTCATTTTGCAAGCAAAACAAACTTTACTAGAGACTTAGCATGGCAAAACTATATAACATGACTGCCAAAACGCAGGCAATAAAAGAAAGTGAACATACATGTAATTTTTTTACATGAATGAATGATTTGCTAGTTTTCAAAAAAAAAATTCAACTAAGACTTGCATGTATGTTGACATAAATCATGCTTACCAGAACATATTATGTGTTCCCATATTCATGTACTGGAACATTCCACATACTACTGAGATTCAGATTACAAGAGAAAGGCAAAAGAAAGTCTCTTTTCATGCATAATCTTGTTCAGGAGGCTTATCAACATGAAACCATACTCTATTCCAAGGAAGAGGATGTCAGGTACTGGAGCTGGCTTAATTTCCATTTCATGCGCAGGTATATTTTTCAACCACATTGATTATGAATTGTTTTTCACCATTAACTCCCATATTTATTTGACAGGCAAATACACAGTATACTGTACGTATAGTCACAAGCACAGAAGCCGGCACACATACAGAGTAGAAATTTGATTTGTGAAATGTCAACATGTCTAGTCACACCCCATAGAGAAACAGGAAAGTCCTCAGGTTTTTTTATCACCCTGCATTAGAACTAAACCCTACTTCATTATAGGGGCCAAATCCTACAGTCGCTGTATCAATATACATGTACATGTACCTTCTTTCATTCTCGTCCAGATGAGAGAACAGCACGTTCTTGGCAATGGACTTGGACAAGGCTGCCATGGTCTTGTAATCTTTGGGAATAACCTGCCAAAAAGAAAAGAGAATAGATGGTATTTGCCATTTCCAGTGTAAACATACACTGTGCAGTGTACAATGAATATTATGTAAATCTGAATGTCAGCAACATGCAGAATCACATGGATATTGCCTTGCAGTCTCACCATGTTATTATCATTTTCAACTAGATATGCATTTCAATTATAAAAAGGTCACTGATACTGATCAAAACCTTGATTTGTTAGTTTTACTTGTGTTTCATACAATTTATATCAATTTTTATTCATTAATCTTTCATTTTTCCTGCTTACATTCGCAACTTTGGAAAGAAACTTCTGTTATTTTTCACAAGTTCCCTTTACGTTTCACTGTCGCAATAGTGAAAACGTGCGCAGAGCTCAATGCATTAAAGCAATGCTGCACTGGTTCCCACCATGCCACATCCACGCAAAGAACACAGGATGGCAATGTGGGAACTGGTCTTTACTAATGGTTTTGTTACACTATGCTCCAGCTGTACAGGCACGCAACCCTACAGCTGTACCTTTAAAAACATCGATGTTACAAGAAAATTTCTGTAAGTTAATTCACAGAACTTAGCTGTTGTCTGTGTGTGTATTTTGTATGTTCACAAGTTGAATTAGAGGTTGTTTTGCTCATACTGTACTTGATGCGAGCGTGCTTCTGCAAAATTTCCAGCCGCGGCACAAGATTTATTGCCGGCCCGTCTGGATGCATCATGGATGCTTACCGTGCGATACACGGACATCGTTGGTAAGTTTGTTGCCGTCGTGATTAACCAACTAGCATTGTGCACAGTGGTGTAAATTTTCCATAATTCTTAAGAATTGTCGACTGTACAAAATTTGACATTTATTAATTAAGGCAAGTTATCCCTTTTGAGGAAATTTTTGATTTTCATTCTTGTCATCAATCAGCACAAAAAATTTACCCCCCCCCCAAAAAAAATTCTGACCTACCGACCTTATTTTTGAGAGGCATCTAATCGGAAGCAGAACGACTGGTACTTTTTGGGGGGGGGGCTTACCTACATACTGTGTACATGTACAGATCAATGATGTTGTGTGATCAATGATCAATAAGTGCATGTGCATGCAGATCAAATTAACAACCAAGCAGCAGGACCAATAGCCTTTCCTATGAACTTTGTGATGTGGTTAAACACCAACATACATGTACTTCAAATCTTTGGCATACTGTGTATGACACGTTATTTTAGCAAAATTTGCTGTAATAACGAATTCCAATAGGGATACAAAAGAGGCCTACATGTACATGTGCCTAAAAATGTGTATATGTAGTATCAGTTGTACTACCCTTACAATAGACACAATTGAAAAAAATAAACCTTGACAAGAATCTGTTTCAATCTATTAACTTAAGTCAAAGCTATATGCATGTACAAGCATCTTACTATTCATGTACATGATATTATGTTCAGAATGACCATACATTAATATTTGATATTCCAATTCTAATAAGATTTTTCTCTTTATAAACTTTACCTTTAGTTGATAAAGTTTGGATTTTCAAATGAATCAAATGCAGAAACAGTTAAATCCAAGGCTACCTTATGAAAAATTCAGTTGCACCTCAATACTGCATCGTGTGAGGCCTATGCAAGTCGCTGCATTGGTAAATTCAATGGGGCATACATTTTTACCTTCTTAACATAGGAAGCTGCATACTCTTCAGTCAAGGGTTCGGCACTAAAGGCACCACGACGCTGGCGTCCCTTGGGCTGGACCACTGGAGGTGTGGAAGCAGTATCTTCTGGTTCCTCAGCCTCCTCTGTCAGGGGTGCACCACTTGGCACAGCAGGGGAAGCCTTGGGTTTCTCCTGCTGCTCCTACAAGTGCAAAAATGTAGAAATACAATTAGATGGAGGCCAACTTCAGTCAGAGGTCTTGATTCCACTTATTTCAAATGAAGAGAGCTGATTAGAGCTGACTCATCAAAAGTGAAAAGTTTTGAGGGTATCTCAATTCCAGCCTGCCGACACTACATGTATAGAAAATGATAACGAACAATAATGCCATGTTAAAATAAATTTCATTATTGTTTAACACTAGATTCTTACAAGTTTCAACATGTTCGATGGAACATTTTAAAATGGGATCCTCGGTGTCGCTGGACGTGTACCTGTACATTTTCATGTACAGTGTACATCATTAAATCATTCATCTAGACCATGCAGACACACTGCAGTTGCAGAAGTGATTCGACTTACATGTACATTTATGTGCCACTTAGACAGATTTTATTCCCCAGTTGGGAAAATATTAGCACTTGGTTCATTAGCCATTAACTGTGGAAGTTAAAAACTGTATTTGCAATCTAATTTACGGTAAGTACCCACATGTACTACAAAGCTGATTCACATCATCAAGGCATAGAACGCTTCATTACGAACCAACGCTGAAATCTTTTGTTGGGTACAGGTGTAATGTTTAAGTGCTCACAAGACCACCTGTCCACGTGAAGGAACAATAATGTAAATGTACATGTACGGTCACATGTGAAGTCTGTACTGCACTTTGAGAAGTGTACAAGTTGCTGAACTTTGCAGGTGTCTAAAAATAATACTATAGTGCAGGACAGATTTTAAAATTCACAAGAATGAAACAACTAAATGACTCAAATTTTGCGCATCAATATCGAGACACAAAAGAGACGACTAGTGTAGACAATACATGCAAATAATGCTGAAATAAAAATTAGCATTCAAATTAAGTTAACTTATCGTATTTGATCATGGGTTGCATTCATTCAAACAAGCAATCATTAAAACTAAACAAAGTTACCATACCAGAGTTGCATGTACATAAGATAATGCATCAAAAATCTGGCAAGGACAGAGATGTGTATACTGACTGATCCTAATAGGTCAGTATAAAAAGAAAACCTCTAGAGATTCACTGCAGTGTACAGTGTACATGTATTTATTTTGTGAAGTGGAGGAATTGCTCAGCCGCCCCCACTCCACAAAGAGTCTCCATCACTGTACCGGTATATGTACATGTATAGTTGCTGTACACTTGTACATGTACACTGAATGATCAAATGCTGACCCAGCTCCACTACAAGCAACATAAATTAGCATTTCTCTCACTCCAAAAATTGGCACATCTGACTCTGTGGATTTTAATCGTAACCATATTTCAGTTGAACCTCTTTAGTAAGAGCACTGTTAATACAACATTCTGCTTATAACAAGGAAATATTCAGGTACCAATCCTTTGTTCTCCACTGTTTTCATTCCTGATGATACAAGGTTCCTGGTTTAAGACGGTTATATCTAAGGACTAGATTTGCATACATGTATAAAACTGTCTACATTATGTATTCAAGGTGTATACAAAGTGTAAGGTACGCGCACATACATGTACAATTTGATAGAAATACTGGTACATGTACATACTTTTTCTAAACACGTATACATTGTACATGTACACACACACATGTACATGTACAAATTGTGTGTCTACAGCAAGATGGCTACCGGAAAATGTACACACATATTAGCAGAGGCACTTGTGAGGGTTACACACATGTTGAAGAATAGTTACTGTGGGAGCTAATTTGTTAAGGGGACAAATTTTTGCCCCTGCAATTTGATCCCTACATGTACATGTACATGTACATGTACATGTAGTGGCATGTTCCAAACAAACGAAGTCCCCTCAATGCAGCCGATGGCCAAGGCACAAATACATATATTAGTCGCAGCAGTTACTGATGTAGGCAGACTACAGAGGTCCTACTGACCTCTTTCATCTTACCTGTTCAGTGCTATTGTACCTTTTTCATTTAATCTAGACCAAGAAACTGATAAGGCGTCTAATTGAGTCCCAAGTCCAGATGGTACATGTACATGTATATCTGAATGCAGTTGGAACCTGACCTTGGGAAGTATTGTGCAATGTACCAATTGATGGTTGCCAATTTTAATTCACACCACCCCAGAATTAGTTTTCAACTTTTTCACCATGGGAGAAACCAGCCATAACTGAAAAGTGGAAAATCAATGCCCCTTCAGGTTAACTTTATCTAGTGATAAGTACGGAATCTACACTTGTTACATTTTCTACTGCTATGCTGTTTGGATATGTTCCTATTCCAAAGCAAAAGAATGTGCGTGTACCATGTACTACCGGTACTTTGTGTTCAGTGCTCGGCACAACATTTGTAATGTTTAAATCATTCCAGTCGCTCTGTAATTGGTATCATAGGAAAGTGTCTTCTTTTTTAAAAAAAAAAAAGGTCAAACTGTATTTCAAAAACATAAATAGAACATCAACAAACTCCAATAACAAAATTATGTCGCTGCATGAAACAATACGATTGAGCTCTCCCTATTCATGTAAAATTTACACGTCTTGCATCACTAGCCATTTGTTATCAGGCCTTTATGCCAGGTGTCAAGATTTTCCAGCATGCACTTTGTGTATACACATGTATGTATTTAAAATGTTCCATTTAGCACTGATTTCTGAACCCAATATTCTGGAAAGGCATTATGAAAATAAATTACATGTATCAACTGAAACATTACACCACAGCACCCTAAAATGCTTCAATATACAAGACTTGTCCCATGACCGATAGGCCATTACAGTGATTGTGACATGCACGCATTTACTAACTTGTATACACGTACACACACTGTTTCTTTCGTGCTCACAACATACAGTATGCATGTACCATAGGGGTGCGGTGCACCTGTTTTTTTAATTTAATACGTGTACAGTTTGCATGTGTGCACCTGCGGTGTAATATGCATCTTGACTGGTAGAGCTGCCAAAGCATACATTACATGTACACCATTCAATCTGAAATGATGCAGTACGTACATGGACGTCAATCAGTGGGGGACAGGGGACATGTCCCTCCCACTTTTCCAAGTTGGGGGGTACAATATCAGTTCCCCCCCACTTTTCCCCAAACCCAACTAAAAACGTATACGTGTACATGTACCTTGTAAAAGCAGTTGCTAAAAAAAAAGGCACAAGTAGCCAGAAATTGTCTCAGATCACACCACAGAGCATCTATACTCCAAAATTTTCTAGGGCCCTTAAGCGGGCCCCAGACTGTACGCTGCTCAGGGCTTCACACTTTGCCCTCACATTTGTTCTGATCAGAGCTACAGGTATACTTTTCATAATGGACTGACGCGCACTTTACAATATACAGGTACCAGTACATGTAAATTATAAATTTGGTTATGTGTAAGAGTTTTGCATGGGGACTTCTCAGAAGTGGAGAATTCTTGAGTATTAAGGGTTGATAAAGTATCTATAACATGGTCTTCCTGTTGCACTGGTTGAATTTGAGAAAAATATCGGAACACCTGTACAAGTATGAACGCATGAAACTGCATTTAGGTTTGATGTCCATGGCCTATAGTACAGTCATTTCATTACTGAAAAGAATTCCATTTTCAAAATGTCCAATGTTCAATTTATGATTTAAGGTTACGGGAAATGCCAAAAATCCACCCGTAGGCATTTTTTCACGAAGCATCCTGTGTTTGGAATTGAGAGGTTAACATACAAAAACAGGGTGTGTTTAAAAACTAAATAATTGTTTTACAGGGGTGTTTTGTTTTTTCAGCTTTAACAGAACTAACCATTCCTAATGCCGTGATGCTCAAAATCTGTTTTTGCCATTCTTCATTCAGTCAAACACTGACATTTATCAGAACATTCTTCAATGAATTGAAGACATGAAATCTAATATTCTATGCTATTTCCGACAAGAAAGTTTTTGTGTTTGAACAAGTACATGTACGACTAACAAGTTAACTTTTCAAATTGAACTTAAATGCAGTAAAAAGCTAGACAAGGTCCAATGTTGGCACACATACCTCTTCAAAAGTAGACAAACTAGATGCCATCACCACCCCAATATACATCCATGCAACCAATCAAACATTGCAAACCAACACAGCCAGCTTGTTGAACGCACAGTGACTCCGAACAACTCAAGCAGCAACAAGGCGTACTCTCAACTTTGGCAGCTGACTGAGCAGCTGACATGAATACGGCATTCGCCACACAATTTGTGAATAAAAACAGTGACCAACTGGAGCACTGACCACATGCATTGATACAGGCAGTTTCAAATGCATGAAACAGAGACAAGTGTAAAGATTTATTCCCTGGGTGACTGAACTATGCACAGAGGAATTAAATCACGACGTGCACAGAACTATGATTAATCTCACCTTACGGTATTCCTGCACAAACAAACACTGGATATGACATTTAACTGAATAGAAATGCTACAGTTTTGATTCTTGGGCTCGTCTGAATGCTGCAGCAATGATGTGATACTCATAGTATTCAGTCGGGTATTCACTAGTGGACTGTGACCACGCCCCCACAACTGTGACAAGCCGTCACGGAGCTAGCACTCAACGTTACAACATGCAAAGAGCAATTTCCATAGGGTGCATTTTTGAAGTTCCTCCTTAGCATTTTCCTGAGTAAATACAGCATCATCAAGTGCTCTTCAACGTGCAAGTCGTCCATTATGGTAAAGGGGTAAGGTACATCAAAACCATCACAAAGTCATGCATCCGTGACACCTTCATGCCAAAACACTTAGGTCTGGAATTGCACGCCAGAGTCATCCTTTTCAAGTTTACCCCCTAGAATTTCTTAGATGTGCTGCTCTTCCCAGAGGCCTTCTTCTGCTAAAGTGACTGATCGGGTTGGAAAAACTCTCTGGCTGGCCACTTTCTTGAGTGGGTGGGACCCCACATGCAGAAAATGGATGCAGTATATAAAGTGGCATGGCACTTTACCTTTTCATGCCATACAACCAGGACTGTTGGGTGTTCTTACATAGCACATGTAAACAAATGTTTTACTTATATTTTCAACCCAACAGGAAATTATATGTAATAAGCCTTTTTGCCCGTTAAATCTGAATAAAATCTGGTACACTGAGTTCTTTAAATTCACGTGAACATAACAATTGGAATTCTCCATACTAAAGCCACTGTTGCTATACCTCGTGATTCGAGGCAAGCTTTTCCTTAGTTACAGAAGAGACACCTTGCAACAATACACTGTTCTCAATAGAAAAGAAGGGCACAAAGGAACCAGTCCATTCCAGAGATTTCGGTCACTAAGCAAAAGCTTGCCGCGAATCACGAGATATAGCAACAGTGTCTTCTGTCTGGGGAATTCAAATTGTTAAGTTTATGTGCAATCAGATAACTCAGTGTACCAGATTTTATTCAGATTTAACTCACAAATGGCTTATTGAAATATTTTGTGAATGTGCCTATGAAGGTTTTGCCCCTCAACAGTGGCTGATCAGTCACATGATCTCCTCGTAATTGTGGAAGATGTATAAATCATCGTGTTGTTTTTCTCGTCTTAAAATAAAGTACATACATGTACATTGTACATGTGTCACATATAATTTGCAAATGTTGCCACAAACACTGCCTACTAACCCTCATCCATACACACCCTGCAAAATTCAGCAAACGGTGTTAAAAAGGATTTTGCAGAACCAAGGAATGTAGACCACATCTAGTGTCCAGTGCCCCAAAGTTAAAGAACAAATGATGAGGCATTGGTTTTCTGCACAGTAGCATAGTTTGCGCAGTTTGGAGTATTCCAGATTATAATGACACATGTGAGTGGGGAAGAAAATAGGTGTTCTTTGATGGACTGTCTTCACATAACAGGTGCTAAACATGACAGACAAAAAACTTTTCCTTCCTCCATGGTCCAGTGAAAACTTATATTCAAAACTGTCTTTACAGAAGACCTCTGACCCCAAAACCAATAAGCCCAATTCTCGACAGAATTACTGGATCTTAAAACAAAAACACGATTATTTTACTAAACAAACTCAATAATGGTATTTTTCACACCATATTTCTTGAACATTACATGAAATGCACAACTGCAAGTGTAAAATGATAACAGCCAGAATGACAACATTCAATAAGATTTTGAAATAACTTTTAGAAGTCTTTCCTCATTACAAAAAAAGATTCATCTATACTGTGAGCAACAGTGAGCCTTGAAGTCAAAACAAACATCTGGTTGTGTACTACCATGGAGGTAGGAATACAAACTACCTATTCAAGTTAAAGTGTTTTAAACTTCAAAATTCTACTTAGTTTACCGCTAATTTGGCATGTCTTGATTGTGTTGATGAGTTAAATATGCTTGGTATGATTGGTATGCCACACTCACAGCAGCTGGAATTGATTCACTCGATTGAGCAGGGCCATCCGTTGAAGCTTGAGCCTGGGTGCTGCTGCTGTCCTGAGCTGAAGGAGGTACTGTTTGAGGAGATTGAGAAGTGGAAGATTTTCCACTGGACGCTTTCTTCCTCCTCCGGAAGAAATTCAACATGTTTGCCAGTTGGGAGGCGGCAGCAATGAGGCGTCCGGCGCGCCTTTCGCCACCCGATGTTTTTTGGAAGATTTACGGAGAAGTGAATCCCACAGGTTGTCAGGACTGTTTTTATTTATTCACATAATCATCCTTCGCTGGAAACACATCTGGAGGAAGCCTTTCATTCAAAGCATGCGTGCAGTTAAATTACAGCTAAGACTGTATTACGATTGAAGCTTTGCTATCTGTATCGTGCCTATCCACCGTGTATCCATCTGGAGGAGCGAGAGACTGCCAGCGACTGTACATGTACATGTACACACATGCAGTACCGATTTACGCGCGCCCGTGTACATGTATGTCTCGTTTCAACCACCGGTCCGGAAAATGTACATTAGGAATTCATACCAAATGAGCTGGGCTAGTCATTCTACGTGCGCGTGTCGGATCGTACACTGCATTAATACACGCCACACGGTCTGAGGTCGGAGGGAGAAAATAAAATTATGCATGCGGATAGTGAGGCTGACGGGATGCCGCAACGTTTACTCCCCTTGATTTATCCTAAAACACAACGCACTCTATGCGATTGTGGTTCAACGTACACTGTACATAAACCCTTACACACATAATTTACAAATATACATGACACACGACATGTGGTACAAATATTCCAGTGCAGTAATACACCCTTCGCCCAAGATTCCGATTTTTTTTTTTTTTACGAATGATAGCTTTTGACCCTCCTAACCCTCACTCATTCAAGAGCCAACACAATGAACCAGGCTACAGCCTTTCGTGGTTTGCCGATTGCACACTCTTCTCCACTGATGATGCTGGTCCACAGGTCGGCTCTCGATGTCTCATAGCCGACGACCGTTTATTGATCAGAGTAATGACGATCAGTGCTCATGTGAAAAAAATTCCTATACGTATCCTCGCGTTACAGGAAAAGTGCAGAAGATATTTTTAACTCAGTACCATTCTGAGTTAAACATACACAAACGATGAACATTACAGATTTTTGAGAAATTCCAGACACTTGTCTGGAATTTGTCTGGAAAGTCCAAATAGTGTTAGATTAAATACGATAAAGATACAAAATCAACCGCGCTGTTATACATGTACGTAAGAATAACATGAATTCCAAATAGGCCTATTATGTATGAGTAAACATCGCGGTCTCTGAATCTTATTATGTTTCCACAAGCACTGTCTTCGGTTCCATCTTTGTTCTTGTGCCTCAAACCTATCAGCCATCAAACCAATCCTCCAGCAATGTGAAGGATTAAGAACTAGGACCTGTTAGGATTAGTCTAAAATCCAGACAAGTACAATATCATTAATAATTTGGAGAGATCACATCTAAAATTTCTCCACTGAGATTCCTCCGTATGACCGACACTGCAAGCAGGTTAACTCAATCATTACGCAAAGTGCAGAAAAAGAGATAGATATTACATGTACATGAGCACGTTTTATCTCTAGCAAATCTGTAATACTTGTTTAAGGAGATGGGTACGGCGGTTGTAATACCTTGAGGACATTAATCTTGCGAGTGAGAGGAAAACAGAAAACCCTAGACCATATCTTAACAAACACTCATGACAGATCGCTGTCTATTCAATGTCAGACAAAATTGGTGTTTCTGGTTCGATCCGTAGGAATGCACATCCACAGCAACGTGGAGAAAAATACACCCAACAATCTCATGTTCCATTGGCGCAGCACCCAATAAAACATTCCATAAAAGGCTGCATGACTTACAAGGGATATATTCTTTCCAGGAAAGTCGCTTTTCCATCGAAAAGTTACAATTTGCTCACACTGTGTTTGATCAAAAACTCGTGGACGAACAAGTTATAATGCAGGACAGTCACTTCGTATCGTTATCTTCCATCAAATCATGCATTTCTAACTATACGCATATATTGGGAAGTCTGATTCTAATTACTTCGAATTTACCGACTACTTAAGTGCTCCATAAATTTTCGATCGTCAGTGCGACTCCTTAAATAATTCCAAAAGTGTGATTACCTCCAAGCATGTAGCCATAATTCCCTGACTGAAAGATGAGAACTCCACCACAAAAAAATTAAAAGATCACACGATGTCCGAGGCATAAGACTTGACACCCAACAGTCAACCGCTTGGACACAAACTGAAACTCGCGTCCCGAAAAAAGAATAATCCTACACTGTCCCGTCATAGCCACATGTAGCTGAGAGTAGCACTTCGAAAATTAACGGAGCTCAGCTATATCCTTCTGAACACTTTCAGCCAAAGGATGCGGGGAATATTTGTCAGAGAAAAAGCTGCAACTCACAAAAAGTAAAAGGACGTAGCTAATCACTAGTTTCCTCGTGAAGAGCCCTGAGGAGTGAAACGCACTAGAATCCGGCGACGCGTCTGCTACCCGGCTTAAAAATCCAAGTTGAAAACGAAAAGCTGTGTGGGCTCTGAAGAGGACCATCCTATGAAAAATGTATACTTTATACAGAGCTGATCCGATACACGTTGTGAAATATCTCTGGCAAAGAGACAGACATACAGAGAAATCTCCAAGGAGAATCCAGTTTTTTGCTGGGGTCAACGGACAGGCTTTCAATAGCAGACTGCACCTGCTGCAAAATCAACAATTTTTGAATAATTAATCAGTCCCTGTTGGCCAGCTAAAAGCTGCATGCAAAGCTGGATTGAACAGTTAAGGATTAATGAGTCTGCTTAATGTTGCAAACTTCGCATCGATACAAGAACATGTGCTCCCACTTGTAGACGTGACTGCATCAGGGATGTCGACCATTGGACAACGGCGCACGCGAGAGAAGGTGCGAGGACAAGTTGCGCCAATTTGGAACCATCTTCAGTTCTTACAATGAGCTCGAGTGTTACGGGGCAACACGAATTAGAGAACTGAACTCATTTTATTTCTGACTGTTATCAGGAACTCAGTTGTAAGAACAAAATGTATCATGTGACGCACTTTTCAGCTATTTCAGATTCTGACCCAACGGTAGCAAATCAATGCAACCCTCTTCGTACTACTGTAACTGACACCTGAAACAACTAACAAACTAACTAACTGATAACTATCTAATAACTAACTGAGCGTGAAAATAAAAGGTCACGAAGTGAGCTTCCGTAACTCTTGCGCAGACCGCCTTGAGCCCCAAGCTGAACCACTAGAAGGTACAATTTTCCTGCAACGGCGGCTCCATTGGTCGGAACTGCACTTCGCCAATTAACAAACGACTACGAAATGAACGCGTTACGGGTGCGTTGCTACCAACAAAATGAACACTCCCGACCAACATGCATGGCTCTTTTTACCGATGAGAAGGGTGCCCCTGCTCTCGGCGGATACATGTGCCGTACATGGGACCGCTATACGCTCTTCACATTTCGGAAGAATGATTTCCAACTGCAAACCATCCCACTCAAGTCGGAATTTTATCTTTGTGTCACTGTTCTTCAAGTAATATTGTTGAAAAAGCACCTGGCTATGGGTAAAAATGAATTTCATGAACAAACTTTCACTTCCAGTCTTTCCAGCATAATCGTTCCTTTGGTTCGTAGTTTATGCACGTTTGCTTTCATTTTATACAGGCCTTCTTAAGTGAAAACGAGTGAATATGTATACCGTTGCAAAGATTTACCTACATGCTATATACCCTCAGTTGATATTTCCTTAAAAACCTGTTGGACTTTGTTTTGTCTCCTGCTTTTTAATCTGTTTTTATCTTATAAGACATTAAAAGACTACATGAAATAATTTCGAACATCGAGTCATATATTTTAGTTTTTCAGGAGTGCGAGGTCAATTTTTGGTTTGATTTATCTCGTTCAGGTCAGGCAAGTTTTCCAGTTTCTACAAATTAATACGCTGGTAAATATTTTACGAAGGACTTTTTCCGGAGGTAATTTTAAATAATAAGTGGACGAAAAATAATTGCAATTTTGAAATTTCTGCATCTTTTCCAAACCAAGGGTTTCGAAGCACTGTATTAGGGCTAAACTTTCAGGCTGTACGATCCGTTACTGAAAATATGCATTTTCGCGTCGTCAGTAAAACCATGGAGGAAGGAAAACAGTGGAACGATTTCTTATTCTTCACAATGACAATTTACAATAAGCATTATGTGAAACCGTGGAACGTGCATGTTACATGAGCCTATCAACTTGCACATGGCTGTTCATTTCTAGAGATATGTACACTAATTTAAGCTGCTCGGAAGTTATACGTGCACACGTACATGTATACATGAACATTTCGAAGTTGCATAATTACGCTGACCTAGTGTTGTCGTATTCGGAAAGCCCAATTACAACTGACTCTGCCTTGGCGCCTTGCAGGATCAATGTCGTGTCTTAGATAGAACACATCAAAAGAGCCGTGAAAGGAGTCGTGGTAAAAACCAAATAAGATCCTTTCTTTTTAGGGCCAAATATCAGGGGTGACGCGGGGCTGCAAGGCAGTGTAGTTTCTAGAGAACGCATTTAAGCCACCTAACCCGGTGACCTGTGAACAGTGGAAAGATGTACACCGAACGCCATACTTGGAATTTTAGGAAAGACTTAAGGGTCGACTCGCAGTGCATTGTGCTTTCGTAAGCATAACTACGAAAGCACTGAAAATGCGTGGTTATAATTATGTGTACATCTGAATACCATTGGTGATGGAGTTTTAAAATTGAGCCTCAACATAACTAATCTGTTCAAGCACTTCTGTTTTTAACATTTCATCCATGAATCTATCCAGCCCGACCTTATTTCACAACAAAGGAATGAGCAAAACAAACAGAAACATAAGCACTGTGCGTAACAAGACTCATACAGGTCTTCAAAAATAACTTTGTACATGTAATTTCAAGATGGCCCAACATTTTTCCATTAGGGTTACGATTTTAGCAAGCTGATGAAAGCAGTGCATGTGGTGCTCTGATAAAATCTACAGCAGACAACTAAGATGAGTGTACACTAAATCATTTGCTCGTAAGTTCAGCTGAATCCAGCTGCAGAATGGGCGATATGGATTTTTAAAATCTAAAACAGAGGATTCCTATTTTTGTATCCCTGGATGTTGTCGGATGTAACGTCATCAATAAAGTTTGACAACACAAGGCAAAGCAAAGTGTTAAGGTCAGTATTTTTCCTTTTATGGAAAAAACTACTTTGCTTACGTCTCGCGATTACGATAAACTCCTTGATGAAAATCTGTTCTCGGGAAAACCACCTGCTCTTTCAACGAACAAGGCATGAAAGGTGAGAAATCGCAGCAGCTAAAGACTACGACTACCAAACGTCAGCCATTCTGCTGGGAATGGCTGGAAAAAAACTCAGGAAAAATGGCGGTAAACCAAGTTTTCACCCTGGGACGTATCTGTACAACAAAATGTTACGTCTCGTTTTCAAGAAAAAAAAATTACGCAAACAGTGTTCAATCTTTAATTTAATAAGAATGAAACGGTCGATTTTCCAACGTCATCAAAGTTTCTATATTCATTCTTACATGTTGAATATACTTCATTGAATATAATTTTCATGCATTACACCAGGGAACATATGTACAAGGTACTTTTTTATTTAAGATCATAAGATAAATATGCAGACGGGGTGGCACTGCGCGGGCTGGTTTGCAAACAAGGAAACTATATCTTTGGAATCACGAGATTTCTGAAAGCTACACTTT